ATAATACATGGTCAGGCTTCTCGATGAGAAGAACAGCGAGTTTGAGTTTGAAGCGGACTTCAAGAGAGAGAATAATGAACGCATTTAGTTTTAATTGTATAATTTTCCACGCGCGGTAGCGTATTACTTAAAAGCTTGCGAACACTTGGCACAAGTATTCGAAAATCTCGGCATTTGTTTGCGACAAGACTGAAAATTACGTGTCTGTCACGCGCAAATATTCGCTGCTCTTGAAGAACCAGGGGGGAGTTGTGGTTTAACTATTTTAACGGATACACAGTAGTTTTGGAGAGCAATCTCCAAACAATTGTCCGCAAACATGAGATGCGCTGCAGTGGAAATGCTTTCAACGTTATTTTAGAGTGGAAGAGAGAGAGAGAGAGAGAGAGAGGGAGGGAGGGAGGGAGAGAGAGAAAGAGAGAGAGAGAGAGAGCAAGCTCGACGACTAAATGCAAAAGTAAATTTGAAGTTTTTTTGTAAAAGAAGAAGCGCATATAAATATATCAAACTAGGACGAAATTTTTTATATATTTCTTTTTGCATAAAAGACGAAGAAAAACTTCGTCACTTTTGAGAAACCTATTTATTTCGTTCCAATTACTTAATTCTAAAGCGCCCATTCATGGTGAATTTCATTCTTGTATCTTCTGCATACTCTTTTTTGACAACGCGCGCGCCTAAAATCTGCTTCGCATTACAATCAAAAGGGACGCTTGAGCGCGCGCTCAGCATAAGCTTAGCATAATTTCACGCGGACGATAGAGTATTGCTATAAAAGGGAAAGTACCGCTCTCTTAATGGGATGCCCGTTATACGGCTTCCATGTTCCTGCACTATTGCGGAAAGGGGAGGACTGTCTCGTTTCAGTGTGAAAATTTTAACGCTAGGTTGCTCACTGAAACGCGAACGACGACGACGACGACGACGACGACGATGCCTCGACACGCGGAAGGATCGCAGCAATAGATCCCTGTGTCTCGTTATTTTAAATTAGAGGAGCCAGAAGGAATTCCGAGAAACGAATGTACCAGTGATACAAAGATATCGTGTTATTCTTGTATTCATCTAAATCTACACAAAGAGACGGTTCTCCCCCCTCTATTGTATATTAAAGAATTTATACAGAGACACACATATTGCACACGCAAGATGCAACGAACGTATTTTCTTTTGGAAACGCCATATCTTTGTTATAAGACAAAACATTTGGTCCTGATAATTTAATAAACAAATTTAATAAATTAATCGATATTTTTATGAAAGGAAATAAAAATGTTACTGATATAAAGACACGTAACTGAAGTAAAGTCACGTGACTTTACTTTAGTTACGTTTATTAAATAACAGTAATATTTCTTATTGTCGTCACGGATTTTCGTAACTTGTGTTTTCTGTGTTTCGCTTCTCAAAACGCGATGGTTACAATTCTCGATGAACATCACCGCGTCGTCGGTATAATGGTCTGTCAATAAGCAAACTTTGCTGTAACAAGTGCGTCGCATTGTCGCAATACCGGTAAACTTTGGTATCTACCTATCAATTGTCACTTTCCTATTGATCTGTTTCGATGCGTCTCTCATTCAATCGGTAGAAGTAACATTTCCGTTTCAAACGGAGAGCTACGAGCGAATATTGCGGGATCGTAATTGTCACGGGAAGAGAATATAGCCATAAGATAGTTCATATAATTCAAGAAAATAGTAACGTAATAATATACTTCTTTTTAATCTTTTCACTTTTTGAACAACTCCTCATACATCAATGTAAAAATATGCGCGAGAAATTCTATAACATTTCGCTGAAAAAGATGTACGATCTATGTGAGAGATTGGAACACACGTTGGGGAACGTTGTCGAGACATCGTCGACTCGCGACGACGTCTTGCAGACGCAACTATTATCGGAGGATTTACGAGCATTACCTCATTCTTGCACGGGATCGGGAGAAACATCTTTCTGTTTCCTGAATCGAATTCGAAACGATGATTGACACAGTGGCGTGTGGAATTTAATTGTAGAGAGACAGGCCGATTGCTCCTGCGAAGCCCCGTAACTCTTCGCTAATTGGATCTGACAGGGGTGGGAAGAAGTACCGCGGGGTTGGCTAGTAAATCGAATTAGCAGTTAGTTCGGTTATTTACCAGCATCAGACGATTCTCTTCGCGAGAGACACGTTCCGCTCAAGTGATTCTCGAGCTCTCTTCCTTGCAGAACAGACATCCCGCGGTGAAACGAGGCGCGGAATTGGTCGGTGACGACATTGTGCACACGTCACGGAACATATAGTCCCCTTGTTCTTACACCATCCATAAAAACATCCCTCGTGCACAATTAGATGGTAGAGCAAGAATAAAAGGGGAAAAGAAGAGGAGCTATAAAAGAGAAAAACACAATGCATTATTCCGTTAATTTATAGAAGAGAGCAATATATGTGTGTGTGAGAGAAAGAACGTAACGTATATAAAATCGCGACAAAAACCATCTATCGAAATGTCTTATCACTCTCCTTATATTTTTTTTATAAATAACAATTTATCTAAAAATATAAACAAACGAATTGATACAGAGATATATACGCGCGTTCTCGAGAGAAATTCTTCGAAGTTTCGAAAGAAACTTAGAAGTTTTAAAATAAATTTTCGCTTCCAAAGAAGTTGTGTTTCATATCGGGCGGTTGCAAACACAGAATCCTAGGCGAGCAACCCTTTATACATAGCATAGACAACTATCTGTTCGCGGTGAGCGTGCCGGATAGTTTCGTCGGAAATTAATTGAGAGTTACAAAACGCGCCGCGGGAGAGAACGCGCAAATGAGAAGAAAATTCCGCAAACTTGTTCACCGCAGACCACCCTCGCACGATGTTCGCGGTCGATCTGGGGGAATTCCGTATGCATAGTATCGCGTCGACGTCGGCGATACGCGGTTTGTCATCATCAACAAATTCTACACTCGGTGGAGGCACTTTGAGAGAGAATTGCGATATCTCATTTGACAAATGTGTCGGGGATCTTGGTAATCTCACGAGCTCCGAAGTAATATTAAAGCAGATGGAACATCAGAGAGGAGATCGCGTCGTTAAAATAAATAATCACTAAATGCGTCTACAAAAGATGTTGAAACACACACACAATATATTATAAATATAACAAAAATAATGTATTTTTGCAACAAAATTATTATTTTTAGTTTATTTTTGCTCGTTAAAAAACGAGTTTAGATTTTTTTAAGATTAAAAACCGTTGAATTGATTGGCAAGTAATTTTTTTTTATTGGCTCGATAAAAATTTAATTTCCAAGAGAGAGAGAGAGAAAGAGATATTTAATTTTAGAACATAATTCTAAGTCCATGACTTTTACCGCGCTCTTAAATTTTTTTATTATACCGAAGATGTGGTTATTTTCGTCGTAGCGCTGTGCAACGAGCGCGGGCACTAAAGCTTAGAAATAAATCTCAAGATGGGACTCGCGTTAAGAAAAACAGTCGTAGCTAATTTAAATGACGATTAATTACGTAGATTACGCGGTTCTCTCTCTCCGGAAATCGCATGGCCGCGTTTTCGGTCAGATATATACTGAGAGAGGAGAAACTTCGACCGCGCGCGGAGAATACTCGGAAGTGTTCTTGGGATTTTTCTCAGGATGACGCGCAATTAAAATAACGAAACACAACAGGTTCTCACGTAATCCCGAAAGATCCATCTCTTCCCGCGGTATGTACATTAACGAAGACATTACACGACCGTCTGTGCTTGACCCCGTATTTAGGAAGCAAACAAACAAGAAGGTAAAGAACATGCGAGTGTGTATGTGCATGTGTATGTGCGTGCGTGCGTATGTGTATGCATGTGTAAGGTGTAAATCTTGACTTTCTTCAGAAAAAGATGCTGCACGATTTGAGTGCAGTATCTATATACACACAATTCTTAGTAACAAAAGATTTTAAGTTAACAGTTTTAAACGTTTTCTCGCGAACGTCTTCTTCAAAGACGTTAAACACAGCTATTTAATTATAACGAAAGAGACCAATTGTTAAACGGATCGAGATCAACAAATTCCTTCCGTAAATTTTTATCAAAAAAAAAAAAAAAAANAAANAAACAAACAAATGATAAAAATACTTGCTCGTAAAAAATAAAAGAATATCGATCTGATCAAACAATGGCGCTTGTGTGAATTTAACGAGATTGGAAAATTTTTCGTAAATTAAACGTGTGGCGTAGAAAAGTTAACGGAAGATATCCTCTATAGTGGCGGTCATTCGTCTTGACAACAAAAGCAACACTCGTGTGGCTCGTGCGCAAAATAAAAGCGAAGATATATATATATATTTGCAACAAAAATAATACACAACCGAGATAAGCCCGTCGACGAAACGAATGTGGGTGCACGTTACACCGTAAGATATCACGGGCGACTATATATATACACACACAGAGACTATACGCTCGATGTATCCTAGACAGCGCAAATGCCTTATATTTATGAGATGCATCCTTTCAGGAGCGTTTTAGAGCCAAAAGCGCATTACGAGTGGAAACTCGTGTGGAATAACTATATTTGTCACGAGCAAGTAATCAAGAAACGTACTTACTTGTATGTAACACTTTGCTCTTATTAAATATTAAATAAGATCCGCATCTCAACGCGCGGCGCAAAATACAAGTTCTTTTGTAACAAAATGAGAAAATATAAAAAATAATACGCAATGATACCTGCTATTTCCGGAAAAGCGAGACAATGTTTGATCACCGCGTGACCTTCGCATTTTTTTTCGTGTTCTTCGCAACATTGGACGCGTCTAGTGTGTAAGAAATGCTGTTTCTTTTTGAAAAATGAAAAACACGCAGCCAGTTTCAAAGAGAACAGCACCCGCCATCTAACGGCGAATACCTTACCTAACGACAAGGCATGTTTGTAATGCGTCGCAAATCGACGCATGGAACTAGCGGATCGGTCGACCAATTGGTCCGCGAGTTTTGAGAAATGCGACCATTGTAAACGAGATCTAAAAAAGTTACATTTCGGACCATGCGCGTATGGATCGTAATTGAAGAACCTCGTTATTGTTGAGTTTCATTAACTGATTGCGAAAATTACCATTCGCAATTTCATGTTCGTGATCAAAGTCGTATAAAGTTTAATAATAGTTGTTTATAATTACGCTGTACGGATTATTACGCAGTTTTTTTTGTCGTTACGTTAGGTCAGGTTAGGTTCCGTCAGTTTATAATGCAATTCCGGTTGAAGTGTCAGTAGAACGAACGTCAGACCAGTTGTACGATTACGCCTGAATGTTTTTAATGAGGAAGACACTACTGCTTGATCTCAACAAATTTGTTTAATATATTGCAAACAAATCGTTCAACATGTCAACACCAAAATTTCCCTTGAAAGAAGCACAAATACTATGTATGTATTGTGACATTTGCATGAAGTATAAGCTCTTTTTATAAACTTTCTTTAGTTAAGCTCTTATTATGTTAATACATTATTTCAGCCAATGAACATAAATTTATTGTACCAAAAAAGTGTATCAAGGTACCAGCTGATTTAGCAGTTTGGCAAAAATCAGAAGCATACTTTGTAAGAAAATTTCTACCGTTGTTTATTGGATGTTGTAACCAGAATTAGAATTTTAATAGCGTTTTATCCATAGGAATATTTGGGATTTATCTTAGCATTGAATGAAGCTGTTAAAGAGAAACCATTGGATTATCAATGTCCTCAGTCTGCCTCAGTGGACAATGTTATACAGATGTTGAGTAAATTTGACGAATGGATTACAGAGATTCCACCTACAGAGCAACCTCAACGATTTGGTAATAAATCATTTCGCATATGGCATGAAAGACTACAACAGGTTTGAAACACTTTAATATTTTGTTTGAAAAATAAACACTTTCAATGTTTGAACAATTTTTATTGTTTGTCAATTTTTATTATAGAATGCAATAGAAGAGTTGAAACAAGTATTGCCAGAAGAATTGCATCGTGCAATTGCAGAAATAGTTGAATATTTATATGAAAGTTTTGGAAATCCGACTCGTATAGATTATGGAACGGGTCATGAGATGGCTTTTCTTATGTTTCTCTGCTGCATGTTCAAGATAGGTGCATTTAAAGAGGATGATAAAGTTGCTGTTGTAACAAAAGTATTTAATAGGTACATTTTTGTGATGCATCAATTTTTGTTGTATTAATTTTTTTGCTCAAAGTAATTTTTGTTTTTTTATTTCATTCAAGATATCTCGAGTTGGTACGTAGACTTCAGTTAACATATCGTATGGAACCAGCAGGTAGTCACGGTGTTTGGAGCTTGGATGATTACCAATTTGTACCCTTTATATGGGGAAGTTCTCAACTAATTGGTATATTCTTACAAATTTTTCTTATAATTATCTGTAGATTATAAGGTCGCACTTTAAACAAAGAAGAACGATTATATTATATGTGAATAGTTCATATTTATATATTTTGTATGTGTTTCAGGACACCCTCGAATAGAACCTCGTCACTTTGTAAACCAAGATATTATAGAATGTTATAGTAAGAAATACATGTTCCTTGGATGCATCGAATTTATTTTAAAGGTGTGTGAAAAGCTATAAAAGACAATATTTACACATTTATTTATATACTTGATAATTAGTTCTTTAATGTGCTGAGTTCAGCACAAATCAAACAATAATTTTATGATTCTTGTGTTGGTCTATTAGGTAAAAATAGGACCTTTTGCTGAACATTCGAATCAATTGTGGAATGTTAGCGGAGTGTCCACGTGGTCGAAAGTAAATAACGGTCTTATTAAAATGTATAAAGCAGAGGTGTGTGACCATCGTGTTCTATATAAAAGAATAAAATTTATTTACGTACTGTCTATATTTCCTATTTTGTTTTCAGGTATTGGCAAAGTTTCCTGTTATCCAGCATGTTTTCTTTGGTTCTTTGTTACCGTTGACACCAATGAATAATCCACCGAACTACAGAGGAGCCGAACTTAACGAATTACCGCAATGTCTTAACCGTTCAACACCACCGGCAACGACGCGATGAAAGCAATATATAAATACATTTGTTATTGTGAATCATTTATTCTATACTTTCTCTCGTATTTATAATAAAGTATGTATATTATACTACTATGTAATCTATAAGAGCGTTAATGCCAACTTTATTTCTTAATTTATCAAAACTTTGTGTTTTTATTCACAAAAAGACAATTTTGTATATATGACATATTGTAGATAATGTGTTTAAGTGATATTTACTCATTACAAATAATTTATAATTATTATTCGAATTCTAATATAAATATAATTTATATTACTATAATTTATTTGTAAATTTATTGTTTGCATAATATTATTTATTAGTACATTTGTTTTTTTTTTTTAAATTAAATAATTTATGTATATGATATATATATATTATATACATACTACCATAAGGTCATTGACCTCGGTCGCGTGATCGCGGCGGGGTCAATGACCCGGCCGCGCGACAGTGGTGGGGGGGTCACTGACCCGGCCGCGCGGCCTTGGCGGGGTCACTGACCTCGGCCGCGCGACCGTGGTGGGGGGCGGGGTCACTGACCCGGCCGCGCGGCCTTGACAGGGCACTGACCTCGGCCGCGCGGCCNCGTGGTGGGGGGCGGGGTCACTGACCCGGCCGCGCGGCCTTGACAGGGCACTGACCTCGGCCGCGCGGCCTTGGTGGGGGGGGTCACTGACCGCGGCGGGGTCAATGACCTCGGTCACGCGACTGCGGTGGAGTCACTGACCTCGGCCGCGCGACCGCGGCGGTGTTACTGACTTCGGTCACGTGATTACGGTATATATATATATGCGTATGTGTGTGTATTATATATAGATATAGAATATTACATATAATATATTTAATATTCTCTTTTTTACCCTTTTCCTTGTTACGTGACTTTAGTCACGTGTTGTTTTTCCACTTCTCTTTCTCACTATTTTTTGAGTTTGATTTTCATGCGTTATTTCTGACATTTCTCATATATGTATTATATGGTTTATAAGACGTATATACTATCTGTTATTGCGGTGACAGGTTGTGTTTATTGACAACACGTTAAATAAAAATAACAATAGCGTGCGCGTCTGTGTTGTGCTAGTATAAGTAAATTAAAATTAAAATTAAAATTGTATGCGAGAAAGAAATTAAAGGCTTGTATATATCGGTTTGGTTTTATTCTGAGAAAAAGTTACTAGAATTCGGGCCAATCACATTGCTCGATTGGAGTAACAGACCAATACTATTGGTTGCACAATTTGCAGAATGTAGTTATATATATATATGTAAAGGCGGAGGAAGAGGAAGAGATTTCTATTCTACTCTTGTATACAAAAGGCGGTGAGGTATGTCATGCTTTTCTTTACGTAAACGTATCCATAAACATCTGGGAATTAGACAGTTTGTTTTGTTAAAACAACGTTATATTTGTAATTACCGTATAACGCAATCTTTGTTCATATATTGATAATTGCTACTGTTGGTATCTTTCGAAATATTCACTGACATATCAGAAATAACCTTGTCAAGCTCACTATTTTTTATAAAGGAATGAGTAAATTTTATTATTTTTCTTTTATGTGATCACGTTATTTTCTATGATGTTGTGTCAATAGTTTAGTATGTGTATGTTGTATTGTTCTCTTAATTCAGTAACACTCGGTCTTTTTATATTTAGCATATGAGAGGTTATTTTAAATATGTTTACATTTTTTATATAGCAAAGCTATTTTAAAATCCATTTCTTAAAAGAAAAGTATTACGAACTGAGGTATACAGGGAAATTTCAAATTTTTTTGACATTGTTTTCTTTCTTTTCTAGCATTATATATAATCAAGATGGTGAAGATTATGAAGACAGGCAAAGTCGTGCTGGTCCTCAGTGGACGGTACGCAGGTAGAAAGGCAATAGTAATGCGTAATTTTGATGATGGCACTTCAGAAAAACAATATGGACATGCTATGGTTGCTGGAATTGATCGGTATCCTCGCAAGGTTCACAAGAGAATGGGGAAAGCAAAGCTGCATAAACGATCTAAAATCAAACCTTTTGTTAAAGTGAGTTTTCTTGATCTCTGCAAAATTCTTTCAGTATTTGTTTACGCAAGTTTTTTTTATAATAGAAAAATGTATATCTCTGTAAACTTCTTTTTAGATTCTAAATTACAATCATCTAATGCCAACAAGATACACAGTAGATTTACAATTAGATAAAGTAGCTCCTAAAGATCTTAAAGATCCAATGAAGCGCAAGAAAGTTCGTTTCCAGACACGTGTCAAATTTGAAGAAAGGTAAATCTTAGATCTAGAATATTTTTTATCATCATAAAATTCACACATTTTTTATTGTTTGTGATTAATGTTTAATTTCTGTTTCTAGGTATAAAAATGGCAAAAACAAGTGGTTCTTCCAGAAGTTAAGGTTTTGATTATTTTTCATTAAATATATGTGCAGAGGTGTATAAAATAGAAAATATAATTTTTTCTATTGCATCCTGCATCAAAAAATACACTTTATAGATTGATTAATTATTTCATATCCTTATTTCATATCTTTTCCCATCCTTTTTTGTGTGTTTGCACGTTTCTGATCAATTCATGCGTATTCTATGTAGATATATTTGTAAGTAGATGTTTGCTTCGGAAATGTGCGGATTTATTTATGTAAAATTTTTTTTAAACCTGAACGGAATGAAAAATCTGAGGGGTGAGAAGAGGGAAATAAGATGGCCGCGGCGCGCGACCAATCTTGGTTAGTCAGTTTAGCGGCTAAATGTCTGTCTCATGACTCTCATGTAATTCTCAAACAGTTTCGTGTATCAGATAAAGTAAACAGAAACTCTATGTATATTGTTATCGTCGCAAAACAGAAAGATCTTACGCATATGTGATGTTTGTGTTTCCATCAAATGCAATGTGTCAAACGTGACGTGCGTTGACCGCGCACGTCCGACACATTAAATCACAGTAAGTTAGGTGAACACACGTGTATTTCAGTTTTACAGAAGAAATTTGTGAGAAACACACATAGCAGTAAATACGATTCGACACGATGTTAGCATTATCGATATTTACAATAATTTTAATGAACTTTTATGTCGTGTATTGTCAAAATATCGACATTGACAGAAACGGTTACATCGCTTATTGTCCTTGCATGGGTGAGATAATGAATTTTAACATTGCCTCTTCGCCTACCGTAATGTAACACACTCGACATCCACAATTGTTGTTTTCAGGACGCTTTGGCAATCAAGCAGATCATTTTTTAGGAGCTTTGGGATTCGCCAAGGCTCTGAATCGCACTCTGCTGTTGCCGGCGTGGGTCGAATTTCGTACAGGAGAGCCAAGATCTGTAAGCTAGATTTACATACAATATATTTTTACAAAACACTTGTAACACTATTATTTATTTTATTTGAGTTTGCACTTTCAACAGATACAAGTATCATTTGATACCTATTTCAATGTCTCGCAAGTACAAAACTGTCACAAAGCGATGCTGATGGAAGACTTTATGAGAGATATCGCGCCAAAGATATGGCCACCTGAGGAAAGAGTATGTAAGTTCTGGATATTGATTTCTTCGAAAACTCGACAAATTTTGTCATCCACGTGATCTTTTCCCGCAGCCTTCTGTTACTCGCCTCGCGACGGGAGCAAGAAGGAACAATCGTGCAACGCGAAACATGGAAATCCATTTGGTCCTTTTTGGGACACGTACAATGTAGATTTTGTTAAATCGGAATTTTACGGTCCTCTTCATTACGACGTGTATCACACCGATATGAAGATACAGTGGCGGCAACGTTATCCAGCCGCGACTTGGCCGATGCTGGCTTTCACGGGTGCGCCGGCTAGTTTTCCGGTGCAATTTGAAAACAAACATCTGCAGAAGTGCCTTATTTGGAACAACAACGTGGCGGATAAAGCCAGAACGTTTATAAAGGAGAAATTACCGAAGGGCGCGTTTGTTGGTATACATCTGCGAAATGGAATCGATTGGGTATAATTCTTTATATTTCTGTTAGGTATACTTCTCAAGAGAAAAAATGTCTAGTATTATTTTTCTTAGGTACGCGCTTGTGAACATGTGTCGTTCACATCAAATCTCTTCGCCGCACCTCAGTGTCTTGGTTACCGTAACGAACGTGGCAAAGCGACCTCGTCTATGTGCTTGCCATCGTTTGAATTAATAGTACGTCATCTGAAACGTGTTATCCGCAACGGCAATGACATCAAATCCGTATTTGTTGCATCTGACAATAATCACATGCTAGACAAACTTCAAGAAGCTCTGGCACGCATGAAGGTAAGTTCGTGATATTGTCACGTGTATATTCCTCGCTCTTATTTATATTATCTTTTTTGCGTATAGATACCTGTGTTCCGTCAAGACCCACCGGCATCGCCTCATTTAGATCTAGCGATTCTCGGAAGGGCGAATTACTTCATAGGAAATTGCATCTCTTCTTTCTCCGCTTTCGTGGCCAGAGAAAGAGAGGTAAAGGGATATCCGACGTTCTTCTGGGGATTCCCTAATGAAAAATCCTCCATAACTCACACGGAATTATAATAATTCTATTCTCATCTTTGTAATCAAACGCACATCAAGATTCACGCGAGTAAGCAATAACGTACACACATTATTTATACCATTTTATACGCAATTGTAATATACATACAAACGAAGTTTCGATGCAAGTGCCGCAACCACGTATTTTTATTTAATTTCCGTATAATATACATATATTTTTTTTGTAGTAAAAGATTTTATACAAAATATACCTTGTCCTTCAATTTGTTTATCACTAAAAAGATAATTTTAAAAATAATGTAATTGCACTGTCGTCAACTTTTATTGCTGTAAAAAATTATGCTGATTTTTTCTCAGCACAAATAATGTAATATCTAATACTGTAATATCATCATTCATTTCCGATATCTCGCATGTCGCATAACATCTGTTGCAACACGCGAGCGAAGTCTTTTGTGTCGGTTTCCTCACACGATCTGAACGAGGAACAGGCAAAACTAATGTCCTTTGGTCGTGGATTGTAACAGCAACCGTAACCGTCGGGAACAACCGGTCCGTAACAAAGGACAGATTTCGATTTAAACGGCACCTTTAAGTTACCAAAGATGTTGATTAGTTTATATTGAAATGTTTAATATTTCTTTTACACATATAACTTTTATGGAGAGAGAATGTGGTTTCGAGTTACCTGACTTGATGTCAAATTGAAATACGTGCTTCTGGTGTAACCAACATCTTTGTACAATTCCGGAAGTTCCATTCCTTCACTCTGCGCTATCATTTTCAAACCGAACAAATGCCGGTCGACACCTTGGCCCATCGCTGCCTGTCGAAACAAAATTTCGCATTTCAAACGACTTGTCAAAAAACAATCGCGCGATCAATCGTTATGTAGAAACCTTACTTCTGAAGCAAGCTCTTTATGAGCGTTTATAGCTCGGATCATCATTTCTTTTTTTTCAGCTTTAGTCTTGCAATCGCCATTGTGAAGCATCATCGCGAATTCAACGGACTCGGTGCAAGTGGATCTGATGCATTCGGTTCTGGCGTTTATGAATCTTCGTAGTCCCGCACTCTCGTAATGAGCCGGCGGTTTCTTCAGCAAATTGTAGAAGGTAGCTTGCATTGCGATCTGTACAAAACTATCCGGACTCAATTTCATCGCCTTAATGTCGTCGGTGCCAAATTTATCAAATACGAAGCATTCCATGTCTATGTCATTTGACAGTCTGAAAGGTGACGTGTATTATACTTCTATAATGAAAATTTTTTATACGTATATGTTCTTAAAAACGCTTACTTGTCTACCACATCGGTAGCTCTTTCGATCGCCTCTTTGATAGCATTGTCAGTCTGGAACTTCAAAAGTTCTGGTCTTGGGAAATCGTTAGAACTTGTAGTTCTTGCGCTTTCTCTTCCCGCACTGCAAGTACAGACAGAAAAGTTTAGTACGCATAAATATTACAATACGGTCTAATTGACAATTTATATTTATTTACATGTATTTTAGTATATAATCATAAAGAACAGCAATCGGGCCACCCTCGCACGGACTGTGTTCGTATTCCATGCCGACAAAACCATCCGTAGATATTATGAACTGTAAATCGTGTATTTTTTTTACTTATTTTAATATCAATATATTATCTGTTTTTTTTCTTTATCACTTTTTATATAGTTACGCAAAAATCAAATGTTTTTTAATACCTGCACGGTCTTATCGTGCCACCTGTTGGCTGCATTTGTGCAACTGTTGTAACCCGTCAGACTTTGAACTGCCCGGACCGAAGCATTATTTTTATCTTTAAAAGCATCTTTTGGTATATCTTTGTCCAGACACAATGCAAACAACGATGTTTCTATGTCCTTAATTATTTTTCTATTGTTACCTATTTCTGAAAATATGTCAACAACATGATTTAAGACATAACACAACACCATAATTAACGAAGATAAAAAAGAAGAAAATAAAATAAACCTAAAAGTAAGCTGTGATCTTTTGCCCAAGTATCTCTGTCGTTTCCGGTTAAAATTCCTATTGGCTTTTCTTTTGTACGCGAGCGATCTGCAATATCTTTTACAGCAGCCACGAGTTTTTCCTCACTTAAAATGCCGTTTTTGTCAACAACGTTAAGTTTAAAGAACTGTAATGCAAATAGAATGTAACAAAACTATTTAAAAAAAAAACGTTATGAACAATTATACTTACATGATTATTGCTTATAATGATTATGTGTGTAGCCTCATCTGTGTGCAACAGTTTATCAACTGATTCGTTTGGCTGTCTATGTGTCCCGAGTATCATGCCGTATGGTTGCATATCAAGCGGATCGTCACGAACCATTTCCTGTGGTATCTTCTTACTAGAAACAATTGCACGTGCTTACGCTTAAGAAAACACTATAAAAAAGAAAATATTAAATTCTATAGAACTTACCTCTTTACCATCTCGTTATAATTGCAAACTCCAGCAATGAGACGTGCTGCAAATACATACATATCATCTGGTTTGTTGAATGTAAACGTTTGTCCAACAACACCGGGACTGGAATTTACAATGACAGGAAGACGGTATCCTAAATAGGCAGCTTGCAGCCACCATTCTTTCATCTAAAAATGTATTTGAATAAAGAGAAAAAAACATTTACATAATTGCACATTTATGCAATATATTAAATACAAATACAATAAGTACCCAGTTATCAGTGTTTTCATATTTTTCCAACAACTTGGCATGCAATCGAGGTCCAACGCCAGTGTCGCTTATAAAATCACCTACGATCCTCTCTGTATTTTTGTATTCCTTGTCAGTCAGCAGTGGTTTTAAAGACCTACGTTCAATACCTTGATAAGTCATAAATTGTAAATATAAAATTACATATTTAATAAAAAAAAAAAAAAAAAACTATGGACACACGTACGTACCTCAAATAACGTTCTGCAGTTTGTTTGAGATCAGGAACAGGTTGTTTGGGAAGTGGATATTTATTTAAACTTAGGTTTGTTATAAAAGGTCTTGGAAAAATAGGCTGTATTTTGTGTCCATCACGAACCTGTTGATTTAGACAACTTTAATAACTAGTTCTCTCTCTCTTTTCTCTTCTATATGAAAAATACACATATGTTTACTCACTATATATTTCGACATATTAGAAAGTACTTTGTACATGATTTATGTACAAAATTGGAAGCTGATGTCACAGTGCTAAGAAAAAAAAAACAAAGATTAATCTGTATGATAGTGACAAAGCACATATTGCAGCACAGATTGGCACGTCAATGATCTCATTTGACATCCATTCTCTCAACGAGTCTATATTTACATAATCAGATAACAGACCCCAGTAACACAAATTGAGAATAAATTTAAGTGTTATCATATTGAATCTTTAACAAAAAGCTCATTATTTACAAAATATGTTAACGTGTAAAAGAAAGTATCTGTAAAAGGAGAAATAGAGAGATTAGATCGAACAATCACATACATATATGTGTGATAATACACGTACACGTGTTCTAAGTCACACACAAAACGTTTATAGAATAAATGATCTGTGATGATTTATACGTACTCTCTCGCTAAGATGTTACATTTAATGTTACTATCGAAGTGCACATTGCTCTAAATATAAATTTAACTTTAGAGTTGAATCACAATAAACGATAAACATTGAATTATATATAGCGATGGACATTGAACTGATACGTGTATACTATTTTAATGAAGGTATATAAGAGAGAGGGAGAGAGAAAACTGATATATATATATATATATATATAAATTTCTGAAACACAAAAATTTCATATAAAAATTATTTTTAAAAAAGTAACAAACGCATATAAACTTTTCTCGCATATAAAATTTAGTGTACAATTATACAATTATATATTTATTATATTCTTATTTTATTATTTTCTTTCTTTCTTTTATTCTGCATTAATAAGAAATCTAATATAACATGTTCCCATTTCAAGGTGCGTTTATACGTTTCGACTTTTGTTAATGTAAGCGAAAATTTGCTGTAATGTGTTTTGTATTACATTTTGAAATATTATAAATTTTCTCCTTAGACTAATATCAGATATATTTCTTTCTCTCTCATACAAATCTAAATTAATTCAACGGAATTAACCAATCATATGATCAGTCAAATTCACCAATGCGCTCGATCAATTCCACGACATCTGTTATCTGCAACTTGCAATAAACGATTGTTGTAGACTCGCCCTATGATTGCCAAGTAGAACGGTAGTCCGTGTTAACGTGAGATCATCTGTTGGTTGTCAAAGACGCAAACAAATTTTATCGCAAAAGACACAGTTGTAATATTTTGTAAAATTCTTTTGCGAACAATGGCGGATCCTAAATACGCCGACTTACCCGGAATTGTAAGTTTTTCACACGTTATTTTACTCATCACTTTATTATTATAAAAATTACATGTACAATGTATTGTTATTTATGTGCTGAAACACACATTGCAGGCGTATGATCAGCTCGATGTTTACGAGACGAGCGATTTACCGGAATCGGAACAAATGCGGATGTATTGCGAGGTACTCGCACTCCTGTGCACTGCACATGTGATATCCGAATGCTTAATGATTTGCTTTAAAATTTTTTTTTTTTAGGACGAACCCGATGGCTCCTGTGTGGAACAGTTACATATCAGCGCTAAGGAGGCGTTCAATAAATTTAAGGGTAAACAAATCGTTGGAAAGCCGGTTGATTTCTCAGATAGTCTATCGGCTAAGCCGAGGACAGGATACAAGTACAAACCTTTTTGAAATATGCGCGATAAAATTTTATATACATATAGAATATAAATTATAAACATTTCCAGATTCGGAGATTGGGAGCTCGTTGGCGAAGGCGAGAAGGAAACTCCTCTTCAAAAATATCAACGATTGCAATGTGAGGTTAAAGAGTTGTTTGAAGAGGTGAACGAGCTGAAGGTGAGTTGTTTGACACAAGATTGATTTCTAGATAATGAAACAAACTAGATGTAATAGTATACATATATATATATGTGTGTGTATTAAATGTATACAGGAGAAATCCAAGGATGAAAAAGAAATCAAAACTGCGAGTGACCTTATTTCTCAAGCACAACAAATAGAAAAGCAATTGGTTTCCCTAAAGTTAGAAGAATGTCTGGCACCGGATGTTGTCGCGACTTTATCTGATCCGCAAGGCACTACGCTCAAGTACGGCATTTAAAACTTTTGTTACACATATTGGAATAAATTATTTTCTCTTACGAAACTAAAATATATTTTAATTTTTTAGACAATTAATATCACAAATAGAATTGTTCAAGCAAACCAGCGTGCCTTCATCCAAATCGTCGTCAGAGAATAAAATGACAGATGATGCATCAGATGAATCTGGTGTCTTAAAGTATCAGATGATGTACTTACCGGAAAAGGCGCGAATGCAGGAAGCCGCTAGAATCGCGCAACTCGAACAAAGACTTTGCTGCTTAGAGAATCTCGTAGGCACAAGTAATGATAAACTTTCCAAATTTTCACAGGTAGGAATCATAATTATTCGCTTGCGTTTGTCTTTTAAACATATTTCAGTGTTTTTCTGTTTTTTTTCTTTCACAGAACCTTAAATGTCAAGGTATCATGGAAGCTGTGCAACAGTTAGAAGCAAAGGCCGCGTTATTAGATGTTAATCAGTTGGATACCATTGAAACAAGATTAGGCAATTTGATTTATCGAATGGACACCATCGCTCAAAAGAAAGCTGCGACAGAGCAAGACTCGGAACAAGAACATAAGGTGATTTTTTCTTTTATCGTATATATTAAATATTAAAATCAATACTGTTTCGAACGTAACATGCATGTGCAAATCTTTTGACAGGTTTCAGAGATGTATGAAATAATGAAAAAAACAGACGCTATATCGCAAATATTACCACAGACGGTAGAAAGATTGTTGGCACTGAACGATATTCATCAACAAGGTAAGATTATTTACCGAATTAAAGAGCGAAAAGAGAGATATTATTTCTGAAATAATGGTGTTTGTAATGTTAACGGTGTTTTTCAGCTGCTACTTTTAGCAAATCTTTGGTAAGATTAGAAGAATTGCAAGGGGAAATTTCATCGGCACTCGAAGGCAACAAGTCTTTGTTGAAAGGAGTGCAAGAAAGTTTCGCCTCGAACTTCGAGATTATAAAGAGTAATATAGCGACGCTTGATGAACGTATGAAGAAACTGAAGAAGTGATCGAAATAAAGAACGTGGTAATCTGATTACGAGGGCATCGCTAAACTATTTTCTAAGATAACTTACGGAGCATGTAAAATCGTACGTATTATATTAAATTATTGTTTATGATATAATTTGTAAGTTCTACTTTCTTGCAAAAAAAAAAACACTTTCATATATTTCAACATTTTTCAAACGCAATATTTATCTAATACAATGCATAGTCATTAAAATAAGAGCCTACTGAAAAACAGCTTTGATATATAAGACAACATGTAAACTTCATATACGAAACATATGAATTAAGATAAAATAAAATTTCATTATAGAAAGAAACACTAAGTTTCGATAAACATCATGGATTATATGTGTGGATGTATAAACAATTTTGGAATAATTATTAAATAAATTTAACTTAAAAACAAATAATGACAAACAAAAAAGTGTTTAGGACATCTCACAGGATAATGTGATGGGAAAAAATGATTTTTCTATTTTGTTTTATCTTTTATATTGGTCCTTTATTTAAAAGCAATTAGAATCTTAACTTTTGGAAAAACCACTTGTTTTTACCATTTTTATATCTGCAAGCAAGAAGTAGAATTGAATATTAATTATGAGAATAACTTTTCTAACACACCGGTGACAAAATTGTCATATCACACATACCTCTCCTCAAATTTAACGCGCGTCTGAAAACGAAACTTCTTGCGTTTCATTGGGTCCTTAAGGTCTTTAGGAGCTACTTTCTCTAATTGTAAATCTACCGTATATCTTGTTGGCATTAAGTGATTGTAATTTAAAATCTAAAAATTTATATGACGATTTTATAAGTAGAAAAGAGACATAAAAGAGACCGATCAAAGTTTGAAATGTCAGAGTTTTAACTAAAGTTTGTTTCATCAATAAGAGACGTTCAAGAATTTGCAAAGAAGAAATTTAAGAAATCTACCTTGATAAACGGTTTAATCTTGGAACGCTTGTGCAACTTCGCTTTTCCCATTCTTTTGTGAACTTTCCGGGGATAGCGATCAATGCCAGCGACCATGGCGTGTCCGTATGGTTTTTCCGTGGTACCGTCGTCGTAATTGCGCAATACAAGTGCTTTTCTACCCGCGTATCGGCCGCTCAGGACCAATACGACTTTTCCTGTTTTCATAATCTTCACCATCCTGAAATACCGTGCTGAAAAGAGAGAAATAACAGCGATTACAGGAAGGATTGAAAGGATTAAGAAACATCGCTAAGTTATTGTACAATAAGAAACATTTTTTTTCGTTGTTTTGTTTTTTTCAATAAACCATTTATTTTCAAATATCGGAGTCGTATAACGTCAGAAATCATGTAAAATTAACACATAAAAAAAAAAATCGGTTATTAATACCCTGACAGGTTAACTTTGTGTAATCGTGTATAAATTTTTCGAAGACATAAATAATTGTATTAACGTCCGAACAAAAATCACTCCGCGCATTAATTATACGAATGCGACGCAAATAGAGGGGAAAATTTTTAAAAATTTTCAAGTTTTGTGAATAAATTCACAGTAGCAGTCAGCATGACACACCTCGCTCGTTGCCTACTTGGCGTGAAAAGGACCTAACCTCACGTGTCCGATTTCGTCACGAGATGCGAAAGAAACAATATGGTGATTGCGAACATATATTCAAATGGACAAATTTTTTTCTACGCATAAAATGAATATAATTGTACGATTTATTTATTTTAATATATGTAAATTAATAAATATACATTTCTCTTATCTCTCGCATTTCGATAATATTATTTATTACATATACGTGTGTATAGGTATTGAGAAATTATGAACAAATGAGAGAAACCCCCCCGATTCATTTTTTCAAAGAATCGTAATTATATGGCAGAACATTTTGAAACTATTTCGTTGTAATAGCGTAAGGACTTGTGAGATAATGAAAATTCAACATTTTGCTCAAATTTTATATACAATGATTCACGAAAAACGTTTTGTGTTGTTTGAAATATAAACAAGTTTACTTGTTAAGAAAATGAAAAATTTGCAACCTCCGTCGGACTGGTTATGCAACTCCTTTTCCCGTCGAGGAGATAAGTTTTTTTGCAAACAATTTGTTACTATTCCTCTTCGTTATTACTTTTTCAATTAATGATCTTTCCCACCTTCTCTCTCGACTTCCATTAAGAAGCAGCATAAATCTTCCAATTCTCGTTTCCATTTCCTAGAGATATCCTGAGCCACATTGCCTCGCGCGCCTTTACATCGTTCGCAACAAGTGTTTCCTAATCGATATCACACCCTATACGAAGCCCTTCTAATCGCGCAACGCGAACAAGTTCCAGGTGATCTTTGTTCCCGTTGTGTGATTGTCCCGATGCTGCATATTTATCCTAAAATATATAATTCTTATAAATTTCTTTAAAAAAAAAAGGAAATTCTAAACAACATAAGATTTACACATATTAAAATAAAGTTAATTTTGTTGTTGGCCATGTCTGCCGCGTCATCAAGTCTGTCTCTCTCTCTATTTCTCTCTCTTTCCCGCTTTCTAATGATTAAACCAGTGTGATTAATACACGCTCTGTTTATCCTCCGAGGGTTAAACCCCCGTTCATTTGTCTCTAGTATTTCGAGGGACGTGACAATTTACGTTTACTCGATAAGTCCTCTCATCTCATCGTCCTTAATGATGTTGTACATCTTCTGTCCCCGTCTCTGTCACCCTCGCGTTACGTTGGCCCGCTACCCAACAGCGCGGTGGTGCAATCGATTTCAAAATCCGACGACGCACGCTCTGCTCGCCGCCGCCGCCGCCGCCGCCGCCTGTTGTACCTTCTCCTCTTCTCCTCCTCCTCATTGTCCTGCCTACCTTTTGCTCTCCAGTCAGTGTCATCGCTGCGGCGGAACCGGCGACCGCCCACGGGAACATGGTCCAGGAAATTGCGCTCGAATTCGCCGAGTGGTGATCATTTGCTCGCGAAGCAAAGCTTAAAAATACTGACAACGGTGTTTTTTACGTGACGATAAGCGATAGGATGTGCTGCAGGGTGTGAAAAAATTGAATCACCTGCGTCACGCCCAGGTGAGTACAGACACAAATTTTGCTCATTCCACCCACAACATGTCTCTCTCTTTTGCTCGCTCTCTTTCTCCATCCCTCCTTCTCACCCTCTTTTCCCGTATTTAAATTTTTAATGGCAGAAATTTAGTAATTTACGTAACTTTTTTTAAATTTCTGTGTTGACTCGTGGAAATGTTTTTTTTTTTTTTTTTTTTAATTTCAATATTTTGAAAAGAGTTTTTCCAGTATATAGTTTTCAAAATCAAGATTGCGATCACGTTTGTTAATGTAACATCTTAATATTCACGAAAGCTCGCTTTTTATCTAACTAGCTCGACAAATAGGACGCTGCTACACTTAAATACATTTACATTTTGATTAAACAAAACGTGATTAGGTGTGCGCATTTTTTTACATATTTACGTCAAAGGTGAACTTCACGGTAAGCAAGATAAATCTCTCAATGTTTAATACAGATCGGGGTGGAAATTACCGCAGTGCGCACCGCGTTTTTATCATATATCCGAGGATAAAATGCGGAAGCGAAAGAGGATTGAAACCGGATAGCGCAGGCTTTCAAAGGAACGTTCATTCGTTTACGGGGAAGAATGAACGCGACTACAACCTGATGCTCTCTCGACTGTGTGCATATATATGTACATGTGTGTACGTGTGCGTCGAGATGTACGCGATATCATTTTACAAAATATAAAACAGTAACGAGCGGACGTTTCCGAGGGCGAAATCCGGAATAACCGGGAAAAACCGAAGGATAGAAGAAGCGAAAGGATCAGCGACGTATAGCGTATTGCTGTTGGACATTCGTAGCGTCCGAGAGTTTGGGTAATTCAATTTGTTCGAAAGTCGCGCGATTTGTATGTACTGTGGATGCACTAGCTTTTCTGTTGAATCCGCATTCGATCCACAAGCACACGGGCACTGCACTCCGGGGGGGCGATGCACCCGGAATAGTACTTACACGAACTCTAGAAACTATCGCCGCAGAAGACCGACTGCGGCTGCCTTCCACTCACGATGAATAGCCTACAAACTGAAACCCTTATATATACACACGCTTGGCGCGATGTTTTGCCGTGAGAATATAAAAATAGAAGTACATACACATCGGGAAAATGTGTAACGCGAAGTAATAATTTGCTAATAATTTAAATTGAATACAAAAAAAAAAAAAAAAAAAAATTCGCAAAACACACACCCTGATCTCGGTTAGTTGTTCGCGAAGATCTCTGATGTCATGATTTTATATTGGTATTTTCCGCGGCGGATGTCCCGAGGGCGCATAAAATCATATATTGTCACAGACGTCTGAGAGAGCACACAGGAAAGTGACACGTAAAGTGGATTCACAATTGCAGGGAACATCTATGGGCCGTAAACGGTGGTGGCGGGGAGGTCTGGGGGAGCTGTTGGTGCTTTGCATCCTCCATCACGTCGTCGTTCTAGCTGACGGCAATGTCGGTGAGTGTGATTAAATGTTATTCCGTGTGAGCGCGCGGACAACGACGCGTTTGCGTCTCAATTCTCGAGCGCGCAATTTATTCTAAAACTGACAATATATATTTTGTCACGCGATATCTGCGATATAAGAAGACGTTCAAATCGGTATTTTCTCACTTCACAATGCGGGAGCTCCGTTTTCTTTTTTTTTTCTTCTCTCAGAAAAATTGCGAAACAGCGTCGTCTCTGTTCGTCGGAATTACAAACGTGTTTTCTCGAATGAAATAAGGTCTCTCGGGTTATGACGTTCTACGTGAAACTTCTGGAGACTAGACGTAGCTCTGCTCCTCTCTCTTTGAAATTAATACTCGGATGAACTTTAAGTTAACTCTCTTTTTTCAGAGCCGATAAGCGAGAGGCTTATAAAGAGATAGGAAATATGAAGTTTTTTACGATGAAGAGCGTTCCACTCGATATGTTTCATTACGAACCATCTGTTATAAAACGCCCGATCAAGCAGTAACTCTTTGTGCGTGAGCAGTGCACGCGAAGATAAGAAACAAAGGGAGATGAGAGATAGATTCTACAACAGATGTAACGACATTCTGAGAGAATTATCACGCGGACTCACTCAATATCGCATTAACATTTCATGGAAATCGCTCATCCGCACACATTTATGTTCGTAAATAAACTTCAAGTTAGGTCGCAAAGTAAAAAAATGATTTTTAGATTTTTTTTTTCAAATATCTTTGTAAAATAAAAAGCTTAAGAGTCTCTCTCTTTCTCTCTCTCTCATAAATTTTAATAAATAATTCTCTAGAAATGTATAATCAGAAAATCTTATCTTCGTTTTCAATCAATATTTCTGTTCGCAATATGCGAGTGCTCATATCAAAGTGTTAACATCGATCGCGTTCGTTAATGGTTGACGCCCCATTAGGCCAACTGCGTTGTATATTTCTATAAGTGCCATGCTGTTTGGTCACATTCGTGAAAGTGCACTTATTGATTAACAACGCAAAGAGAAGGAAGACGTATAGCAAGCAAAAAACACCTTACTATTATGTCTCTGACTGTTGTTACACGCAAAGAAAATTATATTCACGTTTACGAACAACGAGATCGCAATGATATCGTGTGACATTATGAAAGAAAAATTGAACGACGCTACGTAATTAAGAGGAAAACACAATTCGCGCTCTTGCAATGTTACGCGCCTATGTACAAACAACTCGAGAGAGTTGTCAATTACTTGTATGGGACCTAAGAGCTAATTAATTGCGTTAAAACTTCCGTCGGTCAATTTAGAGTACGCCGGCGGGGTGTTAGATAAGAATGGAGAAAGTTTTGACGCTATGATATTAGCGCGACTCAAACTCTCCTTAAACCAGTATCCAGCAAAACTATTCCCGACACGGCAATATCCATCACCTGGTCTTGACGTCATCGAGGAGCTTTTCACGATCTTATTGTTTCCGGCGTAGTTTTACGAGAATCGGGATTAAAGGATCGTGTCACATCGATTTCGCGTTATCCGTTATCACGGTTCTCCTCGCTGTGCGAGCGCTGCGCTGTGCAAGTTTACTCACGGCTGATAAGCCACAGCTGGGCTATAGAACCTCGTCACAAATCTCGCAATTATGGCTATCGCTTTTTTTTCATTAGCGAGACAACCACGAAGAGAACATTTCGCGTCTCTCTGTGATCCGCGGATCGGATCTTCCGTGAATCATTTAAATGCATCTAATCACTTGATGTGATCTTGAACTCATCGACAACCTTCAACAAATATATTTTATATCATCCAAATCAGTAAATAGCAAAAGAAACTTTTTCTTACACACATACGTACGTGCATAAATATGCAGAAGAGAAGGGAGATGTTCGATTTTCACCCACGACAGCAGCTCGAGAGTTATCGAGCCGTTCATCCCACGCAGCTACGCCTTCGCAAACTTCGAGATCTCTCTATCGCGCGCGCGTATAAATGTCTTTCTCTCTCCTTCTCACCGTCTCCATCTCGCTCTTTTATCAGTTATGTCGCGTAATCCTTATCTATCTTGTTTTCACCCTCGAACCTCGACTTATTCATTATGCGATCCCTCTTGCGGCTCTTCCTGCCGCCTCGTCCACGTGTATCTCGCTGTTCTTACATACATATTCATTTTGATGCGATTTTGGTTGTTGCGTGCTTGCTTGTTTGTGCGTGGATCGACGATGTGTATCGTCGATTTCATACACAAGCGACATTCCGTCGCTTCGTGTTTACGCACTTCGCCTCCAATAATTGTCCTGCATCAGAAAAAAAAAAAAAAGATAAAAGATAAAAAGTGTAATTCAAAAGAAAAACTTTTGGTCGGAACAGAATTGAACGCGGTGAAAAAATATTGTGACAATATATAAAAATTTAACACGCGATCCAAATAATTCTTTCACAAAAAGAGGACAATAAAGTTTCATTCGGTTCGGGGAGAGAATTTTTTCTTTTCTCGGGAGACGAATGTCAACACGTTCATTTATTTAACGACGTTAAACCAAAGTTATTTTCGACAATCTGATAACAACTTTGCTCTTATCTTGGATTTTCGACAAGGTCCTGGGGATGCGACATGTGTGTGCGTGCGCACATATATTTCGTGAATTGATCGGTCGATTATTTCACGCTTTCGCTTCCCGAGAGGGTCAAATCACAGATTGCACAACTGTGTCAAAATATTTGCGCGATATAACACCGTATGCGCGCACACACACACACACACACACACACACACACGCACGCGATCTGCATTAGTCTGATGCGGCGAACCTATTGTATAAATTCCGTACATGTAGCAAACTCGCTACTCGATTTATCAAGCTCGAATTATTCGACCAGCGTATAACGCACAAAACAATTTCAACTCTCACAGGGTGTATAATCGTTTCTATTTCCAGGATGTCTATTTAGCGAGAATGTGTGCAACGTGGAAACGGAAAGATGCTTCAACGGTAAATGCAATTTAATTTTAATTAAAAACATTGAGTTAGTAATATAATAAAAGTTTCCTCTTTAATTGTGGCTTTTTTTTTCTCTCGCTGTACGTGCACAGAGAGACGGATATACATATAAAATCTAATTGTTAATATATATCAGATATTTAAAAAAAAAACTTTACTTCTCCGTGCGCTACATATTGACATTTGTTTTTCAGATCGGGCGTTCGGAAAATGTATACCACGTTACGTGAATTTAGAGAACGGCAATTTGTATCAGTAAGTCACGATATAAATAATATTATATAGGTACAGACTTCGTTATGCAATTGATGTTATCTGAAACGAAAGAGAAAAGTTTCGGATTCTCACACCCCGATCGGTTAATTTTATCGCCGGGTCATCAAACGGTCTCACTACTTCGCTCGTCTTCCTTTATCCGTCTTCGTTATCGTATATCCACGCATTAACGTTTTTAGCGTTCTCCCATCGGCGCGTAATCGATGCGCTATCGCGTTGTGTAATATACTTTTATTGTCCGTCAGATACACTCTCGATGCTAGCGAATTGGAGGTATTAAGACTGCAACTAGAAAGACTCGAATCTGCTGGTTACAAGTGGAAGCATCCCTTCACGCAATGTATTATGCAAACATCGTTACGCAATGTTCGGCGTGGGTATGTCGCATTCATTTGCAAATTAGCTAATATACACAGTCGAGAAATTGATATCAGTATGAAAAGTCAATTGAGAGAACGACAGAATTCATTATTCGTAAGACTCTTTCGCGCGATATGAAAAGCGTAAAGAAAAAAAAAAAAAAAAAACGAAAAGAAACGCAACTTGTTTGATGCTTTTCAGACCGAACGGCATGTACGATCTTCGTCTTTGCGAACGGCTGAAGATACCACGTCTCGACGAACGCAACCAGGTCAGAGCATAAATCATATAATATCTAGATCGAACATATCTTTTTCCCGTTCGCATCTATCACAGATGTGTAGATTTTCAGACAGACAATACGCGACTGGACTGACATCACATTATCTTGTTGTAGAAATATACAAGATTTCGTCTCTCGATATCGAAATCCTTTTTTCGCAGGTGTCGATCCCGGCAGTTGCCATACTGAGAATATCCGCTGACAAGGAGAAGGCATTACCCAAGAGCAATTTGGCCGATACTCTGTATCATCAGGATATCAAAGACAAGTACGTTCTCTTGCTGAAAGAGAAACTGATTAGTCACAGAAGAAAACGGAAAGAGAAATTACAAAATACAATTTTTTTCAAAATTAAATTACATTCACGGAGAGAGACTTGTGTTAAGAATTGTTTCATCTGATTCTACTTACAGGTTTCCGAGCGGTTTACATTTACCGCAAGCGTTGCCGTACAACCGGGAATCCATCGATCGCGTTTACAGACAGAGATACGCGAATTGGCGCGATGTCAAGAACGATCGCGCTTCGATCAACGACGAGAGATACGAAGGCGAGCACGGAAGATCGTTGAGCAATACGGGCCAGCAGTTGTATCTGCCCAGAACACGTCGCTACAGCTTCATCGACGATTACAGAAACGACGACGTCGAGTCGTACGAAGACACTTCGAGGAACAAGAAATTGCCGGAGAACAACAATAAGAATCTTTACGACGACAAGCTCGAATTCTTACCGAATGAAAACTCATCGAGTTACACGCTGCTGAAGTCCACTTCGTCCGACGACGCGGACGAGAAGGATGAGAGAACGTTGGCCCGGAGATACAAACACCGGCAATCACTGCTCGATTTTATTAACGATTATACGACAACGGACAACACGAAAAAATCTGCACTCGACGCTTCGTCCGACAACGCGGACGAGGAGGATGAGAGAACGTTGGCCCGGAGATACAAATATCGGCAATCACTGCTCGATTTTATTAACGATTATGACACTTCGCCCGACGACGCGGACGAGGAGGATGAGAGAACGTTGGCCCGGAGATACAAACACCGGCAATCATTGTTCGATTTTATTAACGATTATACGACAACGGACAACACGAAGGACATGGTGATCGGACGCGACCATAAAGATGATCTCGACTATGACGGCGAAGCGATTGACGACGGGGATTCGGTGAAGATCGAGAAATCTGACGTTTCTACGAAGGCAGACAGAATGTACACCGAGGGTGGAGTCGTACAACCTTCGAAATCTGCACTCGACAGAAGCGGTGGTGAGTTCGTAATTCCGAGATGAATTCTGTTAGATCGATATTTAATATATTTGCGCAACAAATAATAAGATATATCTATATATATATAATACATCCGACGCAGAAACTTCAGAAACTTACGACGATGTGTTAGACGAGCTTCTGTGGCGACGAGAATTGGCCGGCTTCAAACGCAGAGAACGTCTAGACGTAAAGAAACCCGGACCGTTGTTCGCGACGAATAATTACGCGTTTAAAACCCAACCTACGCCCAGTAAGTGAGAAGAAATACGTTTTACAATATATGTATTTCTGTCGACCCTAAATCGACTCTTATTAATTCACGATTTATGATATTTCTGCGCCTGTTGACAAAGATTATTACATGGAGGACATTCAGGACGTAAGTATAACCAAGTTGATGCTGTTGTATTAGATTGGAAAGAGCGTTACATTGTTACTTCATCAATCCGTTATGTTGAAGGACGAGAAATACGAACTATCGATGAAGAAGAGTTTACCTGTTAATAACAAGGAGAACGACGATTCGCTAAAGAATTACGAAAACGTTGATCTGGACCACGTCTACATCGAGTTTAAGCAAGAGTTTCGCAAATGGGCTGAAGGAGAACACGTAGTAGACAAGGTAGATTAGGAAAAAAAAAAAGCGAGTAGCAGTTTGAAGTCAAAGTATATAAATGTTTCACACACAAGAAAATTTGAAACTTAACTTTAAAGTTTGAAGAAAATATTAAACTCTACTTACTATATGTAAGTACGGTAAACTCAATAGGGAATCTCGTTAAATTTTCAGGTGGAGAAGCTTTTAGAGCTACCCGCCGGAACCTTAACAGACGTACGAGTGGGACGCGCGGAAGTTACGTTTAAGGTCGTCGGGAACGACAAGAATTACAATTCCACCGACATCATCCACAAAATTGGTATACAACTTGAAAGTGCCGCGCATTTTTATTTACAAAATGAATTATATAAATGTAAAAAAAAATTAAAGCGTATTTGTTTTTTTTTTTTCGATGCAATAAGATGTGTTGTATGTTAGGTGAGATACGCGACCAATTACAAAAGGAAATGGGAGTGAAAGTTCTCAAAGCGGGAATAGGCGACAAGGTATCGACAACAAATCTTTCTTAAATGTGTTATCTTACTGTTTACCAAATCGAACGCGAATATTCTTCCGCAGACTAAATTACCGCCTATCCTGGAAATAACCTGGGAGGATGGCATGAGTTCCAGCTTGTTCAGGGCGTTGGTGGCCTGCGGGGTCGCGGCCGCGATCGGTTGCGCGGTGGTCACGCTGATAATCGCACGCCGTACCGCAAAATATCGGGCGAAACTCGTCGGACTGACTACTCCGGATCCGGAAGCGTCCAAGGACTATCAGGACCTGTGCCGAGCGAGGATGCAGGCGAAGCAACCGAATGAGAAAGTGGAGTCGCCGCGCATCACGAGCCTGTCGCGCGAACAAGAACCGAACAACGCTTCCTCCAATCGCTCCAGCACATCTTCCTGGAGCGAAGAACCCACTATCTCGAACATGGATATATCAACCGGTCACATGGTTCTCGTAAGTTCAAGATACAATTCTTTACGGTAATCGATGTATGTGTTATAAAAAAGGACGTACATCGAAATTGTGTTTACAGAGTTACATGGAGGATCATCTAAAGAACAAGGACCGCCTGGATCAGGAATGGGCCGCTATATGCGCCTGCCGCGCAGATCCATCGTTCACTGAAGTCGCGATGAATGACGAGAATATCGAGCTGAATCGTCCCCGTTCAGTGATCCCCTACGATCATTCCCGAGTTGTCCTGAACGACCTCGCGAACGCTCACAATTCCGATTACATAAACGCTTCTACGATCGTAAGTTTTTATATCACGATATTACATCACTTACATCCAAACACCAGTATATTCAATACACGAGATGTATCGAATATATAGTCTTTAACGGTTGTAACAAAATTTTTCGATTGTTCCAATATTTGCGCAAGTTCTGTGTAAAAGGCGATTTGTTTGTAAAATAAAATAAATGTATTTTCGTTTTCACGTTAACGTTGCTGAAATACGTACGACATTCGATTTTCTGGCTGCCGCATCGCGTAGAAGCCGGTAAGTCACAGCCGACGGCATGCCAAACAAGTTGATCGTTTGTAAAAATAAAATAAAAAAAAAAAAAAGATCGTTTGTAAAAAAGATGAGAGATATATACTTAGTGTTTTCTCGACGCAATTTACAAGGCTGACACGCTTATATTTTTGTAGTGCATCGTAATTTGTAACACAGTGAACATATACTTTTATTACAGCATGCTTTATCGCGACAAGCAAGTCTTTGTGTATTTTTAAGCGCACAGTTTTTAGCGATGTATCACCGCATATCACAATCATCCGATGTGTGTATAAACCGTGTGATTAAAAAAATGCAAACTCCGGAACGGAAAAGCAAGTCTCGAACGTGTCAACGCAATGAAACAGAGCGAGATTTTAGTTGCGCAGTATTTTATACAGCTTTATATTGCTGTAGTAGAGCGTAAAGTATCTTGCAATAAACACGTTGTATATATTCGTGAAGGAAAAATCTTAAATTTCTAAGAAACAGAAACGAATATTGATTAGATTGATCGAAACATTTTGATGTTAAACAAAACTAAAAGAAAGAGAAAATTAAAAACAAGACGGAATCGATCAATCTAATATACACGCGAATGTACGTTTACGAGTAAAGAATTGTTTATCGAATTTTTCTCTCAAGAACTTTTACCTTATCTACAATGTCGCTCGTTCGTTACAGACGGATCACGACCCCCGGAATCCGGCTTACATAGCCACGCAGGGTCCGTTACCGCTGACCACGGCTGATTTCTGGCAAATGATATGGGAACAAGGCAGCGTGGTGATTGTGATGCTGACACGACTCACCGAGGAAGGCCGTTCTATGTGCCATCGCTACTGGCCGGAGGAAGGATCGGAACTCTATCATATCTACGAGGTGCATCTGGTGTCGGAGCACTTCTGGTGCGACGACTACTTGGTGCGCTCTTTCTATCTGAAGAATCTGCGCACTTCCGAGACCCGAACCGTCACGCAATTCCACTTCCTGTCCTGGCCGGAGAACGGCGTTCCGTATTCCACGAAGGCTCTGCTCGAGTTCCGAAGGTGAATTTTAATTGCGCTGTAATTGAAGTGTTTCAGGAATTCAATTAAGAAAAGAAATATGTAATTCGCTCATCTTTCTCATTCCAGAAAAGTTAATAAGTCTTACCGCGGAAGATCGTGTCCCATAGTCGTGCATTGCAAGTCAGTATATTTTATATATACAATATAGTTGATATTATTTATTCGCAGTTTGCGCATTCTTATATTCAATATATTTAATCGTGTGTTGCAAAAGTGACGGAGCTGGACGTACCGGTACATACTGTTTGATCGACATGGTCCTGAACCGCATGGCGAAGGGAGCGAAGGAGATCGACATTGCCGCTACTCTCGAGCACATCAGGGATCAGAGGCCCGGCATGGTCGCTACGAAGCAGCAGTTCGAGTTTGTTCTGATGGCGGTGGCGGAAGAGGTTCACGCGATCCTCAAGGCTCTGCCTGTACCGGCCGCCGACAAGAACGCCGCAGCGAGCGATTCCTCCCCGCCCAGCAAATCGGAACAGTGAGAGCCACTCTGGCCGTGACGCGAATTCAACCCTGAACAGCACGAAAGGTCTGAAGAACTTAAAATTTTCGTTCCCTTGTATTTTTGTGCACACACAAACTTCATATGATTTGAAAGATATGAATTATCAAAAAAGCAAACTTTCAAAGAGATGATTCTTTGTTATTGCAACGTGCGTGCGGGAGTTCTGATAGTATGTTTATGTTGGTCGATCATTTCGTACTCTCCAGGATTAAAGTCGCGACCGAGGATATGCATATTGATTTCGATTTTCGGGTTACGAGGGAAAAAGGAGTCAAATACTTTCGCTAGCTGTTTACCGCGATGTTACATCCTACCGGAGTAAAGAATGAGAATCAATTGATTTCGTTTGAATTTTCTACACGCTCCAATGTACTTCCCGACTAACACTTTCGCCTGATTAGTTTCATAGAACGCATCGATCTTAAGCTTCTTCTTTTATATTTCAACTGTATTTCTCTTAAAACGTGAGAAAACAATAATCGACTTAAACTTCTAAGAAAAAAAAAAAAAAATCTAGTCATATAATGAAAGAGAGAGAGAGATAGATAGATAGAGAGAATACAGTTTTAAGTACGAAACGTATTAAGGGAAGATAAAAAAAAGTCAGACTAGAACGTATATATGTTAAGGCAGCTTGCAGTATAAATGTGATGCATATAATCGTTTTTTTCTTTAGTGCTATACTATCTATAATAAGGTGGTGTTATCGTTTTGTTACGTCGACATGATCGTGTGCATACGTATTTTTTTTTTTTTTTTTTTTTTTTTTTCTGCTCATCAATAGATCAGGCGACTGATTATGTTTTTTTTTTTTTTTTTTTTTTTTTTCTGCTCATTCAGACGCGGCCTATTTCAAGGGTCAAGTACCTGTGAAGAACAGACAGACAAACAAAGAGATCGCTATATTCTCGAGGCATATATATAACATATATATATATATATATATATATATATATCAAACGACTGAACTCTAGGCAGTTACCATACTGTGCGATCGATCGGTGATACGACGGGACATTTTATACTAGTAGAGTCTACTTATATATATATAGCGCTGCAATATATTTAACGTTTAAACGCGATCGCTTCGGGAAACTTTTAATTTGTTCGATACGGAGGATTTCGTATCCTGGTGGACTGATACGATCGGATCGGCCGCGTTTAGCGTTAAGTGAGCTACGTGCAATGATGATATATACGCGGGCCAGGATTTCTCTATTGTCTGTCGTGGACAAAGTGTATTGCCTTTTTCATATTGTCTTTCGTACGTAAAGAAATTTGTGAAAAGAAATCTACAAAAAGCCGTCTCCGTCGGTCTTGTTGCGTATCAGAGATTTCAGTATTTTATTAGAATAGTTATTTTATTACACTATCTCGATTCAATAGTTTCCTCACCACCCCCTTTCCGTCCCCCTTCCTGTAGTTACATACATATGTACTTAATTTTACTTGCATCGTTTTTTTTACGTATATACGCACATACATAAAATGTGTACATACACCTAATTGAATTTGCATTGACTTTCTATGTGCCCCCCCTCGACTCTAACGTCGTGCTTTAAAATAGCTTTAAAAGGGACGGATGAACCTTTTCGATCTCTCGAACCTTGGTAAATAACAATCAACGCAAATCAATCAGTCATTAAGTCAATTGCGAAATATATATCTATGCAACGTGTGTAAAGAGACGTGAGCAGAACGGTTATTTTAACGAAGCGTGTATACAGCAGATTAAAACAATAACATTCTTTGTTATCACCTTTGTTGTGAGAAAGAAAAATCTTTCAGTGTATATTCTCTGTGTGTAGTTTTTATTTTGTAGATGAAGAAACGGGGTCATATTTTTGTACTTGTTAAATACAGACGTTTTTTTTTGTTATTCTGTGTAAACTTTATATAAAAAAAAATATGCGCGGATGATCGATCGAACAGCCAAATTATCGTAATATCAACTCGCGGAAAGCATGCGTATAATTGTACTTATGCGGCGGATGAATGATTTGGCCGATCGTTGTTGCATCGATTTATTTATCAAAGAATTGATACTAGTTTGTAAGAAGATCAGTAATGCCATTTGATGTTCTAAAATATCGTGATGTGTGCGTTTTATTTTGCTGAAGAATTATATAGCTTGATGAACGATGTTAAATGGTAAAAAAAAAAAAAAAAATTATATACGTAAATATCCACGCATCTATACTGGCGTGTTGTGTCAGGGTTTATTACAATACGACGATTTCGATGCCACATTATTGTGAAACTTTCGTGACTGATAAGTTCATATCATTTTTTCTTTCACAAACGTGTAAACATCCTATACATATCTACGGTATTTCTTTAAACTGGTGCTTCGACAGATCTATAAAATCATTTATTTTTTCGTAAACGCAATTAAATGAAATTTAATGTTTTAACACCGACGTTAAGGATTAAATTGTTTCGCGAGCGCCTATATAATTAAATGCATAACAATGCCATTTGCGCGATACGAATACATTTATTTTTGTGGGAAATAGAGAAAGAAATTCTGAATGTACCTTGAAACTGTGACAAACTTTGCTTGATCACTGCAAACTGAGTTTGATTAGCCTTCTTTAGCACTGACTCACATGAGAACAGATTCTATATTTTTATGTAAAGGGATGAGTCTCTCTATACAAAAATATATGAAAAGAAAAAAAAAATATATGATATAGTTATATATAAATCTATACTATGTTACCCAAGATATAATACTATATACATGTTGTAAAATAATAAATCGATCTATGTTCAAATCATAAACGTGTGCTTATATTTCTTTCCGTGTAGGTTTAACATGGGTACGATATATACATATATATACATATATGTACATATATGCACATATATATGTACATATATGTATATATATTGTATATGTATATTTATGTTTTAAATACAAATCGTTTTATATATATAATAACACAAAATATTTTTAAATTAGGTTTTGTTAAGAAACAACAATATATAAATTATGTGAACACACACAAAAAATATATAATCCAATACTTACAATAATAAACGGCGATTTTTAAATATTATGATTTATATAGATTGGTTTTTACTTATAAGTGCTTGATAACGTTTCAGGAAATTCTGGATCCCAGAAACCTTAAATAATTATTGTTTCGTCACACGTATCATATATATTATAAAAATATTGAAAAAATATTTTATGTTATACCTTCTGGTGTATTCGCTCTTTCATATTTATCCCGATGTCGCGAGCAATAATTTTTTCGGTTTTGTAACTCTTCCTTAGGGAGCGCCAAATTCTTGTAATACTAAAAATCAAAAAATTGGAAACTAGTCCATTTTTTTGTGCAGAAAAAAAATAATTTCTATTCGTAGTGTTTTATATAATTATGCCATGTGTTAATATACTAGATATTATACTTCTTCACATTCCCAGCAATCCCGGCCTCTCAACTTTGCTCTGTCAGATTTGCATCGCATATTAAGCTGCTCTTCAGGAACATCTTCAGTTTTGCTTGAGCTGTTCGAAGATAATAATCGGTAAATATAGAAAAAAAAAAAAAAAAATACATATGTGATTGTCATAAACAAAAAATCTAGTTGTAGCATATACCTATTCAACAATAATTTTTTTACAGGTGGCCTGTTTTCTGTATTGTCCAAATTAGAATCATCAGTATATCTGTTCATAGATCGTTCTATAGAGAAGCAAAACGTTTCTTCTTCATATGCTGGACAATTATTTTTGTTCTCAGAAGTACATTGTATTCTGTCTGTTCCTAACTGATATGTCTTTTTGGTTTTCTCAGGACTTATGATCTGAACATCTGGAATGTTATTTATTTCTACCAGCGGAGAAGCCGTTGTATTATCTTTTAAAGGACTGTTAACTGTAGGTGTATCAAAATGTTTAATAAAGGATTTGTAATTTTCCATTTGTGTGGGATGCTTGGGAGTACACGATTCAGAATCTATATCTGTTACTGTTAATATTGGTATTACATCCTTATGATCAGAACTATTATTTTTCTTTTTAGGAAAAGTATTTATATTTCTTGAAGGGAGTTTTCTCTTAAGTTGTAAACAGCGTCTGAGTTTAGACATAACATCTCTTTGCGTAGGACTGATGTCTATCACAGTTTCATTGACATTTGTAATATTGCTGTCCTCAGTAGTGGATGCTTGCAGTACAGAAATATCTTCTCTTGAATTCTGTTGCACTTTTGGCAATATATCAGTCAAATCAGGTTGATTCACATTTGTTGAAGGCACTTTCTTAAACACAAGTCGAGTCTGTTTCAATTTCCTACCATCTGACAAAAATGTAGTTTCTACATGTTGTGATGTACTGAGTTCCAGATTGGAATTACATTTTTCAGAAACTTCTTTATTGCTGTGATATGTTTTCATATTGGATGTTGAGTTGTCATACACTGAATCTAATTGCATTAAATTTCTTGTAAAAGCATTGGAATCATTTAGATATGTTTTGCAGAGTATTGGACTCTTTGGTGAAGTATTTTCAGAGTTGTTTTTGTGTGGACTTGTATCCGAAGAATAACTAATATCTAATTCTGGCAATAAGATGTTATTTTCCTGCTTACTATCCTGGATGTTCAACTGTTTCTGAGACAGTACTTCCTCTTTTATGCATGTTTGAGACAATAATTCTTCTTTTATGCGTGTACAAGGTTTATCAACTTTAGATAAGAACTGACTACAATATAAATACATCCAATATGTATTTTGATAAATTTACATATAATTTACAGTCATAATAGTAGCAAGAAAGAAATAATCTCAAAATGCATATTGAAAATTTGAAGTAAAATGATAAAATATACATTTTATAAAAATAAAATCAGTCAAAACTTACCTGCTACACTGTTTGTGTTCCTCTTGCAACTTTATGTAATTGTCCAGTAAATCTGCAAAATATGAAACATCGAATTTGCGCTTACTCTCGACTTCGGTCGTCTTCTCTGTTTTCTAAACTTTTCTTAGAAAAATCAAGTCTTCGATCTAATTCAGATCATCGATGGTGAAAATGTCTCGCAAGAAGATATTTCATAAAATGTCGCGTCCGTAAAAAATAATCCATAAAATGTTATTTCTATCTTCGATCAGAATTGTTCCAAGTAGGATAGATTACGAAAAACATCACAATACACAGAGTTACTCTAATTTTTGTGCGCGCTTTTTCGTTTAGTTCCGTTTATCACCATCAGATGGCAAGAGATACGTTCAGAAATATGGCTGCGTTCTCCGATATTCATTGCCAATAAAAATCTACATTTCATGTGCTATAAGATTTCCAGTACTGGCAATAAATACGGAACGCAGCCTATTTATAACTCTCCAAGGTATATAAATTATATATTTAAAACTTTATAAAAAATGTACAAAATTATATACTTTATGTGTAAATTTTACGTATAATTACTAATGTATATACTGTTATGATGAACGATCAGCCTTGTTGATTATGTCTATTGTACGTACTTTGATAATGTTTAAACGCTTCTTGCAGGATTCCGACGTAGCTTTCTAGCGCTTTTTTCGCGTTTTCGTCACTTATGTGAGAATCGAACTGCGGAAATGCTGTCATTGTTATCGGAGCACGCTTGTGTTCTACTATTACTATTATTTCGGAGCAAATCGCGCGGGAACTGCAATTAAAATTCCTTTCCTCAAAAAAAGTGACGCAAACTCACAAAGCGCAAACGTAATTGTATTTCAGTCTTCACTGAGTACCGATGTTTATTAATTAAGAATTATACGTGCTACAAAAATGCTTTGAAAAAAACGGAGCAATCACTTAACATAGAACAACAGTTGACGCGTTCACGTCAGACATACACACATACACACTTGACGTAGGAAACTTTCAGAACTGCGTTCCAAAATCCATCGTCGAATAAAGTAGCGTTTAAATTGACCAATCCGAATAGAAGAAATCTCTGCTCTTTTCTTCCTGATCTTTACTCGACGAGTAAAGCAGATTTTACCTTAAAGTTGAAGTACTTACCTACAGAACAATTGTCACTTGACCGAATCGATATTATATTGATCGATATTATAGAACGATTTCGATCTAAATCGTCTGATAATCGACTAATCGAATTCAAGTTAAGTTGAATGAACGGTTCATTAATTGATCGCTCTGATTGACTTTTATTACTACTCCGTGCGATATGATACTTACGGAGAAAAGTAAAACACAAAGCTTATTCTATTGTACTTTTTTACAACTCTCTCAACTGTTAGTTTCAGCAGAAAAAAAATTGCGAGCGGCCAAGGATAAGTGAAAGCTTGTAATAGCTTTTCCGCCCTGTAAGCCACCGCTGTGTCCAGGTGGTACATATTGGCATCTACGTAGCCATGTCCACGAGCGATTAGTCAGTGCGTACGTTCACACATGGACATGATTCTATTCTGTGCTATGTCCACAACATGCAATTCTATTCGAATGCGATTTTCGCGTTTGAAAGTGTGTCTTGGGTGCCAGCACAGCATAATCAAAAACGTGTCAGACACACCACATGATTCGAAGCGTCGTGACGAGCTCTAGAAGTAACGATAATTTTTATTTCGATAGTTCGCTTGCATCATTCAAGATTAGTTTGAAATAAAAAAATTTGTTTTTATCATGGGTATGTATCAGGAAAAAAATATGAAAAGTTTAATCTTTATATTACCGCAATATTTTTCTGCGTTATACAATATTTTGCATATCATTATATTATGATGTTTTATATGTAAAAACGCAGTAAAAAAGAAAATGTTAAGTTTAATTTGAGTGGACATTTTAGAACATTAATGACGTGTCATTAAGTTTTCTCGAAATTTTATGGTAAATTAAAAAATAACTCATTCATGTCATGTGTTACTTAATGACAAAGTAGCAATGTTAAGTGACACATTATTTTATATTTATATTTGGTATTTTTATTCTAAGAGTGTGATATAAATATAAGATATAAAATAATTAAAACCTACAGTGGATTAAAATAAAATCGTAAGAAATGTATTTTAAAACGAATTTTTTGTGTGTTAAATTAACTCATGATAATAAGTAGTTTAACTTTGGTTTGAATAAAGGTGATTATTTTATGTGTCAAAGTTTATGATTTAAAATTGAACTTTTCTTAGAATTTTGATTTGAGACTTGTAGATTAATTAAAATATTTGTGGTAACAGAATCTCCCCAAAATAATATTCCATTTCTAAATAACGTACACAAAATCTAAAGTTATGATGTTGACATAAATTTAACACATGAAAACATTACAAAAATGATAATATATCAATAGTTCACAGTAAAACAATAAAACGGCAGAACATAAAAATTGTAAGACGTTTCATTTTATGGACACACATTTTTTTTATTGTGTATTATTATTATGACTGATAAAAATATGTTTTATTTCTTTTTTATATTTTCGACGTGTTCTATTACAGCGATAGTCAGATACACATTTGTATATAAGCCACTCAAGACACAGCAGGTGTCAGATCATTTTTTGCGACAGAAGACACAAAAAAAGAAATCACTATGAAACTCATAACTTTATTCCTCGTAGTTGCAATCGCAATCGCGATTATTATTCCGTCTATTAACGCCAGTGCGGAAGCAAATGCGGACGCTTTTGCTGAAAGTTTTGCCAATGCTTTTGCTGAAAGTTGGGCTGATGCTGATCCAGGCAAAGTAACGGTATAGCAAAATATTTTATGTTTAAAACTTTTATTATATCACAACTGTGGTAACTGCCAAATAAAACATTTGTACAGAACAAAAACTCTATTAGACGTCTATTAGATTTTGCATGAACCTGTTGACGTCTATATAATGAACGTTTAATGAAGTTTTTATTCTGTAAGCAGATAGCATATAATATTTATATTTATATTTTAGAGTGCTATGAAAGAGGGGGCCATACTAGCAGGCAAGGCAGCAGGCAAAGCACTTTGGGAGTGGGCTAAAAACAAGTGGGGAAAATAATAACATAGGTATTTTACTAATATATTCAAACTATATATATTTAACTATTTTTATTTGAATAATAATTTTACTTATCACTTTGTTTTTTTATTTATTCTATAAAAATGATTTAAAAAAATAGGACATATATATATATATATATACATACATACATGTATGTATATATGCTCTTATAGAAATTTATTACTAATGTAGCCAAAATAATACTTATTTCGAGTAATTAAAGCACTGTTTATCAATAATTTTGAATATTAAAATTATTGCTGAATTACTCAAAATAAGTAGTATTTTAGCCACACCAGTAATAAATTTCTGTAAGGGTGTGTTATTTGTTTTATACAAAATTTTTTATTGTGTTTGTAGCTTCTGCTTTCTGACTCATCGGAACGGACCTACTTGATTCGAATATATTGAGACATGTATAATTATGAAATATGGAAGCACGAGCGCAAAACGCCAGTGTATATTTGTTACAAATATTGTAAGTACTGAAACGTGTTTGGCGAAAAAATACTATCAGAAACAGAATAATTATGTCAACGTTAAATTCTTTACATATATATATATAAAGCAAACTTACAAAATTCTGTTTTCTCAAAATTTACAATGTTCTCAATAAATAATTGCAAATAAAAAAACGTAAAAAAAAAATATAATGCGCTGAATTATTTTATATGTATATGTAACACTACCGACACGCTATTGTCCATCCCATGATGCTTGTCTCTATTATTTGTTCATTTGTTTATTCGGTTTGTCATTTCTGAACTTACTTTGAATAATTTACTCATTGACGAAATTTGTACATCATTTCCAACTCTTTGCTTCTCGAATTTCATTACGAGTAAACTTTCTAAAAAATAAAGTCGGTTTGTTTTTTATTTCAACATCATTACTCCTCGATATTCTCTCAACAAACGTAATATTATTAGCGATTAACAAATTAAAACAATAATGTCTTTATAAGTAATAGTAAAATAATTTTACCGTATACTCGCGGACTATGATTATTAGTCGCGATATTAATTACATGTTATTGCGAACGCCTGACATTTTATGACACACATGTACGACTAATGGTTGCGCACAAGAAGATAATAATCGCAAGAGATGCGGGAACAAATTGTACGAAGTTTCGACTCCGTTTGTCATAATAACTGCGCGTTAATTCGAATATTGAAACGCGCGGTCTTCTTCGATAATCGACATATCGAATCGAAATATCGACGTGCGCAGCAGCAGGCACGAAACAAAACAATCGTCCACTGGTCCCCGCTCAGGTTTGCTTCCTCTTCTCTGAGCAGCTGTTCCTTTGGGAGTCGAGAAAAAGCACAATAAATTGAAAAAATGGCTAACGAGTCTGTGTGGAGGAGACCCAGAACTGATGACGACGAGGATGAACTTCTACGCCAGCAAGAAGAATTCCTAAGGTCACGTCAACCGCTGCCTGTAAAACTCGTAAATTCAAAATGTTCTGTCGGGCAAAGCAAATCACAGTCTTTAAATTCGGCAAAGCTAGATGCGGTGTCGACCTCACAGGGTGTTGGAGAAGTGATAAATCCCGATATCAGAGACAAAATCGAAAAAATTTCGAAGACGCTCGAAGATGTGGTACACGATGTGCCAACAGTTACATCAGATGTTATAATTGGAAATATTGTGGAAAAGAAATTCCAAGGTGACGAGCGCAAGTTTGACAATAACTGTTTGTCTGCGGCAAGTGTACTGGGGTTTCCGAAAGTTTTTAAATATGAAACCAATGTACCATCCACTGACAAAGTATGTATCTTTACAAATATGTTATCAATTAACCTCTTCGGTTAACCTATCCTATCGTCGACGGCCGCCATAGGCCGTCAAGTGACAGCTACGCGGAACACGTGCACTGTACCGAAAAGGTTAATTTTTTTAATATACTGTTATATTATAATTTATACTATATTGTTATATTCTTTTCAATTTTGTAAAAGGTCATTGGTAAGCACAGTTTATTCTGGCATAAAATTAAATCACAGAAGACTGGCAAAGATAACGTTGTCAAAATTCAGAAGGATGAATCTTCTGTTTGTTGTAACAAAGAAGAGACAGATGTTGCAATTGACAGTCAATTAGTTATTGAGATTCACAAAGAAAATTTGGAAAAGTTGTCTCAAATGAGTCAAGAAGAAATATTAACAGAAAAGAAAAAACTGGAAGAGACTCTCGATCCTAAAATAATACAATTTTTGAGAAACAAGAGGAGTCACAAATCTAAGAAAAGATCAGCTGAAGAAAATAAATTGCAACCCAATGTGTCAGTTATAAATAATGAAGTAATTGATACAGAACCACCTGATGATAAAAAAATAAAACTGCTTTTAAACAAAAACGAGAATGATGTAGAAATGAATTGTGAAAATGCATCAAATGTTTCAATCTTAGAAGAAACAGTCATGGACACAGAAGTATCCAGTGACAAAACAGAAAAAATGTTAAACGATGACAAGAAAATGGATTGCAAAGATGATACATTAAATATACCAGAATCATCCAAAGAAATATTAGAAGAAAGCAAACAAAAGGGATGGCTTCATATGGATAGACCAGAGCCAGATAAGTTGAAGTGGATGGAAGACTTGCTAGAGGAAAAGAAAAATGAGCCTATGTTGAATGAAGAGTATAATGCAAGATTTGATTTCAAAGGTAAACATTACATGTTATTACATGTTATTTGCATCTACTAAATTTATTTCAAAGTACATAATATGTGTAATTTATTGTTGTATTATGCAACATATATATTCTCATTACTTAGGTCTTTTATTACCATATAAGGATGAGAATTTAACAATGGACAAAGGTCTCCACCATCATGGTGAGGAGCCTGATCGTCCTGGATACTCTCTTCAAGAGTTGCTACAGCTGAGTAGATCTTCCACTCAGCAGCAAAGGTGTACCGCGCTCACCACTTTAGCCAACGTTATGGAAAAAACACACAAAGGCTGGTACGACAAGGCTCTGTATCCGGCGCCGTTAACCGCGCTCAGTCAAAAAAATATTTTGCTGCTGCTGAGGTTCTCGTTAGACGATACGTCCGTAGCTGTAATAACAGCTGCTCTGCAAGCGCTCCGAGCTTTTCTGGTTAGCGAAGCGGACGAGGTATGTCTCGATAGGTTATACGGATTCGGAATGTGTGAAGAACCGACTTTGATGCCCGAACTCGAGGACAAAGAAACGGATAGTCTGAAAGATCACGAGCTGGCGCAATTTGATGCCGTAGCTACGTTAATAAGAACAGATATTCTAAAAAGAATTAGGTAATTTTTGATAATTTTATTTTGTGGAAGTTATTGCAACTCGTGTGATTTATCGTTTTTAAGTATATAAAATAAGGAAACTAATTTGGCTGGAATTTTGTTTTTTGGATGTAGATACATACTAAGTGAGATACGTCCACCAGCTGTTGGAGTAAAATGTGCATTAGAGATACTCATTCGCCTTGCGAGACACTCCCACGCAACAGCGGTGAATATTGCATCTACGGCGGATTTGTTAAATATCATCGTCAAGAATTTTATGCCACTGTCTGTAGATCGACTAGGTATTACAATTAAATGTGCTCACATGTAATCTATCTATTATGTTTGTTGAGTAACTTTTTTTTAAATTATTTTTCTCATGTTATAGCGATGCAGGATACAGTAAACAGTGCTTACGGAGTTCCAGTAGTCACGGCTATTAAACTTTGTCGTGTTCTTGTCACATACGTTAAGAAACCCATAGCACAACAATTAAAAATCATGGAAGTTATCCCGATCATTCTAACGTACATTACTAGCGATACGGGGTAAGAAATTTTTACACGTTTACTTATACACATTTTTAAGAATATTGAGTAATTGTTTTTTCTCTCTTACACAGTAAACAATATAACACGAATCTTGGGATTGAAAGCTTGCGACTCTGGCAAATGCTGTTGCATTACGAGATAAGCTCGGACAGTGTCTTAGGAGCCGTTTTAATTCTGAATTCACAATTACAACTTTTACTGAGTAATCACGATATTCAAAACATGTCCGAGCTGTCGTGCGAATACGCTGCGGCGTTAATTACGGTGACGAGTTATGGTCGTGAATTAATGCCACATGTGTCCACGTTGCTGGAGAAGTGGAGCGTTCAATTTTCGTTGATGTCACAACCTACGGTAACTTCTTCTCGTTATTAATTTGATTATTTAATTCAGTATTTTATAATTAAATTTCGAAAAATATTTGTACGGAATAAAAGTGTGTTTTGAAAGTGTTATTTTTGGTTCGTGAGATGTGTATTGAAGTAACTATGTAAATTTCAGTGGTGTGTTATGAAATTGATCGCCAAAACTTTACTCGTCGTTTATACGAAATCCAACTTCAGAACAACGCGGTTATCTATTCAACATGTTTTTGCAACACTCCGGTAAATATTATTCCGTTCATATGTCACACGCAAAAGAGCAATACGTAACATATGTAAAATGCATTTGTCTCTTTTTTACAGTTCCAGTTCGAATTTGTTGAGTGACTACAAGTTGGCTGATCGGATACCATCTTGTCTACCAAATCTGGATGTGATCGCGGAAGACGGAAAGTTGCAGCCGCTGGTGTCTGTAAATTCGTGCATACCGTTTTTGGCGACACTGCTAAATATATACAACAGTCATTCTTGCGTAGCAGAGATACGTGCGATAATCGAACACCCGTCTTTTTACAAATATATGCGAGACTTGGAGACGGTAGAGTGGAATTTGGAACGATCGTGGTACACCAGAATGGAGTTGTATCTCTTGACAGCGGTGGTAAAAGGAGCGCACCTGTTGAGAGACACGATTGACAATCGGACGTCAAAAATTATATGGAAGATCAATATCAAACTCATCTCGACTTTACCAATGGATGCTGGTGATCAGGTTAAAGAGCTCCTTGAAATTGCACTATCTAATGAAGAAGTAAACTTGGAAATAATCACCAACGAATTTAACAAATTGAATTTGACATCCGTAATAAATCAAAATAAGATAGGTTTGTGTTCCAACGCGGCGTCTTTGTATCAGAGATACGTAGTTTCGAAAGGCGAATGGAATCAGGCGGCAATGCCGAAAGACTGGCTTTTTTTACCGTTGGTTCACGTATACACAAAGTGCAAAAACAATGTAAAACTGCAGCCGGAAGATAAGGACAGCATTCGGGCTGTGCTCAGTCTGGCGTTGATCCTGCCCGATCTTATGAAAAAGTTGTCGCCCACCTTAAGATTCAGCAGACTGTTACTGGTGTATCTGTGCGACACGGTGTATCTGGACAAAGACGTGTCTGTGTTAGTGTCGAATGTCATGTCGAGTTTACTGAGAAAGTACCACGCGCGGCTCAACTTTCAAATGGAACTTCCCGGATTAAACTCCTTTGTTGATTTGTTTACGGCATTGTGCGAGCACTTCTGCTCGAACTCGTACGGCGACGACGGTTTCGCGTCGGTGTTGCTGGTGCCATTGGCGCAACGGCACAACGCTCACTATCGGAAATTACTGTGGTCGGAACACGCAGCCGCGCTGCGATATCTGAGACTGCCGTGGGACAAGCTGCTGGTGCCAGCGAAGGAGTATCTCCATCCAGAAGAAGAAGACACGTCGCTCATAGAGAGTTACATCACGGCGTTGGTCCGCGAAACGGTCAAAGAGACGTGGTGTCCGATTCCATTTGCGATCGCTGTGCACCATTCGGCGATGTATTTGAAGCGAAGCGACAAACTGGCCACGCGAATGCGAACGCAGATGGAGAAGTTACGAAACAGAGATATCGCGGACAAGTTGTTGCATTATACACCGCTGCAATTCTAAATGTACTCACTTGGCTGGAGAGAAAGAGAGATTTCAAGTAACAATTTTATACGTGTAAATATGTAAATAAATCGGCTTTTTTTTTTAAACTTGTATATTTCTTTCAGAATTGATTTCAGTCAACGTTAGAAAGTAGACAGATATATATATATATATTATGTTTATATTATATGTGCAAGTACATATGTACACATTCGTATATGTATATGTACGGATGATACAACAATTTTTTTTTTTTTTTTTCTAAAATCTAGCAAACGCGATATATAGAGAATAGAAACAATATCTATACGTAATTACAGTAAGCTTAAAGGCAAGAATTGGTCACTTGATTGCTGATTGCCAAAAATTTGTTTTTCAAAGTGCGTCGAGTTTTTCTATTACGTTGCTTTGAAAACACAACTTCTAGATAATTTTAAACACACACGCGAGTGAAACGCGTGTTTAACATTTGAAATTCAAAACCTTGTTTTAACAAAAAGAACTCTTAATCTTCCGAAGAGGTGCGAACATATAAAAAAAAAAAAAGAAGCGAGAAACACGTGTAACAAATAACACCGAGGCAAAACACGCAGGACACTAGCAATGCGTACGAGAAGGTATATTGCGCATAAATCCCGAAGATCCCTCGATCTTAGATTTTTTTTTTTCCCCCGAAAAAGAGAGAGTCTTAGGCCGGTATGCGTTATAGTTCGTTCTTGTATTGAAAATTGTGTTAAATTTATTTTGAGAAGCCGTATGTGGACCGTCTCATTGGAACATCCGAAGATGAAAACTCAATATGATCTGAAATAACAAGATTCGACTCTTTATGTGAATATCGGCCTTAGAATCTAGCTTCTCTTCATCTTAGATCGTTAAATAAAATGTTCGCCAGCTCGATCAATCTCAATTACCCGATAATAACGTTTTCGCGAGATTTCTGCGCGATTTATGCTATACAATCATCGTGTACATATTTGAATTGAAAATAGTTTGACGAAGCTATCCGACGCGTAATCTGGCACTTTGATTGACAGTCTCCCGTTACACGTTTCAAGGCCTATCTTTAGAGAATCAATAGAGCTCTAGAAAAATTGTTTAAGCACCCGTATTGATAGAAAAATTGATAATGACGCAATCTAAAATTCCGATAAAAATATATCATTAGATTCGAATATATATATCGGGAATATATCGATTTCTTATTTCGTGTAGGAATCATTCCGGACTAGGAGAAGCGAGACTACTCCCAGAAATAGGCCCCGAAGTTCATCCCGTCGTTCACAAGCGCAAAAATTATGATCGGCCGATCGCGCGCGGGACAGGACATCGATTGCGCGACGACGTCGGATTTCTCTCATCGGCAAACATATGCGGACAACGTACGGCAGATCGAGAGACTGGATTTGATGTTAGGACTCGATGCCGAGCTTTCTGTAGGTCTCCCGATCCACCGTGACGAGACGTCCCTCGACGCTCGAGCAATCGAGCTCGATGCAGTGCAGTCTGGCGCCCCACTCGCAGTGGCTCTGATCATCCAACCGGTAGTACTTGATCTGCAGACACGTGGACAGGTAACCGGAGCCCAGTACCCGCATGGCGATCGGCAGATCCTCCCGGTGGCCGCGCGCGCTCGCCGCTATGTCCTTCGTGCTGTGATAAGCGCTGTACGCGCACGCCGTGCCGTCTCTCGCGCGCTCGATTGCCTCCACCGGTTTTCCTCCAATACTCAGGGACCTAAAAGAGGGAGAGAAAGAGAGAGAGACAACAAGAGAGAATCGGCAAATTTTCAATAAGTATTTCGTACAACACGCACTCATAAGCGTTTTTTTTGTCACACACTTTACTTAAAAAATAACTTAAAAAAAAAATAATAATAATAATAACGTAGCGTAAGCTCAAGGTTACAGTTAGGAAAAGACAAAGGCACGAGAAATCGATTGGGTTTTGTGTCTATATTGCCAACGTTTGTTCTCAAGTGCACACTTTTAAATGCACGTCTTTGTAACGACGGGGAAAAGTTTGCTTATCGAACATCCTCGGGCTAACATTCCGATGACCCAATTCTTTTTTTTTTTCACGGCCGAGTCGTGTGTGGTTATTTGTTTATTTATTTTTAAAGAATCGTGCGTGTTAGTTTCTTATTCGATCGCGAAGCGAGTACCGCGACGAGTAAGTTTTCGAAACTCTCTCGGATCATCGGCAGAGCGCGAGTATATGTGTGTATATATGAGCGAGTTGACGTGTGAGTCGCTCATTGCGTGACGAGATAGATACGCGCCTATGCCGCGATGTAAGCGCGATATATAAAGTTGGGAAACTCTGCTTTTAGTCGCGAAGTGAAAATAGATGCGTGTTTTGTGCACGTGTCGCAATCACTGCCTCGTGCGCGAATCGCGCGCTCGTATTTTTTCTCACGCCTGGCTTAACGTCAAGATAAACGAATCGACGATTATTACGTACATACATATCCCAAAAGCAACAACATCTCTCTCCCGTAAGTCAATCCGCGCTTACTTCAAACGTACGATTAACGCGCTTAAAAATAGCGATTCATCACACGCGCGCAACACAAAAAGTTCAACAAAGTTCCACATATCCGTCTCGATAAATGCTCCGACGCATTTTTTCTCTCAGTCGCGACAAAGAAATTTCGCGATCGTTTTTTTTTTTTTTTTTTTTTTTTTTTTTTTTTTTTTTTTTTCAAACAAGCATCTTTTGTGATTTACACGAGTCTTTTCAAGCGGCGAAAACAAAAAGAAACGCGTTCTATAAAAAGTTGCGATTTAAAAAGAAACGTGAAAAATGACGAATCGACACACACACTGTTAATTTTTTTTGCTACCGGAAGATTAGCTCGACTTATTAATCGTTCGGCTTTTCGAGAAAGGTTCCTCGACTAACGTCACACGAGGAAAAAAACTCTGTAACGTCAGTCCGCTATCCTTGAATCCTGATCGCGGATCAAGTAGCGCTCTTTTAGGTCTTGCGTCAGAGAGAGTCTCGTCTTCGTCGTGTTATATTCTCGGTACACCACGCACTTTAATCCTTTATGGATCGACAGATTGATTTATCTTTAGAAACCGCGTGATGTCGATCTATATAGTTTCTTTTCGTTTTTCACGGACACGAGCGCTTCGACTTCGCATGTTTGGTCTTTATTTTTGGAGTTGTTTTACGAGAGACGGCGACGAGAAAGCGCGTGCAAATGACCTGTGTGCACACGCGACGTTGTGCGTATCGGTCGCGTGTATCGTGTTTTATCGTCCGGAAAGAACAAGCAGAAATCGAGTTTGCTATCTCGGATACCTGATCTGCTAAATCACATGAAAAGAAAAAAAAATGAGCGCGAGATAACGTGCGCGATGTGTCAGAATCTATGTGTTTCAACGCGCTCGTTGGGAAAACTGATATTTTCATACGCTTCTCGATCTGTTAAATAGCAAAACACCGCGCGACCGATAAGCTGAAACGTCAATTTCAATTTAAAAAAAAAATAGAATAAAAAAGGAATTAAAAAAATTAAACAACTTAAAAAAATATATAATAGAAGAGAAACTTAAAAATTTCAATTTTCTACACTAGTGACATGTTCGCAAAAAATGATAAGAAATTGAAGAGAACGGAAATAAGATTTATATGAGGAAAAAATTTCACGGAAGATGCGATGCGCGTTTTAGATGGAATTCAGAAAGAGATCGATGGATATTATATAAGACGGGAGATGTGCATCGCGTCTCCGGAAATGTTTTTTGCCATTAAAATTGCACGTGTGCAAGAAGCTGCATCTTGAAAAATAAAGAGATATATCCGTGCGCGCCGGTATTGCGCACCCGTAGTAACGCGTCGCGTCGCATTACTACGTGTTGGCGTTATCATTCGTAAAAAATGCAACGAAGCTGTCGTCGGGATCGAAAGCTTCGTCGAAGTTTGTTAGGTTTCGTGTCCCGCTTCAGAAAATGTTACGGGGGGAGGATGTGTGTGTGTATAACACGCGTCAATTATAACATAATTGACGGAAACAAGGACGGGGCAAACTTTTCAGCGACGCTGTGTGTGCATCGCTCGAAAGTTCGGAGTTAGCAATCGTCAGCGCCCCAGGATAAATAAATGTCACTCGCGAAGTCGGAATAAAAAAAAAAAAAAAACCCAAGAAAACAAAACAAAACTGTGACTAATAAGGCGAGACGAAAATTAATTCGTTATAATCCGCGCAGCGCGACGATACGCGAGCGTTTTTTTTTTACGCGCGCGTTCGCACGAGATGAGTAGACGAATTCCCTGGCTGATTATCGCGCGCCCGTGACTAAAATCGCGAAAAGCAGGCCGCCGCAAATAAGAGCGCATCGCGTGATTCGAGCTAATAATTCTGTAGGTCGAATGGGCGGCTGCTTAAAATTCCACGAGATTTCGGCGATAGCGCCGACAAAGAGAAAAGAAAGCCCGGGTTTCCACGAGCGAGCGCGCCGCCGGGACTTTCCGTTGTTCGACAAAAAAGAACAAAAAAAACCAAAAAAGTAAGGAAGGAAAACTGCTCTATTTCTGCCAAGTGGGTGCTGGTTACACGTGTTACCCACGCGAGCCTTCGTGACTCCTCGAAGATCGTTCGGACTTCCCTCTTTCGTGAGCGCGCGACGTCGTTGAATGGAATATTTATGCGCCTCGCGCGTTTATCTCTTCGAGGATTCCCGCGCGCGTTCGATTGCGAATTGAACGAGCGCGCGAATTCTCGCAATTGCTGCATCTGTCCGCTGTAAATCACCGTGTGGAGTATTACAAACGTTAAAACCGACATCGATAGGAGAGAAACAAAAAAAACAAATCTCGAGCTCATTCGCAATATCGGCTTTTCACATCGGAGTTTTATCGGAGCTCGACTTGTCACACGCCGACGAATGCGCAAATAAATGTCCGATTAAAAAAAAAAAAAGATTGCGAGCGATTACGCAAACGAGCGTCGGTTTCTTCTTTTGGAAAATTTAACCTTTGACATTTTTTTTGGAGAACTTCACAATAAATTGCTTTACGTGTACATTGATCGCGCCGCAATTACGCCGCACGCGATTATTACGAGCCCCCGCGAAATATTCATTTTCGAGACGTTTTCGCAACCGGCAAATAACATCTCAGTTTCTGATTCAATTCTCGTTTTACATGCGACAGGTATCCATTACGCGTCGGATCGCGCGCACGACAAGACTCATCCGTCATGTTTCACCGCGATAAAACAAATCCGAATTAATCGAGTTGATCTCGCGACACCCTCTTTTGCGACGTTCTCCCCGGCGCGTGTCCCATCGATCAGTCAAGCCGCGCGTCTTGGAAGCGTCGCGCGTCCCACGAACATCGTTGTTCAACAAATCACGATCGATTCTCTCGGAACGAGTTTTCGCGGGCAATAATATCGTCTGTTTTTTTTTGTTGCAGCTGCGTTTAAAAATGGATTGATGTAGTGCGCGAGCACTACACAGCACTTCCCAAATGTGGCATTCGCGACCAGCAGCGACACGTTGACGCGCTCGTTGTTCCAAAGTTTATAAGAGCGCGTGATATAAGCGCGAGGGTTGTTATCTCGCACGGGGAAAAACCCCGACGTATATAGACGCCGCAACATTCGCGTTCTGCATTAGAAACGACAAACGGATATTGCTCGTCGGTGTGTGTAAATCAAATCTGCTATTCGTTAACTGCGCGCCGACCTCCTCCCTGTCGTTTTATTCGATTTCACGTCCCAACTTCCACGAACCCAAACCTTGATCTCTCGACGTGTTCGCGTTATGTACGTCGTTTTGTTTGTTTATTTTTTTTTTTTTTTATTAAATACACATAGCGAGGTAAAACATTTTACAGGCGCGCGAGTTTGTTCTCGGTATTACAGCTAAGTCGGCATTATTATAGCGAGATGCTATATCTGTGTGTGTACGTATATACGCGCGGCAAGAAGTCATATAATCCTCCCGTCCCTGGAGCATAGAGAGACGGCATCAAAATTTATTGCCCAGCCTCAACTCCATTCTCGCGCTGAAGATGATCGTATAAATTTCTGATAAACTACGCTACTATTAGTCGAGCGTAAAATTTTCGCAATGCGGGGTTTATGGTTTCTCCTCGTCCCTCTCCCCCCCCGAAAAATATATCGCTTTCGTCGCTTATGTATACATTATTCTATACGTTCTTCGAGAATTATATGGTATATCGAATATTACATTTTGACGTTCAATATAAACTGTGAGCTATAGATTATACACACATTCTCTCGGCTCGTCATTAATTCAAGCTTCAAATTTTTATCGGACGCCTTTCCATCGCACGCGGTAGTCAAGCGTTTAGAAAAAAAATATATAAATTCTATCTAAAAAAAAAAAAAAGCGATTGAGTCAATAAATACAACGGAACTGAAAAAAAGATCCGTGGTAAAAATTCTGTCTGTCATTTCGAGAGGGTTAACATCACCGAAATCTCGCGCGGAGAACTCTCTAACACGGAGAACTCTCCCTCGTAAACAAAAACTTAAACAAAAACTTTCAATCTGTCTGTTGAGTCTATCTCGTTTCGGATATACATGTACACACATGTAAATTGCACGTTTACTGTACCCACTGCAGCAGTTGCGGCGGCTTGAAACTGATGTCGAGTCGGTAGGTCGCCTCGCAGCTCAGCTTGACCGTCTTCAGCTGTCGGAACCGGGCGGACGTTTCCATCTTGCAGTAGACCGGACCGGCACCCGGTTCCCTCCTGAGGGACAAAGTCACACGAAAATGCTGATCGGCCCCCATTTAGCCGCCGCTGAGATGCCCCATAATAATCGTTCCAAATTGCTCCGGAATGTTAATGCCCTGCGGAAAAAAAAAAAAAAAAAGAAGAGGAAGGGGACCGGTTGGTTCACGCGCTTAGTTCACGCTTAGTAACCAACCGGGATTCGATGCACTGTCGCGCGTATGTACGTACGTATACTACAGGTCTCGCCGTAAGAAGAGAGAAGGCAGTACAACCTGCGCCGCGGGCGTCGCGACGCTCACTGATTCGACGTTTCACGCTTGCACCCACCGACTTTCTTCCTTCTTCCTCGTTTCCACATCAACCATCGCACGTTCAAGTTTGTGTGTTCTTTTACCGGGGTTCTTTTTTTTCTTACATTCGCGCGTTATGCTACACAGTCGGACGGGGATGGGAGAAGATTGTTCGGGGAGATCTCTGGAACAAGGGTTATATATCAGAATATTAATTGAAAAAAAAAACACGAGTACATTGTATTATACGCGTATATTTGCAAATAATGGGCCACTATGTTTTTTTAATTTTTTTCACATACAAACAGTGAAAAGAGTAACCGCAAGATAGGTAAGGCGCGATGAATGAAAATTTCCTCTACGCGCGTGAAACTTGATTATCAGTTGCAACGTCACGGAAAGTATATTAGTGACATAAATCTTTTGATTATCGTGCGATATTTCATCATAAGCTGTTTACACACACAAAAGGATATAAATTAATCCAATTATTACGGCGCGAGAAAAGATGGATTTTCCGCACAAAAGACAATAAATTGAAACGCAGGGGGTGGAAAATTATTTTTTTTTTTTTTTCGCGCAAAATCGCGGAGCAACTCGCACGGGGAGGACATGACGACGGTGCGTGCTCGTTACTCTCGCGAATTAAAATAAAGCTCATAGAGGTTTTAATTGAGAAAAATGTGTTTCACCTGACGGCCTTGACCAAACGACTTAAATGCGAACAAAGATCGATTTGGCATGCAACTGAGAACAGTTTACGATCCGACCTCTGTCGGTAGCGACGCGTATAAAAGGGGAGAGAGAAATGGAGCTCGTATTCTTACAAATGTGCTAAGTAGATTTTAATTGCACACACGCGCACACATACACACACATATGTAATATAATACTATAATCGTTTAAACTTCTACACAAAAAGACGTAATTTGTTACGTAGTAATTTTGTTCGTTATCAACGTGCTAATCGTGCGCTGTAATAAACGCGATAAGTTAACTGTGTCAAGTCTATTATAAATCCACTTTTTTTTCGCGTGATTCTAAGAATCAATTAAAAGTAATGAGGGTAGTTTTTTTTTTTTTTTTTTTTTTTTTTTACAAAATAACGTATTTACAATATGTAATCCTAGATGAATCGCGTGATAATTTTTCGGGCGCGCGAGAATACAAATTACATATACAGAAGTAATTACAAAGAGATCGATACTCGAAAAAAAAAAAAAAATCAAATCGAGTTTCTGGTGTAAAATCTAACATTTTCTTTTCTTCTATTTTTTTCTTTTTTTTTTATTTCGCTTGCAATTGAACCTCATACAGGGATGTAAAACGTGCAAGTTGCATGTTTTAATTTGTCACTAAATATTTAATGCAACGTCTACTTTATCGGTTCGATTTACGCTACTCTAGGTCTCCATATGTCTCTCCAGTCGTGCGCAACATTCATAATTAAGTGCCGTCGTTCGATCTGTTGTTCGTACGGCTTGTTGCAATACGCGCTCAATGCCTGACCGACTTTGATAGTCTGGCCGACTTGCAGGCAGAATTGAAAGTCGCTAGGTGCTTCGAACAGCAGCACGATCGTGGATCCGAGTCTGAATTCGCCGAACAGCTCGCCTTTGGCAACGCGAGTGTTCAAATCCGCTTCCTTCCAACGCGTGCCTTCCGGCCACTGCATCTTATTGGTCACCAATTCCTTGTCGCGGTAAACTCTGATAGAACCGACGTTCGTCGCTCCGACCGCCGCGTAAGCCATGAAGCCACCTGACCATTCTCCGACGTAAACAACGCGCTCATTCAGGGAGAACAGATTGAAAACATGTTTGAGCACCTTCGGATGGACGCTCAGCAATTTTCCTGAGGGAAACGCAACGCTCAATTAAAGAAGACGAAAAAAATAAAAAATAAAAAAACTATTAACCCACAACTATAGTTTCAAAATTGAGACGCACCTGGGAAATGTCGTCGGAAGTTTATGTGCCAATCGGTAGGACTGTGAAATCGATGGTAATCACCAGGTGCCAAGTAAACAACCAACTGATACAATCTGTTTTTTGGATTTTTTAAAAGTGAATTAACGTAGTCATCTTTTTCTTCTGTTTCTTTCAAGGAATGACCGTTCAAATCACCAAGAAATTGTCTGAGATCGTAAGTCGCTCCTTTTACCTGCTCCACTCGGCAAGACATCACCGGCCCAAAATAAAGAATCTCGCCATCTGCAGGCGAAATCTACAAAAATGACATGTTAATTTCATACATCAAGATTGAGTTAAAAAAAATCATTACAATCCTAAAGAAATATCTACCAAACTTGTATGTTTCGAGATAGGTCTCGCATTGTTCTTGAGTGTTCTCACGAAAAATTCCATCAGATTCGGAAACGCGGATAAATCCAGTTCTATCTCGTCCAGATTGGCGTTAAACAAGTTGGCGTAAAATTTGTAAAGCGCTGGTCTCAGATTTTCCGGCAAGTTGATGCTGGTCAACCAGCCCCATATTCTGCTGGTTACTCTCAGTGGCAGGCAACAATAGCACGTAGCCTGAAAACAAAATTAATTCATTACTATCTGTCGCGTAAATCTCGAAGCGATATATATAATTTCGGAATTAATGTTAATTACCACGACATCGTTAATTAATTCCGGCTTGTCGTCTACGTCGATGGAATATCCGTGCTCGTGCAGGTAGTTCCACTGTGTTCCGGCGACTACCGACAATCCAATTCCGGTCGGTAGAATAATTCGCCATTTTCGACCGGGAGTTTTTGCGCGAGTTGTCTGAGCGATCGATGTACATCTTCTGATGAAACTTGCGGACGATCTCGGTGTTATTTTCAGTGAGGTGTTGCAATATTGGCATCCCCTGGAAGAAATGTTAGGACCTCGCAAAGGTTATGTCACGGTAAATATTAAGTTTATTCTTTCAATTGATCGAATATTACAATGAAACATACCTGACGAGGTGACGCAGCTTCCACATTGTCAAAACGTCTATCACGATATCTTATCACTCAGCAAGTATATGTATATGTAAATTACACGACACTAAACGTCAATGGAGTTTGAAACCAGCTGTGTGTACACACAACATTTAAATACGCGCGCGTTTTTCAAACTCAAATTACTGTTCTGTAAAAATTTGATTTATTATCCGATTCCATATTTTTGTAAAAAAATTTCGATAAAAATTAAGTAGATTTTGTTTATCGCGCGTGCGACATTCGGTCTCAAAACCGAATAAATAACCTACAAATCGATGAGAAAAAGTTGCGCTCAAAAATTGTGTGGACATGTATTTTGAACAAACAACAGAACGCTCTGTAAAACCTTTGCGTCATATTTCTTTATGTGTGTGTGTGTGTGTGTGTGCGTATCACCTGTAACGTTCTTAATTACACGTACGCGTGTTGGCGAGTGCGCCCGCGCCGGAAAGGGTTAAGGAACGCGACATGCATTGACGTACCAATACGCGCGCACGTGTGAACGAACACACTTGTCTACCTGCGTGTGTGTCGCACACGTGCACGACAACCGTGCGTATACGTGTCTCACGCGACACCGATCGTCACTGACAGGAGCGCACACACTAGGAGGCAGGGCCGCGATAACAGGTGGCTCCGCGTCGCGGCAGGTGGATCGTCGCTGGCTCGGATTTTTTTTTGTGCTACACCGACCGCGGGTGCTCGTTCGCGTTCCCGTTTCAGTTTCCATTGTTTTTCCGTCTCCAGGTTTTCTGTTCCGCTTGCTCGTTCGTCCGCGAACGCAGAAGACGCATTGTGACCCGAGGCATTGTTGTCCCCGGGTCGATCAGCGGTGATTGTTCGACGACGCTGTCACCGCCGAGGCGCGCGATGTACGTGACGACAACGCAACGCTGTTCCAGAACGGGACCGTGAAGCGCGCACAACGTACGTCGGCGCCGAGGAAAAGCACGAGAGTAAGAAGAGTTACGCGAGAAATCAAACAGGCACCAGCCTCGGACGCATGAAAGGTCGCGGTTGCGGCAAGATCAAGAGCGAGACAATGCCGCCGTCCTCGCACACGAACTGGACGAGGCCGTTGCTCAAAGGTGAGCAGAGCACGCAGATGCAAATTGCGAAACAGCATCAACAACAGCAACAGCAGCAACAGCAGCAGCAGCAGCAGCAGTCGATGCCAACGTCACCGATAGCAACAGCAGCCACGACAACCTCCTCGACAGCTGTTGGGACCGGAACCGGAGCGCAGAATCAAAACATTATAGAACATCCCGCAACACCGCTCGACAAGAGAATTAAAGTAGTTCTAGTGGGCGACGGAGCGGTCGGAAAAACCAGTCTGGTTGTTTCTTATTCCACCAACGGCTTCCCAGGGGAATATGTACCAACTGCATTTGACAATTACAACGGTATGAAAGCTTGAATCGCATATAAGATATAAACGCTGTATTAATACGCTGATTGATGTTTTTTCAGTGGTCGTTAATGTCGACGGGCAGCCGCTGAATGTCCAGCTGTGCGATACAGCAGGACAGGACGACTTCGATCCCCTGAGGTCACTATGCTATCCTGAAACGGATGTGTTCCTAGTTTGCTTCAGTGTTGTGTGTCCTTCGTCTTATCACAGTGTGTCTTCCAGATGGATTAACGAAGTGAGAAAATATTGCCCCAATGCTCCAATCATTTTGGTACGTTCTGTGTTCAAAAAAGTTTACGAAAGAGTAAAATAAATTGTATCTGATCTTTTAAAAAGAACGCGGGAGAGAAAATTTTCTCTAGCAGACAGAATAAATTACTGTAATATATTCAATAAAATTAATTAATTGTATTATATTTAATAAAATTGCCGCAATATGTATATTCAATAAAATGCACTGATTGTATAAATTTTCTTTCTAACTTAGGTAGGAACGAAAAGCGACTTGAGATCGGACGTACGTTTGATGTTGCAACTGGCGAGATACGGCCAGGCGCCGATCACCACTATCCAGGGTCATCAGTTAGCGCAGAGGCTAGGCGCCGTTAATTATGTGGAGACGTCCGCGTTAACGCAACACGACCTTAAAGAGGCCTTCGATCAGGCGATAGTTAGTGCCCTCAATACGCGACGCGGAGGCGCCAGTTTGCTTCATCGGCGTAGGAAGCCGCCCCCGTTGTGGCGTAGATGGTTGTGTTGCTGGGAACAGTCGTCATCAAGCGAGACCTAAACAATACTAATTATATAACTAAATAGACTTATATACACTTCTTTAGAATCCCTCTGTGATCACAGGCACAGTCGTTCATCTGTCTCTGTCAGAATCTTGTAGCTATTCTCATTGAGAAATATTATCTCGGATGTGTGTAAGTAGAAAAAGAGAAAGATAAAAGAGAGCAGCTATATATACATATGTACATATATATTAAGTATACTTTGTTATTTAGAAACTTAAAAAGCGATAAACACTTTACACACACACACACACATACGATTTTGCGCATTGCTCCGACATAAATCAATTCGTTGTGAATCGTCAAATGGTTTTTATATACGTTTTATGTGTTTTTGCAAAACCGTGTAACGTAAACTGCCTGCGAACAACGCCAAGATAAGATATGTTAGTTAGGAAACCACATAGTGCCAGAGATAAAAATGTCTGAAAATCGTAAAAACAAAAAAAAAAAAAAAAACAAAAAAAAAACGAGCGACTTGTACTTGAGATTTGCTCAGTACAAAATCGTATCATGCTCGTTTTTACGATACACGCACATATTGAGCAGAGCTGCTGTTAGTTGAAATAATAATACGATTCTGACAGACGGAAGCGAGCGAGTGCCGTCCTCGTAAAAACAAAAAAAAAAAAAATTCCTGAGGCCCGTCATGCGGGTAATAATTTATTGTAATATTACTCGTGTATTAATCGTTTATTTTTGTTACTAGCATAGTGATTGGCCACTCGTTGGTTGTGATTTTCGTCTATAATCTTCGTTTGTTGCGGTATATATAAATACATTGGTTCCCACGCCCCCCTTCCTTTTTCTTAAACTCCCTCGCTGTCGCGAGTTTATTCGGTCCTTTTCGCCGCGGATCGTATCGCGGCGCGGTATGATTGTACACGTAACGATTGTATATTTTTTACTTGTTGCGTACATATATATATATATATATAAATATATATATACATATATATTTATTTTTTAATATCTTTGATATATATATATATATTATATATACATCGGTATGTTAGCTATAGAGTAAAACAAGTAGCTTTAATATCCCGCCACACTTTTGCAGATCGACAACTGTAAAACATGTCACGTATATAAAAAAAAAAAAAAAAATTTATAATAGCATAATAATGTAACAAGCGACGCTGGTAACGGAGCAATGATAATATTTCGTAAAAAAGAAAAAAAAAATTTTATTACACGATGAGAGAAATATGATGCGGTAAACGTTTCTACTTGAGCGATATCAATATTATATATATATAACGATAGATTTGCTACATAGATGGATTATTATATATCGAATACACACACAATAATTAGCCGAAACGAGAGATGCAACCGAGAGATACACCGAACAACAAGATATACTCGCGGCAATTCATACTCAAAGTTGTTAGGAGATAAAGTTGCTGTGATCTTATTTGAAACTCATATAGTTTCCGGAGATTTTTTACTGCGCGCGTTGTACACATAATAATATGTATAATAATTTATATATTGTATAACGAAAAAAAAAAAAAAATACAAGACTGCAGAGTTAAGAAGAAAAAATTCAAAATTGTTCCGCACAATATCTCATACAGGCTTTGTTTAGGCTGCTAAAATATTTCATATAATCTCTGTTTCTCCATCTTGTACACACACGTGGCGCGTCAAAAATAAATTATAAAAATATTTATTAATCGAATAAAAATGGAAATTGTGTGTTTTTTTTTTCATCTTTCCTAGAAATCGGCGCGATAATATTTTGTTTAACAACTGTGAGATTGTGTAAAAATAGTCGTGCAGAATGTAAACGAAAGTGATCGGTTCAACAAAAATCAAACTCGACCTTCAATTTGACTCAACAACCGGTCTCACACCCGTTTTTTAACCCGATCTCCGATTATTGTTAAGTCTCTGTAAATATTATTAGAAATATAAAAATATACGTCAATGACAAACAGTAATCGCAAAACTTGCTGAGTTCTGCCGAACGCAGCCAATGACTGTTTCTCCTGGCGAATGTGGTGAACACAATGGCGAGTCGAGCGATCGGCGGCAGCGGGACGGTGAACACGCCGAAACAATTGTACAAGTATTTATTGCGCGAGTGCGAAAAACTGCCCAAACACACGCAGCAATTTTACAAGCATTCTATTAAACAAGTACGTGAAAGTTAATGTTTTTTTTTTTTTTATCGCGTCATCTCTTCCAACGATCACATCAATAGACATAACCCTTGTTTTACACATTGTACGAACCATGTGCCGGATCTTAAAAAGGATATAACGAAAAACATATAATTCTATATGGAACATTAAAATTAGAAACATTTAAGTTACTGGTCCTATAGTCAATTATACTCTAAAATAAAATTTTTGTGTATATAAAAAATACATATAACTCTTGTTTTATTATTTCTATTAAACTGTTTTTATTTAAAAAATTCTAAAATTTTACTAAATACACGACTTATTATTTGTACAGAGCTTCAAGCAACATGCTTCAGAGCCTGATGAAGAACGTGTGCAGCAGATCATGGAACGAGCACTATTAGATGCCAAGTGGGTGATACAGAAGGTACCTTTTTACCATCAACTTACATATGAGAAGCAGCAATTTAACGTTACGTGTTTATGTGAACGATAATGTGTTACTTATTTTTTTTGTTTCTCTCACAGTACAAACAACCAGATGGTACTTCAGCAACAAAACATCCAGAGGAGTAGTGACAATACAAGATTATACTTTTCATATTTGTCATAATGTCGGATAAACAGATGAGGTTCGAACAGATTGCTAGTGAGAGCACCAATTGCAGCGCCTCGCAATTTTGGAGAGCTATCGCAATCTGGATGAGAAATCCTCACACTGTGAATCGTAGAATCTTAGCATCTCAGGAAGTATTAGCTGTTGAAATCAGTTGTGATCTCGTAGACATTTTCCGACGCGTCGAGGAGTCCCGAGCTCGGCTGAGCGAGCTTCATCGTGACATATCCGCGGAAAAAGAAAATTACTTAAGTTATTTAGCAGATACATTAAATATTGCAGAATTTACACGTTGCCAGCCAGTCGAACGCACAGATTCAATTGTGACGTCGAGCAGTGATAAATGTTATTTGCTCGTGAAGAAATTGCTGCCTCGCAACACGCAGATGTTCTCATCCACTCTGGAGTTTCTGTTCATCGACAAGAAGTCCGCCAATGTTGTTAGTTTTTGTCACAAACCTATTGTTCAAGACAAACAGTCTTTGGGTCCGGACGTGGTCTACGGTATACAGCATCGCGAGTACAACTCCACAAGTATAAATATTTACGAATCAAACTGGAAAAGCGACAGCGGATGTTGCGACTGGTTGAGATTCAAGTTTTTCCCGCGTCTGATAAAGTGGATGAAAAATGAGAACAACACGATGGTCGATGGTCCGCGAATTAACTCTCTCGGTCTTGTTTCCGTTGAGAAATACACTTCGTTGTACAATCAGATGAAACGAAAATACGGCGAAGCAATGGTAAAGATTTGGCCGGAAAACACGGATCCGATGAAATTCGTTTACGAGGACGTCGCGATCGCGACTTACTTGCTTCTGTTGTGGGAGAAGGAGAGGCTGGAAAAGGATACGCGGGATTTGCAGTCGTTTGTCGATCTCGGTTGCGGAAATGGTCTTCTCGTTCACATTTTGTCCAGTGAGGGTCACAGAGGAACGGGAATCGACTTGCGCAGTCGTACGATCTGGAATTTGTTCCCGGAAAGCACTCGCTTGCAAGTACGTTGCTTCAAAAACTTAGAGAGAAAAAAACACAAATTATTTGTATTTTCACAAAAAATTTATAATTCTAACAATTTGTTCTCGTTAATCTTTACTTTAGGTAAGCACGATTGTTCCGTCTTGGGACACCGTTTTTCCGGGAGTGGATTGGATTATTGGGAATCATTCGGACGAGCTCACTCCGTGGATTCCTGTGATCGCTGCGCGCAGTTCCTACGACTGTCGATTCTTCCTGTTGCCGTGTTGCGCCTACGAGTTTGACGGCAAAAAATATCGGCGCAACAACGCTGCCGAGAGCCAATATTCCGAGTACATGTCTTACATTAGAAACGTATGCGACGACTGCGGTTTTCTCACGTTGACCGACAGATTGCGAATTCCGTCGACCAAGCGAATCTGTTTCGTCGGGTGGGAGAGAACGTACGCGAAGGAAGACATCTCGAAGCTGGACGCCAATATTCAGCGCGTTATAAACGCGAGATCGACCACGTCTCAGAAATCGATTGTTACTAAGAACGAAAATACGAACGAAAACGGCAATTCGTGGTCCGCGAGTTTCAAGCCAAGAAGTACGACAGAACGAACGCGAAATTGCACGCAGCTAGACAGAAAATTAGTTCTCGAGATAGTCAACATCGTCGCTACGCATCTCTTGGGTGAGGATCGTAGGATACCGCTCGAGTGGAGATCCGGTGAAACGTGGAACGCCGGCGGTCAAGTAGAAATCAGCGAGCTGGTGAAGCTGATAGCGCCCGAGATGTTGCAGCATCTGCGAAAAGAGTGCGGCGGATTGCAAACTTTACTGAAGAATCACAGTCACATCTTTTGCGTCGCTCAGGGAAAAGTGCAGCTTAGAATTCCCGGTGCCGGTGACAACGCACGAAAGAAGAAATCGAAGAGAAGAAAGATTAACGACACACCCTTGAGAAAAGTGAAACCTTGTTGGTTTTACAAAAATCATCCTGACGGTTGTCCCGCTCGTGAAATCGATTGCAACTTTCAGCACTGAGTTCTCCGTGTGCTTGTTATTTTACGTTTGTATAAATTTTGTATAAATATTATGTATATACATATGTACACATTGTTTTATAAAAGAAGAAAATGTCTGTTGTGTACATATCGATGCTGGAATAAACACTTTGCTCGTAACAAATTTCTGGATTATTTATAATAAAATCCATCTGTCTAATCGACGGCGTGTGTCAGAGGAAACAAAATATTAAACGATATTAAATTTTCATCTAAACGTACGGTCGAGCAATCGCGTCTTACCGGTATTTACTTTTATGTTACCTTACCCGTGCTAGGGACAACCACGACGAGATGGGATAAGTGAAGTTCCGTTGGTTAAAAGTTGCTCTTGCACAGTTATTAATAACAAGACTCGTATCTTTAGTTACATCACATAAAGAGGAGTATATGGAGGGTAGTACAAAACTATTTTAATAAAAACATTATTTTACATCTTGCGCAATCTGCTCGCGTTTACAGAATTAGAAGATAGTTTTTATTTGGGGAAATCTACTACCAGTATGTCGTCCAAATTCACCAGTTTGGCGTTGTCTCCTTGACTGTCCTGCAGAAGCGTACCCAATACCTGCTGATTATTGTTCTTCAGCTTCTTGATGTCAAAAAAAACCAACTTGTGGACCCGCTTCAAGTGCGTCTGCAGATTGCACTTTTGCGAGAACCATTGCTTGCAGTGGGGGCAGGGATACGGTCGATCGCCGGTGTGATGTTTTTGATGAAGATGCAGCGTGAACTTCTGAGCGAACGCCTTGCCGCACTGTTCGCATTTGTACGGCCGCTCGCCCGTGTGGCTACGTTTATGACGTTCCAACTGGTACGGCTTCGTGAACGTTTTGCCGCACGTATCACATTCCTTTCTAGAGGATTTCGTCGACTGAGTGTTTGTCTTCGTTTCGGACGCGACGCCGCTGTTCGCGTCTTGATTCTGTTCAATCGGCATCATTGGAATGGAAGACATGCAATCGTTCATTTGGATGACGGTCGCGTCGTTTGCAGTTGTCGTCGCCGGTATCTGACTAGTTATCACCACGTGATTCGTATCATCCAGATTGCAAGTTTCTTGGTAAGAATTCGGATTCACAAATTCGATCACATTGGTTGGGACCGCGGTGCCGCTGGTGTCTGAGCTGTTTGTTGCCGGTTGCGCGCTCAGCAGAGCGTCGTCTGTCTGAATGGTGACGAAACCGTTTGCCAGTAAGAACTGCAGATTCGTCACCAGCTCGTTGTTCTCGTTCACCGATAGCACGGAGTTGTTGTTGAGAAGTGTTGTTCCTTCGGGCTGATTAAATGTAATCTGATCTGGCAAGTGAACCGCGGTATCGAGATTGTTCACAGTATGCTCCACCGAAGAGTAGTCCAGATTTTGCGTTGGAGCGGTTTCGCTCATCACAGTCGTCGCCGTTGTCGTCGTCGTTGCCGTTGCCGTCTCCGTTGCTGTACAATTTGGAGAACTGTTGTCGAATTTCTCAAAACTCGCCGCTGCTTCCGCCACAGCCGCGTACTTGACGTGTTTTGGCTTGCGCTTTGTGCCACCTTTGTGCTCTCTCGCGTGCTTCAGCATGTGCACCTTCTTGTGACCGGAAGTGCGAAATCGCATGTCACATATGGGACACTTGAACGGTTTGGAGCCTGAGAGGATAGATATTTTTTCGTTTTTTTTTTTTTCAAATTCTCTCTTTATATTTTTTTTACACATCATGTTTTTTATACACAAAATAAATATCAATAAATTACTCACCCGTGTGCAGACGCATGTGAACCTTCAGACTACCTTTCGTGGCAAACATGCTGGTGCAGACGTGGCAGCGGAACGTCTTCTTACCAGTATGAACTTTCATGTGCGAGTCGAGAGTGCACTTGACCGCAAAACTCTTACTGCAGCGTGTACACTTGTACGGTCGCTCGCCCGTGTGCGTGCGAATGTGTCTGATAAGGTCGCTCGGTTTGCGGAAAGTTTTCGGACAGTATTTACATTTATTTACATATTCCTTCTTTTCTCCCTTTTCCACATTTTCCTAAATTATCAAGTGAATAATATCGCACGTTGTCATTTTTGCTGAAGAAATTTTGATCTCGGTACGTAAGAATATACATTTCTATATACATACTTACATCCGCTTGGTCTATACTTTTCTTCTCGGCGAAGGCGTCCATCAAAACTTTCTCGGACACCGACGAATCCGGATCTATTCGCACGTCTAGTGTCATCGACGGAAGAGCGGACGAAACAAATTCCTTCTGAGAATTATCACCATCGACGAACGAGACGTTCCAGCCCTCGGTATGCATCTTGCTGTGAAGCTTCAATTGCACCTTGCTGCCCAGCACCTTCTGACAGATCGTGCATTTCCACTGTCTGACAAAATTGACGTTAGATTGTAAAAAAGAAAAAAAAAAGAGACAATAAATCCTTTTGTCAATGACGAAATGCGCGCGAAGTCACTTACTGCTTATTTGTGTGCATCTTCATGTGTCTGCTGAGGCCACCGTTCGTGCAGAATCTCTGAGAACATTCCGAGCACTCGAATTCTTTCGCTCCGCGATGAGATTTCAAGTGTTCCTGCAATAACGATTATTTTATTGCTTACGAAACACAAATTTCCAATATACTTGAGAAATATCTGTCGAATACCTTTAATCCTTCCGTGGTGAAACCTCGATTGTTGCACATGTGACATTGCAACAGTGTGTTGCACTCCGACATTTTGGTCAGATTATCCATATCAGAGGAGATGAGCATGTCCGACTGTATTGTACTTTGAAAGTTCTCTCTACAAGCATCACAAATTGAAACTGTGGAGCTACGTGTTCGAGAGTAAAATCCCACTTTCAAAAATTATTAAAAGTTACAACTTACATGAACAGGGACGAGGGGCTTCTTTCGTTTTCGCACGAAACAGCGTTAGTTTTCTGTGGCGCTTCTTCGCTGATGACTTGCATCTCTATTTCGGTGTCCATTTTCGCGGGTTTCGAATATTTTTGTGAAGGCACGTGCGACAGTTTTATCAATTCCGAACAATTTTCCTTGGGATTTATCAGCATGAGATGAGCGTTCTTTATCACTTGGGAAGCGTCTATGTTGCTGACCGCGGTGGTGACCGAAGCGGCTTCTCGTTCCTCCTGCTGACCGTTGCTCCCATTTGCAGATTTGGGCGAAACGTCGGACATGGTTGGCGCGGAGTTGCTCGGATTCAATCCGATATCCATCTCGTTATTCGTCTAAACCACCGATTATTAACTATCTCATTCTTGCAAAATATCTAATAATAATTGTTTCTAATGTGTTATAAGATCGAAGTGTCAATCCAACTTCTCTGAGCGAGAAAAAACATATTTACCTGCAACGTAATTTGACCAATGTCGAACGTGTCGAATTGCGGCGTGAAAATGGCGTTGCCCGATGCGTCCAGAGTCTTGTTGTGATCGTATATTATGTTCAACACCGGCTGTTCTTTGACACCGTCGAGAGTGCTTATATTCGCCTCGTCAATCTGTCTCGACAGATTGTTCGCTCCCACCCCGAGATTCATCCCGATACTAAACAATTGTTGATTCAAAGTTTCCTCGATCTCTCGTATGTTTTCCTACAACATTTCCCGAGTGTTTTTTTTTTTTTTATTTCTTTGATGTCGCAACACTTGTACGTACGTAAATATTGAAATTTAAGACTCTACCGGCGTTAAAGTTTGATCCCCTGGATACTGAGGTAACGTAATGGTGCCGGTTTCGTCGGCGTGTAAGGTTTGCGATGAGCCCAAATTAGTCGTCTCAACGGATAAATTTTCTGAAACAAAAACATAAATATATATTCTCGCGTTCATTGTTTTTTTTTTCAAATTGTATTGATTGTTTTCATATTTTTTGGAAAAAAAAAACACGTACGAGTCGATGTTATAGTATCCGTTAGCAAGAAGGTTTTCTCTTTATCCGTGCTGATGTTCTGAAACTGGTCAGAAAAAGCATGCGTGAAGTCCGAGGCTATTTGTTGTTGAAACGACACTTCCATGTTTTCAGGAAGGGTAATGGTTTCTGGTAATGTTGAAGAAGTAGCTTTGTCCTCGACTGGAGATTGCTTCTCCTGCGTCTTTTGCACCTCCAATTGCTGTTCGCGCACAAAATATAAGCAATAATATTGAGTTTCCTTTTATCAATGAAGAGTTTTTTTTTTTTTTGCAACTAATACCAAAAAGATATCAACCTGCTGTGCCAACTCGTGTTTGTGTATTTTCATATGCTTCCGACAATTAACGTACGTCTTGAACGTCTTGTGACAATAGGGACACATAAACGGTCTTTTATTGCTATGCGTGACCAAATGCCTCTTCATGCTGCTCTGCGTCGAGAATTTTGTGTTGCATACCGAACAGCTGTACGGTCTCGCAGCTTCGTGAGTGTGCAGATGAGATTTGAGAACACTGTTGGACGAGAATCTCCTAAAACCGAGATAAATATTGAACAAATTTTGATCAATCTTATATTAATTTGAAGATACAAAAATAAATGAGATGTCAAAAACCTGTCGCATTTGTTGCACTTGTAGGGCCGCTCGCCCGTATGCCTGCGAAAATGTTGCTTCAAGTGACTGACTTTGCGAAATGCCGCGTGGCAGACGGAACATTCGTGCGGTCTGGCCACGCCGACGCTCTCGTACATTTGTTTCTGTTTCGATTGCACTTGCGCCACGCTAATTTTATTATCAGCGTCACTGATAACGAGCGGCTCCTGCAACACCACCTGCGGCATTAAACTCTCCGTTTCAGGCGATATCTTTGACTTCTCTCGCGCGTGACTCTTGACATGATTCTTCAAAACGTTGCTCGAACTGAACGACATGTCGCATACGTTACATTTATGTGGTTTCGTGTGCAATCTGAAAGAAAATAAAATATCTATCGCAAACGAAAACTATATATAACATAATTTATAAAAATATGTAAAAAAAACTGTTATTGCTTAAGAAATGCAAATGTAACGTCGAAACTTGCCTCATATGAGCAGTAAGAGTGTTGTGGCACGCGAAGCTTTTGTTGCAAGAATTGCAAGCGTACTTCTTCAATCCGCTGTGAGTTCGCTCGTGCGCTATCATCGTCGATTTCAACGCGAAGGATCGCACGCAGTACATACACTGAAAAGCAGAACGACACACTTCATCGATCCGCATACAAATCTGGTAAAAATAAAAAAAAAAAAACAGTTGTAGCGAATAAAAAATGTATTTTACCTTGAAGGGTTTCTCCTGCGTGTGGACACGCAGATGACGTATTAAATCCGATGGTTTTTTAAACTCCTTCGGGCAGTACAGACACGTGTACCAACGTACGTTTCCTATGTAATGTTGCTTTATGGTAAAATTTCTGTAACACAAATACTTTTTCTTGCAAATCGCAATCATATGAAATATTTATTTCAATACTACGTATATATATATTGAGATATTTATTTCGTTTATTTCTGTGTATAGAAAGTTAAATGGATTACCTTGAAGTGCCGTTTGCAGTTTTATCCAATATCGTGACGTATGTCGTTGACTCCGTCTTTTTCGATTCCGCGGTTTCTGCGAGCAAAAAAAAAATATTTTGAACAATATTGTCTTGTTGTTGTCTATCGCGTAACAAACAATCTAAATTACCTTTGGACGTGACCTTGGTTTCATTTGACAGATCGCTGTTTTTCAACGCTTGGTGCAGAATGTCGTTTTGTTCCGCATTTAACACAGTCGTCTTAGTAGAATCCGCGGTGTTATTCACGGTGGATTCCAACGACGCCAGTTGCGATATCACGCTGTCGACCGTCGCGCGCATGTCGGCTTCCGATGTGATATTAGTTTCCGCGGATTTCTTAGCCGCGGATTCCTGCAAAAAAAAAAAAAACAAATCACAGCTCAGATTCAGAATTCAAATTTGAGTGAATTTTGTTTTCACAATAAAGCGCTTACTTCCGAGACGTTAGAATGCACTCGTTTGATGTGCCCGTTCAAACTACCCAGCTTCTTGAAAATGCAAGCGCAATAAGGACAAGCGTACGAAGGTTCACCCTCCGGAGCACTGTGCACCCTAAGTACATGTGCCTTCAAATTTCCTGCGAAATCGAAAGAAATACTTGCATCGATCAATGAAAAAAAAAAAAAAAAAAGAAAAAACAAACAAAAAAGTGACAAGATTCTAAAACCGAATATAAATTCGTACAAAACTCGTTCGAACCTTTTTGACTAAATTTTGCAGTGCAGAGATTGCAGCTGTGCGGTCGAATGCCATTGTGCTGCCACATATGGATTTGCAGCGAACTCTTTTGCGTGAACGCCCTGTTGCAGATCACACACTGCGCAAACAATAAACACATTTGTAGAAAAAAACAAAAAACAAACCAATCGTTACGCTCTCAAGCTTCTTTTCTCGAATGAAGATATCACCTTGAAGGGTTTTTCTCCGGTATGCACCCTGATATGTCGCATCAGCTGGCTCGGTTTTTGAAAGAATTTCAAGCATATCGTACACTTGTACACTGTCTTGTGTTTCATCCCTTTCTTGGTTTGCTTTGCTATCTTTGTCTGTAGCTGTGGAAACGTGAAAAACAAAAAAAAATAAAAAACAAAATAAAAGAACAAATTATATTTGTTTCACATTAAACAAAAAAGAGAATTATCAGCGTCACAGATCTACTTGTTGAATTTACGTGACGCACATCCTCTGTGTTTATATTTTTTTCTACTCACCCTATAATGCTCCCGAATGTGTAATCGGTACAGCGCGGGTTGCACGAATTGTTTGTTGCACAATTTACACTTTCGCACGCCTCCTTCCTCATTTGCCCCTTTTTCCTCGTGCAGTTTCAAGTGCGCGTCCAACTGGGCCTGAGTGAAAAAAAAAAAAAATGTACATAAAAATAACTCGAACATTTCTATCTTGTGATTTGCAAACAAAAAGAGATTTGTATATAAATTTTATAAACCTTTCTTAAAATTCTTTGCAAAACGCACAATTTTTCACTGACGACGTGTCTTTTGTCGGAACAAATTTCATTTAAAAAAAAAAAAAATTGTACTTTTAGAGATAAGCTGATATTTTTTTTTTTTTTTCTATACCTTGTAATACTGAGCGCTGATTCCAAGAGCGAGGTGGAATATGCGCGTGCAGATGAGAAGAAACGCAAAGTTCAGACAGTCTACGGCGAACGACATATCGAAAGACGACACTCTACCGGCTCCGAATATATCGTGTAACATAAAGTAATATATACGCCGGTTGGCAAGTGGGTACTTATATGGCAGTGCCTTGCATCAAAAAAGTAGAACGAACACGAACACATCGAACACACAGTTTTACAACCCGAATTACATCGTGGTTTTTGATTTAAAAAAAAAAAAAACAAAACAAAAAAATTACTTTTCTCTCGACTATGAGAAAATCAACAAACGCGACGATAAACGATAAATTTTGTCAAAAAAATTGACTATTGTCGCGTCGCGACAATAAGCTCAATCGTGTTCGCAAATTCATACGGCAATTCATAAAACAAAAATTGAATCTTCTCGGATTTGATTTAAGTTTGGAGCGTTTTAGTCTTCTTTTTTTGTTCTTCATTGAGCGATCAAGTGAGCGCGCGACGCTAATGAGTTATCAGCGAAGACTTTTTTTTCCACACGACCGACATTATGGTAATAGCGCGTCTTCTTCAACGTTGAGGACGCTGCACTTTTTCCGCGATCCAGCGACAGCTTTTTCTCCGCGCGCCAACTGATCTCCCCGGGATCGTCGTTCGCTCTTCCTCCTCCTCTCTTCGCCGCCGCTTACGGATTGGCCGCGTGCTTCTCTTCCTCTTCCGCTCGACTGATTTATAAATGTTTCTCGTCTCGACTTCGTTTTTGCTTTCTTCTTTCTCCTTCTTCCTTCGTTCGGGTTTCTCTTTCTCCCGTTGACAGATTTCAGCTGATTTTTTACGAGTGAAATCGCGTGCTCGCGGAAGCGTCATCGACTATCTTCGATGATATATTCCGCGAGATTTTTTTGTTTTACATCATTTGCGCAGCATTTAAAAGACCTTGTCGAGCGCGCACAAATCGCCGCAGTCATTCCAAAATATCAAGTTTTACACGTCATATCTCTCATATATTAAACAGTTTGGCGTATCGCTTGTCTTGCAGAAACGACGAGAGACACGAATCGTCGCTGTGACAAACTGGACAATTAAATGTGTCAAGTGTTAAGCGGACTCGCGCCGAACTCGTGCGCACGCGAACGACTGGAGTGGTCGGAGAGGAGATCAACGAGCGTTCTCTTGCTATAGGACGGAGTTCCTAAAATACAGTCTCGAGAAAGCGTCATCAATTTCTCCCCCTCATTAAATCACTCTCCCTTTTCTCTCGTCGCGCATTTGTCTCTGGTCTTCTTCTTCTTCTTCTTCTTTTTTCTCAACGCCGCATGCAAACGCGAAGCGTCAGAAACGCTCGTTTCTTTCGCGTAAGAAACTCTTTTCTTCCCTCGAAGCGATCGATTTTTTTACATTGCGACTTTAAGAGCATCGCTTAAGCGGTCGTCGGTGCCGACTTTCAGGGTTAATGTTGCTGAATAGAAGCGTTATCAGAACTGTACTCTCGTTCTTCTCGGTAAAGTTCAACAGTTTGCTTCTTATCGGCAACGACGGCGCATTATCGCGGCATTTTTGTTTCACTCGACGCTCCTTCCTTCCGTTCGTCCCGAGACTTTTTCTGCCTTCGTTCACTCCCGTCTCGTGTGAGGTTCGTTATTTCTCTTCACCCGCGCGGTTTTAATTCGCATCAGCGTAGTAGTCGCTTGAGAAACTCCCCGTCGATTGTTCGTCGATTGTTTAATTTGTTTTTATCAATTTTGTCCCACATCTCTCACGTTTACATCGCGTAAGAAGAAACGCTGTCCGCGCGATCTCCGTCACTAACTTCGGTTAGTTTCAACGAACGACGAGCGCAGGCCTTCCTCGAAGATCTTTTCGAGTCCGAGCCAGAAAAAATACACAAATCCGCGTGAAAACCGAACGGAACCCAACCGTTACGTTACGTTTCAAGAGAAGAAGAAACGTTTTACCACCACGCACAATTTTCTATTTTTATTTTACAGAGCGATAAGATCTTCGGAGAAATGAATTAGTCGAGCGAGCAATGAAACTACGGTTCAGAAATGCGATTACAAATTTAATTTGGTGACTTATCGCGCGTCCCGTTCGTTTTTTGACGGAATAGACGGAGGAAGATCGCTTTTTCTTTCCGCGAAAGAAAACCCCTCTGTGAGAAAAAAGAAATGCGAATTGAACGCGCTGAAAATAAAAGAAAAAAAAAAGATGACACATTCGTTCTTTAACAAAAACCGCACGTTTTGCGGAAGATTATATATCGCGACAAATGACAGACGCAAACACGTGCGAGTTTAGCGGACACTTACCGCTCACTGACGAAGTGTCCGTAAATGTCGCTTACGTCGTCGCCCGTGCTCGTTACCATGGGGCTATTTCTCGCCGCGAAACTGTGTATTGTGGTTTACTCGAAAATGATGTCAAAAGCGAACGCGCGGTTTGAAACTCAAGTCAAATCTTTAAAACAACAAGATTCGAAACCTCGAGTTTGCAATTCTTCTGTAAATTTCCCAAAGTTGTAAATTGCATTTTATTTACACATCTCCGATTGTGATCTGAAATCTTCGATAATAAAATTTCCTTTTGCTCCGCCTGTGTGTCCGCTCGAGTAAAAACTTTCACGTTTTGAAAAAAAAAAACAAAAAAAAAAAAAAACACGAGAGACACGCGCGCGATTGCAACGCGTTCGTTTTGAGCTTGTTCTACATTTCATCGTCGTGTCGTCCGCATGCACACGTGTGTGTGTGTGTGTGTGTGTTCGGCGCGCGTCGACGGCCAAACATAAGAGCAATCGACGGGAGATCTGTGTGAGATCATGCGATTTGATTGCGTAATTCGTGCGTGCCGCATTAACCGCCTACTTGTCCACGTTTTACACATCACACGTAATCGCTGCAACGTTCGAATAATTCTTATTGATTATCACACACACATACATATCGTTTCCGTAAATGAAAAAAAATTGTTTAATTACTAGACAAAAATAATGTTAATTAGATAACGTTTGTAAATGCGTAAGGACGAGAGAGATGAAGCGACACCAAATGTTAATTGATGCTCGCAAAGTGTGCAAGGTCGATTATCGCTGGCACACTTTGACGCGATGAGATAATGCGCTTTTTCCTAGTCTTCGCAAGCTTTTAGAGCGTATTATTGAATCATCTCCTCTATTTTGCTTCGTGTCTTTCTTCTCGAAACTGTAATTTCACATTGACAAAGACCGGAATCACTTTTATGTTCTAACTCTCTCGCTTGATTTCGGCGACTCTCACAGGCGACAAATATAGATAAAACATGTGAGGCGGGTCGTCGAGACTGACCCTTGATTTAAAGTAGAAATACGATCAAGATTCGTCCACTCGTGTTCGTGTCGTCATACTTATTTATGACAAATCTTAATCGTCAATAATGATAAACAGACTCTAACAGACTCGACGTAAATTATCGGAACGCTTGCGAGAACGACGATGCTGCGAACAACCGCAACTTTGCACACGAATTTAGCGTGTTATAAAATAGGGTGATTCGAATTTGCTTTTGTTATCGGTCCGGGTTTACGAGCACGATCTACTTTAACTCCGCTACGTGGAACGAAATAGCGAGAACAAGAGCTAAAACTTTCGCAAACGGATTCTCGAAACGAGATATTCGACACATCGAGAATGTTTATCTTTAAAATGTTATATCGTTATATCGTTTTAAAAAAAAACATCGGAAAAAAAACAGTCGGTTTTTTTTCCGACCGATTATAGAAATAAAACAAGAGACGCAAATAACGGATCAAACCTTTGTCGAAAATCCGTCCTCGCACTCGGCACAGAAGAGATTCTCCTCCTTTTCGTGCAACAACATGTGAGACTTGAGACTCGCCATTCTGGCGTATTTCCTGCCGCACTCGGGACACTTCGGCTCGCCGGTATTATGCGTTGCCATGTGAAGCGTGAAATTCAACTGTAACGACCATCATTGTACGAAGTTATCAGACTAAATCCAACTACTATTTAAATTTAATTCTCTTCTTTCGCTCGAGATTCAAACAAAATTGAATTGAATTGTGTTATCAAAGAAACTTGCCGGGATATTGAACGATGCCGGACATTTTGGACACCTGTGGGGTTTTTCCGCCGCGTGATTCTCCATATGTCTGCGATACAATAACTGTTTGGTAAATTCTTGTCCGCATATATCGCACCTCAGCGATGGCATGTCCTTTACACACAAGTAAAGAATCATTTTTCAATAGAAAACAAATCCAAATGTGTTGGTAAATGTTAAATTATTACATTATCAGATAGTGTAAACGCTTATTTCACACAAGCACATTTCGGGATTGACAGGAATCCTTTTTCCGTGTTAATGTATTATTAAGAAATTACCCCAATCTTTTTCGGTCTGCCAGGAGATCTCCTGTGAACATCCTGTCTGGATACATCCACATGTATAGAATTATCTTTGACTTGATTATCGTTTTTTGTCTGTTCTTCCTTATCTGACAACGCATCATTAACATCTCTGTCACACAACAACGACAGATCACTGTGTTCATTTGCATTCTGCACTAGTTTCAATTGTTCGACCTGAGATACATTTTCGATTTGTTGCATCGCCGGCAAGAGATTTGTTTGTTGCACCTCAGGTACACCTTCCACATTCAGTTGAAAAATAGGCTAAAAGAGAAATATATATTTATTACAAACAAATAACGGAAGAATCTCATTTATAAATGCTTCTCGGATGTTTTCGGAGATTTACGAGTGTGTACGTACAGATTGTAAAATAAAATTTCCATCCACAGTCTTTATCAGCGAAGATACTATACTGTTTCTTTGTGGTATTACTGTGATAGGAGCTGTCATGATTTCTAGTGTATCATCCTCACGTTCTGAAAAAAAAAAAACATCATATCTGCAGTTACCTCATCTCAAATACAACTGGCAAAATCTCTTTGAGTTTTATTTATTTTAATATATTATTCTTCTCTTACCGCTCACTGCAAAGAGCATGTGACCGTCGTCTGTGGTAATAAAACTAACTGGCAGTGTATCACTGGACTCGGTAGGGTCCATAATTATCTTCGACTCTGTCAACATGTTGGCGGACATAATTTCTGTGTTAACAATAGCACGTCTTCTCGGTACAGTCTTTTAGAAATTCATATAGATCCGATATGGCGCATTTGACAGGCACAACGTAACTGTAACATTAACGAATACAAGAGTGGATTTTTGTGCAATTCCTAACCCCTGTTTGAATGGTATTTTCGAACGAGCGCACGACACATCAAATTCAAATCGAACCTCGTATATTTTAATCAGAAGCGCAAATTGACGTCGACGAGAACTTTGTTCGAAACAATTATTATTATTTTTAATATAACACAGACACCAAATCCACCACCTCGCGAGACCATACGCAGGCATATGTTGTTCTCAAACGTATTATCCATATCTTGATAACACACGCTACTGTTTCGGCTTCGGCGAGCTGAAACAGCGACGTCTGTCGGCACAACACGCCGGCGTGTTTAAATATTCACAAATTTCACATACGAATATCTCCTTGTATAAAATATACAAAATTTAGTAAATTGTAAAGTTTACCGTATGTTTATTAAAAATTTATAAAAAATTCATAAAAAATTGTGCAAGGGCTACAAGCAAGGAGGTTACTGAGTTCTCGTATCCGCACACTTTTGGATTGTTTCGGCCCGGGTTCTTCCAGTCGAATTTATTTAATTGAAATGCGAACTAAATCGCGGGCTTTCAATTGACCAGCCTTTTTGTTTAGAGATTGGGCTTTCAACAACCCGCACTAATTGATCGGAATGAAAAACGTTTCTCCAGAATAGAAAAAAAAAAAAAAAAATTTGCTAAAAATTAATCTTAAATTCAAATTGAATCTCAAACATAAATTTGATGAAACCATTGATCAGCAAACTTTTGTGATTTGTCTTATTATCTTTATTTGTAGAAAATGTATAAATACACACACGCGCGCACACACGAACGTTTTATAAATCTATCTAGCAATAGTGTGTATCATATAAAATTTGATATCTCTGCATATCGTTTTTTTTTTCTAATAAACTTTGATATATTTTCTTGTTATTGTCACTATATAAAATTCTCTCTGATCTATATTTTAGATCACTTAATAATTCATTTAATTCAGAATTGGACATATAGATATCATTGAAAGATATCATAAGTAGACTGTAGTTAAAAGCACGCGATTTGTAATCGACGCGATGTATGTACATATATATTTGTACACATATATTTGTCAGGAACTATATGCGTCATAAAATTCAAAATCGCTTTAATAAAGCGATTTGTGGAAAAGATATTGATATGCTTAGTACATGGGAAGAATTGCGTGCTGTTAACCAAGACCTATTATTCGCAGTTACCGTACACGTATTGTTAAGACAAGAAATTATTTTCTTACATTGTATAGCGCTTAATAATATGCATTAACAATATTAATCAAAATTGTGCAAGCAATAACTTAACTTGCATTGTTCAATATACATATTTATCAACGGAATAAGTTTGTCAACCCTAATCCTGTAAACCCGGGACATTGGCGTCCGAGCGATTCTTGAAAATATCTTATCAATCATTTAATGGAAGAATTTCTAAGAACTAAAAAAATTATATCAAAACTAAATATTATTTTCTCAATATAAAACGCTGAGTAGAGCACCATGAATTTTTGCAACGTTTTTTTTAACCACTAATAAAATCGCGTCAGACACAAACGTCCGGGGTTTACAGGACACGTACCTGAAAATACCGTTTACAGGATTAGGGTTAAATTAAGTAGATTTTTAATCAGTTATCGAAAACTTATATTATACTGTTGTAAGAATATTTGGTTAACTGATAAAGTATCAGTAATTAAAAGTACACTTGTAACATAATATCCATACAATTATACATGTAGCAGTCAAACACAAACAATATATAAAGATGGTATGTGTAAACTCTAAACAAAACAATTTATAAAACAATGTTATATAATTCACAAGTTAAAAGTTACATGCACAAATACTGATACCTTTTCAAATTATTCATAGGAAAAATTTTCAGAAAATTATTTTTCTTCATTTTCCGTAATAAGAAAATCTTATTAATTCTCTTAGCTAGCCATATTGTCCGGATTATCCTAAATTTTCAATATATAAAACGACTGTTTTGCTGTAAAACGAAGAGCTTTTGATATAATTATATATGATTATGTATAATTATGTATGTATAATATTAAGCAATTACATCAGATTTTCGTAGATTACATCTTATCGGAATAACAAACAATTGGTTTTGTAAGCTTTCTTCACAAAAACATCTATAGCGTTCGTATGTTCCCGAAACTTTATCAATTGTTTTTCTTTACGTATAGAATTTGTGCTTCAATTTTTTTCTAAAGAAATAATCATGTAAGTAACATGTCGTAGTATGCGAAAATTTATTATATATATATATATACATCTATATATATATATATATACTATGAAAGATATATAAAATCAGAAAGATATAAAATGTGACACTATACAATTTATGTATAAAAGTAATGTATCTTAATGAACTTGAGATATATATGTTATTTGAAAACAGTATTTTACGTTGCTGCATTATTAGTGAATTGATTTTCGAATATACTAATAACAAGTAAAAGTAACAATTCTTGAACATACATGTGAGAGAAGTATGCAAGCATTATCTTTATCTTTATGGTCAACGATTTGAGCACATCAAAGAGGTGCTAACATATAATATATACTATACATACATAGATAATATATGATATTTACATATGAAAATACGTAACAGAGGCAATCGATATATCAGTTGCCGATAAACTATTCGAAAAACAGCTTGTATCACAAGTCATAGAAAATTTATAAAGTATAGCACTTAAAATATTTCGCATAAACTATATATATATATATATATATATATGCATATATATATGTATATTTTTTTATATGTATATCGGGAAATAACGTAAGAGTCATAAAGTCGTTTCTTTTATATGCATTTGTACAATATCGAACTTATATATGTATACTACGTGCAACAAACATTGATTATCTAATACAAGTTTGGTATAAACGAGTTACTTTCAAAAATACGAGCACAAACTTTCATCTCGCTTAACTTTTACAGAAGAGACACTAGATTATGCGAATAATATATAAAATGATCCGTCTTTTTTTTTCACAGAAGAATTTGCAACATTATTGTATTGTTTTTTTCTTGTCTTATCACAGATTGTTTGGTAATTTCATGATAAACTAATCTTATTTATGATATCACGTTTGCGAAGTAGGTCTACAATGGACTAGAACATTTTAGCAGAATCTGTTGCGTTTCTGCATTAAAATGTTTGAACCGCCATCACGTTTCTAGATTTGGGAAGAGTCTCGTTAATACAAAATAGGCCACGTCGTAGTTGTTCCAATATGCCGTATGTGCTGTTACTGTATACAAATAATTTCTTCCTAAGCCAACTGCACGTAACACATAATCCAATCGTTGCGCTAATTCTAAGAAAATAATTAAAAATTTGTTAAATTATGATTTAAAATATAAGAAAGTTTCCCGTGCTTGAATATTTGAATATTAACATTTAATGCATAAATACCTTGACCTGGACGGATCGGTGGATTTGATTCCGGAGTTGGTGAAGATGGACCTTCTCTAGCGTTCCAACCACTTCTCACTAAATCCCAAAGACTCCAACCTTTCTCTGCATTACGATTTGGTGCGTCCGTAGGACTGTCATCTTTGTCATCTTTATCATCAGTTTCTATAAAAATAAAATTTGTTGCATTTAATTTGTTATAATTATTCAAATTATAACGTGATTATACAGAGACATAAGAAGAGACACGCAACAAGAAATGTTATATTTTATGATACAGTATAAAAAAAAAAAAAACCTGTAGGCGGTAGAGTTGGATCTATAGTATTCAATAACGAAGGTGACGGTGGTATTTGCTGTCCATCAACTCCCCCGTAAGGAGGTATAAGAACCGGCTCAATTTTACTGTAGCCTCTTTCCAAAAGAGGTTCCATACGGTAAGCTACAGGGTCAGACCAGTGAAATATATTATAAAACCTCTTGCATAAACTTTGCGGCATCACATCTAATCTATTGGATGGAGCACGCGTGCGTAACGCTAAGAATACAGACAACGGTGAACCCAAGCAGAACAAATTCTCAATCTGTAAACAAGATGACGTTGCTATTTTTAATATGTGATTTTTAAGAAGTAAATTCTGATAAATATCTTTTAAATAATTTATGAACGTTTTTTAAAAACTGCATATTTGCATATTATATTTAGATATCTGTGTATTTTTGAGCTTTAATTAATTTCAATCATTATATTGTGACATGCGCTAATTAATTATAATTTATAATTATATATTTTAAATTTTTATTAAGCGATAATATAGATGCACACGGTAATAGTACATATGCACATATATTTATACATTATTTTATAACTTTTTGTTTACGCAATTGTGTAATGACTCACTGGAAATTGCAGCCCCTGTAATAAATCTTCTTCTTGCGCCTGTGGAGAAGAGAGTCGTGTGTCAGGTCCCATCCAGCCTGTAACTATGTCATATACAATCACACATCCTAGAGAATGTGCCAAAACGGAAACTTTTCCTTGCCAACCGGGATGCCGACTCGCAAACATAAAGTATAATCTATTCAATTCTCTTTGCAAACCAGCTCTGACTTCACCTCCGTAGAGAGGACTTGTGTAATACAAAATATCCATTGCCGACGTGTTCAGTAAGTGACGTATGCTCAACACACTGTAAGGCGTGATAGCATCTACTATATCTGCAAAACAAAATAAAAAACTATATCTTATTCAACAATTTTAAAAACATTTAAACAAATGTTATAGGGTTGCTGCAAAATTATCTTTCACTTTACCTCCGTCTAACTTTAATGACGATCGCCATTCAACCGCAAAGAATTCCACTCTATGTTTCGAATTTGGAAAATATTTCTGCTTAAGCCAATCCACGCAATCTCTAAAACTATTATTTAAGCAACAAATAAGTATCGCAAAAAATTACTTGCTTTTTTAACGTGTATCTTGTATAAAAGTAAGTTATTATTGTACCATGTGGTGTTTCGAATAATTTTTCCTGTATCTCGCTTTTGTCCTATCCCATGGACAACGAATACTAAATGATCGATATCCCGTGGTTTATCCTCTTTATTTGCACGCGTTTTATAGCCTCTTTTCAATCGATAACCCGTTGCTATAAATTTAGAACACATTTGCAATTAAATTATTTTAACACACAAGAAGTAAACACTATATATGTGTATATATAATTTTAAAATTTCTATTAATTATATAACTGATTCTATATGCTTACTTTTAGCAAACCCCAATTTTGATGTAACGCTACGCATCAATTTAGTAGGCGTGTACTCGCTATATAGTGTTACATCATTAATTGAATGCCAGTCAACGTGAAATTCTGGAAACTGTTCGGTATGCAACACTAAAAACAAAAAAAAACAAAAAACAATATTGCGTTTTATACGTTACACAAAAATAAAAAAAAAATTGGGAGAATAAAATTAAGCGAAACTACCTTTATAAGATTGAGGACTGTTATTCGTATCACATTTAGAACTACTTTGATTGTTGCTCTCCTTTTGAAATAATTTAAGATGAACGTCTTCTATTACTTTTGAATGTTCTGTTTCTAATGGTATCCAGCTGCCATCGTAATACCATGTGCCTCTCATAATTTCCCATTCCTCGCCTACAAAATATATAGAAATAAATGTGCGCCTATTATATGTTATACGGATGCGCAAGCGCGCGCACATATGAGTAGAAATTGTCTTATGATAATTGTATGATAATTTTATGATAAGATTTTTAAAAAATTCTAAATTGAAATGAACCATGACTATTATCTTTTTCTTGCTTTGTTATAAAAATATGTGCATACTGAAACAAGTGCATAAATGTGTACTGAAAAATGTACTGAAAAAAGCTACTGTTTTTGCAAGACACTTGATGGCTAACAAAGTCATTATAAAGCCGTTATTCAGTCCGATCTTATATTTAAGATCGTCTTTTAAGTGTATTTTAAGATGCTGAACGAATCGCTTTTTAGCTGTAGACCCTTGAACTTAAAACGATCTTAAAGATTATATTGAACTGTGATGTAAATTACGAGAAAGTAGAAAAAATACAGAGCAGAACGTAATGTGAAAACATGATTTACAAAAATAAATTTATAAACTTATTTATTACGTAATCATTAAGATAAACTTGTTCTAAATAACAAATCATTAAGATAAACTTGTTCTAAATAAGAAATCAAATATATACTCTATCAAGTGCTTTCAAATTGATTCTTTGTTACGGTAATAAAATTTATTGCTTGTACAGTATTTGTTTCATACACACACGTCACGTGTCATAATAGTCACACAGTCAATAGGAATTGACTATATGAACACCAAGGACAAAGTAATCTTTGCAATGTAAAGACATACATCGCACACACGACAGGCAAATATGCAGAAATGTAAATAAGTATTGTATCATTATTCGGTCAAGCCTTATATACATCCGTTGTTATATACGCAATTTATTTAAGCAATAATTTGGTAAGTACGTATATAGCTGTGTACGTCACATACGTGAATATAAATAAAAAGAAAGAATTATGAATAACGAAAATAAAAATAACACAATTATACATGTGTGATATTTACCTGGCCAGTATATTGAAACACATTTCATATTATCGATATCTACATCATACATGCCGCCTCTAACTACAATTTTTTCGGTAGCTGGCAAATTGTTCGTTTCGTCGTTATTTTTGCCAATTAAATTTTGGCGTTCCTGATAAATGTTTTCAATTCTAAAACTGTCATATCCACAAAATTCATTCCATCGTTTGTCAACGCCGTCTTTGTAAAACCATCGTATCTCTTCCGTGATTAATGGTTCTGCATAAGTTGCCTCAGTTACCGGAGTAGTTTGTACGTTGTCTTTTGGACTTTCTTCTATAATTGTCTGGTCATTGTCTTTACAAATCACAAAGAATAGAATAGAATATAGAATTATTGTTACATTTAATATTATATTTTGATATTTACAATAAAAATCGCATTGGAATGATATTAAAATTGTTAATATATTAAAAAAATTTCATATACGCACACACAAAATACACATGAGAGAATGATACATTTAATAATAATAAAAGATTTTCGCTCACGCTGAACATTTTTTTTAAAGAGGTATTTTTTTTTTTCTTATCAATGCTCATAAATTATGTAAATGACAATGCTCATGTAGATCATTAATTACTAATTGTAAATTATTCTATTGCGTTAAAAATTACCGAATGGAACGTTGCGATATAAAATATTACGATACAGAGTGTCTTATTTTATTTTAAACATCAATTATTTTCTCTACATGTAGAAGGAGATGAATATCATATATAATTTTTGAATCAAATATTTGATTCGCTATTTAATGTACTATTTGTTCCACATTATTTGTGATGACGTTGCTGAAACAATATCAGTTTTTATCTCTAGCGCTTGTTAAGTGTAGGAAGAAGACTAGATCATTCGATTCACATTGGCAAGTAATTGTTTTTGATAATATCACCGATTAAAGCGATTGGTGCCGCACGATAAAAAAAGCCTGTCGACCTCAGCACGTACCAGATGTTTTTTTTTTAAGCGCGTGTTTTTTACACGCAAAAATGTATTATATACTTTTTATTACCTTTACAAGACTCTTGTTCCATAGGCGTTTCGCTGAGTGAATTTACTTCGCTCGTATTATCGGACATTCCGTTCAACTTGTCGCGAACTATCAGTCGAGTGTCAAACGAGCAATGTATACAATCGGCGATGCACTTTCAAACGCACTCTCCGAATATTTCGCTTCAACAAATTGGCCCCACCGTGTGTGCCAACAATATATCTCTAAACGTTCGCGAAAAAAACACGAGAACACCGCACAAGCAGACGTACGTACCGTCAACGAACTCTCATAATGCATCTGTCACTTGAGCCGCCGAGAATCACAGTACCCACGCGTGCGTGACAGATGAACTTTGCACGAGCTCGAAAGATATGCACAACAAGGGAGACGAAGGAGGAAAACGAAACGAGGGGTGAAAGAGAGAGAGAGAGAGGGAACGGAAAAAGAAAACACACAAAGCAGGCAAAACACGATTGTCGCGCGTTTGATATAAAATGTTTTCGTTGTATATGGAATTTCGATGCACTATCTAAGACGTCCTTGAACAAATCTCGCGCACGGGGGGCATGCACCTTCAGAGAAAACTGTGCTAGAAGTTTTGTTCTCCGACACACAGAGACAAACCGCGCGCGACACTTTCTCAGAGATCACACCAGATTTACATTTGTAAGAAACGACGTCCCGCTGCAACTTGCACTATTATTAAATCAATCGCCGTGCGACGCGCCGTTCGCCGCTTCTTACGTAACGCGTCACTTAATTTTGGCTAGAATTTGCGATAATTGCGTGCATGTGCATGCACACACGTACTGCCGCAATAGTGACCAGCTGATGCTTAAAAACTGACGCAGTGCACGTTTGGCGCATATTGCCGCACAACACGCGCCGTGACATCATGACGTCAAAATGATACGTACGCGAACCAACCAATCGCAAGTCAATGTTAAACTCACCCTGGGCAACGTTAGCGTGAACGCTGCCCTGTGATTGGTTGATTTATTCGTTGACCGACAGATCTGTTTAGACCGTGTGACCAATCACTTGCGCCAGCATTGAAAATCTATAGCACGTGTGACGTAAATAATAGATTTTCAGTGATTATTTGTAAATATCGGAACGCAGCTTAAAATGATCATTCCCGTGATCTCGGCCGATGTGTGTGTGTGCGTTTGACAGGCAGGTTAGGTGTGAAAACTTTGTTGTGAGTGATCTAACGTCGAATGTTCTTGGAATCGCTTTTAAGACTTAATTGCAAAACAAATGGGTTTGCTCACGGATCCCAGAGCTGGAACCGGCAAGATCATAAAAGTATTGTTAAAATGGGAAAAGCCACTGTGTTTCGTATTATACGTAGCGGGAGTTGCGTGGCTAATGCTCTTGGCATTACCGGCATTTAACGACAGTAAGTTCTTTCGATAAAAAAAAAAAAAATATATAAAAACGAGTTGCTATAAAATAAAAAAATATACAATAATGTGACGTATTTTTTTTTTTTAATTTTAAGTCTTTCGCACAAATTTATCTCTATTTGTCTGATTTTCAGATACGTATTTTTCTGAGAATGCATTACTACCCGGATTGGTGACAAAAGAGAGTAATCTTGAACACGCTGCAAAACAATATTATTCTGAACTAATTAATGAAATGAAAAGATATCCAGATGGTATGCCTTATGCATGGCTCGCAGCAAAGTTCAGTCAACTTCATCTGGATGTGTTTGTACACAATTTCTCACTAATTTATCCTCTTCAAAAAGAACAAAAGGTTATTTTCAGTTTTCAATAAACAACATGATAATCAACACACTTGATTAAATGAGCATTTTAAATTATGAAAAATTTTACAGTTTACAGGACAAAATATTTATGGTATTGTTAGAGCACCACGAGCATCGAGTACAGAAGCTATTGTGGTCACTGTGCCGTACAGACCTATTAATAGCATTTATTTGGACACTTCGCCTTCAATAGCATTATTACTTGCATTTGCCAAGTTCTGCAGAAGTAAGTTTTTAGATCAACAAATCCTATCTATGTGATTATGCGAGTCTTGCTCAGAGAAGTGTACAAAAAAATAAAAAAAGAATTCTTTTTGTAAAGTATTTCATAAAAGTTTTGCAATTTGTATGTACAGTCTTTAATCCATATCTATATTAGCTATTACATCTCTCTATTTACATTATTGTGATTCTATAGAACAAAAATATTGGGCAAAAGATATAATATTTCTTATAACGGAACATGAGCAGTTGGGTATGCAAGCATGGCTTGATGCGTATCACGGTGTTGTTAGCGGTCAGGAAGGAATATTGATAGCGGGAGATTTATCAGGAAGAGCAGGCTCTATTCAAGCTGCTATCAACTTGGAGTTTCATGCTCCAAAAATCGGTTCGATTGATGTTAAGGTATGTAAATATCACATTAATTAATTGCACTTTTATTATATATCAATAAAATTTATCAAATTACATTATTAGGTAGAAGGACTGAATGGCCAACTACCCAATTTAGATCTTTTTAATCTGGCACAAAATATGATAGCCAAAGAAGGAATTCGACAGACTTTTCAACGCCGGTTTGATGTTAATTATAGAGATAAATTTAAAAACTGGTGGTATCATTTTAGTACATTGATGAGTATGATAATAACACAATCTACTGGAGTACCAACTGGCAATCATGGACTTTTTCACAGGTAGAATTAAAATAATATCTCAAATTGTAATAAATATTGCGACTTGTGATAATTGATACAAGAGTGTACGTGTTTTATATATTTGTGACACATCAAAATCCATATTTTGTTTCTAGATTTGGCATAGAAGCAGTTACGTTAGAGGGTTTTGACAAGTCTGGCAGAGAAATGGAAGCAAAATTTTATCAAGTAGGACGCGTAATAGAGAGTATAGTACGATCACTTAATAATTTATTGGAACGTTTTCACCAATCATACTTCTTCTATCTGTTGCCCTCCACCGATCGGTATATTTCTATCGGTAAAAAAAAAAAAAAAAAAACAGAAATAACTTGAATAAAATCTCTAAGAGCGAAAAAGAATGGCAAGTAAACGAATTATTTTTCAGGAGTATATATGAGACCTTTGGTGCTCATAATAGCGAGTGTATTTATAAAAGCATTTTCTATTTGGCAAAGATTACAGACAATAAGTGGCTCAACTGAGACAAAGAAGCAGACAAACAAGGCACTGTATATAAGTTGTTTTTTTATCATTCTTTGTACATCATATACATTTTTTCTCGCCTATAACTTTGTTTCTTTATTATTTCTTTGAACAGATTGAGACGGAATACAACATTGGCAGTGTTGCATCCGAGATACTGTGGGCGCATATATTTGGAGTATTAGTAATGGCGTCTCCTCGATTTTTTACCTTAATAGGATCGCACATGTTTAGCCTACGTACGGAAGACTCGTTATTCATCAGTTTCGCTCTCATCACATTTGTCACGTTGTTCTGGCATGTCTATCCTAGATGGTAAGAATAAGAAAAACAAAAAACCCCCAAAAAATCATATTTCAACGCTATTCGAATATATAAATTTGCAGGTCCATTACATACGAGGACGTATCGCTTGTGTGCGTCATTGCATCGATCGAATTAGCTACTGCATTAATGTGCATAGCCATGCACAATTTTTCGCTAGCATTACTGATGGCCGTCATGTATGTGCCAATTATACTCTTAATAATGCCACATCACCGATCTGTATCAAGGTCATTAATTTATCAATATCTATTCTTTTTGATCATTTCTATCTCACAGCGTGATGTTAACAGTAACTGTGTTTTATATATTGCAGATTATTCCGCAGCTGTCAGTACTTCGCGTGGATCTTATTGCATCCGTTTGTCGCGTCGATAATTATCGTAACGAGCAGCACGTATTTCAATTTCTCTAACGATCCTATCAGATCTGTGTTTCTTAGAGCTCACCACGCGCACAAGCAAGCACTCGTATTCAGTATCGTTGATTCCATGATATACGGCAATTGGTTTTACAACGTTGCTACTACTGTCATGTTACCAATCTGGCTGTTATTTTGGAATGTTATGTGTTCTAAAATTGAAACATCTTTGTAATAAAATCGATCGCCTAGATTAAAATCAATGTTTCTTCCTAATTTTGGACAACTGACTTTCAAATCGATCTTGCACTTATTGCGCGAGAAATCTATTTATTATATTACGTTCGCCAATGAAAGAGGAGGGGGGAACTAAAGTTCGTTGTCAGCATCTTTAATAGTAAATAGGTCTATTTCTCAAGAAGAGGTTTGAAGGGTCGGCTTATTTCCTCATGAGGTCATAACTTCGTCAATAATACGTCAGCCATTTGAAGTATATATATATATATATGTACACACACGTATAGCGTATCTTCGAGTGTGATAACCCTCATGATCAAACTCGTTGCGGATTCGCTTGGCTAGTTTAAAGAGTACAGTGAATGTAACGCGAGTGTTTCGAGCGAACTGATATTGCATAGACAGATATAACGGTGCGTATACTTTTCCTTCCAAACAAAACGTCAATATACGCATACATACATAATCGACGTTCGTGATGTGTCTTATTCACTTGTGAACAATCTTTAATAAAACTTTGTGCATTTCTTTTATGTTCTGATTGCTTCATCATTTCTTGATCGCGACAAGTAGTGTGATCCAAACTATTCATGTTTATACATGCTGTTTATTTGATAAAATTAATTATTTTCACATTTATACAAAGTGTTTTTCTAGCTTTGTTATTTTCTCATAATTTTATTCAATTTTTCAACTTAGGTGTGCGTTAGGTCACATGATATGTATTTTTCATATAACGCGTATTGCGTCTATCTCCGATCGCATCTTTCTATTCTCCTAGAATGCGTTTGGGTTACGCAAAAGAATGTCTTACAAAATAAAGGCGCGGTTTCACAACATGTGCGCGAAAAATACATGTACGAGATCGCGCTGTTATTTTGCAAAAATTTCTTACAAAATTTTGCGACATATATCTATGACTTTTATTATATAAGAAAATGTGTACGTGTGTGCGTATATATGTATATATCTATGTATAATTTCTGTGATTAAAAAAAAATCAGACAAAGACTTTTTTGTTATCATGTCCTGCGCTCTGAAAATCTTCGGAATTATACCTTAGCAAACAAAATACTTGAAAAAGACGCGTCACATGTATTATCTTGAATAAAATAACATTGCGTTTATCGCTGTGATTTATTGTAAATAAGAAAAGAAGTGCAATGTACTGGAGAAATCGTAAAAAATTTCTTATATAACGCTCATTGTGTACGTTAGTATAGATCTGTGTAGATATTGCGATATTGCATGTGTGCGTTCAATTGAACGCACACGTATATTCTGTGCACCAGCTATCACACCTACACGCACACGTACACAATCAATCATCATCTTTAACGTGATAAGATCTATGTACTACCATTCCACACAAGAAACCAAGCTATTATAAAACAAAGAATACACTTAATAAACTTCATAACTTCCAAAAATTAATGTAAGTCGAATTTGTTAACGTAATAAAATTGTGATAAAAATTATCGAAACGCAGAGAGATAAAACCAACATTATCAATACATTTAATTATCATCGCTCACAGTAATTTTCCTTTTCAGTAATTATTGGTTTCAATATACTCTTTCCATTTAGAAAGAACTTTTATCTGTTTTCGTGTATGTATATGTGCCCGCACGTGTAAACCAAGATGCTTTTCAGCTACGTACACAGTGTCGCCTGTGTACGTAGCTAGAAAACATCCATAGTATGGTTTTACGGTGTTTTGTATTACATATTTTTACTATATATAGATACTATTTATTTTATTTAAAATTTAATTATAGCAAACTACATATATATATAAAAGGATTATTTATCTACAAAAATGGAAGAAAATTTAATAAAAAACATATCTATATGCAATGGGAATGCGATGGTAACTTGTAACAAATTTCATAAAACTGACACTAAGTTGCAAAAAGCATTAATATCAAATATACTGGTGTTTTATGTGAATGGTAAAGAGGTATGTGACTATAAATTTCAAAATATTTACATATCTATTATAATGAAATTAAAATATTAAATAATTCATAATGTAATCTAGGTGTCCGATAAGAATGTAGAGCCAGAATGGACACTTTTATGGTATCTTCGTAACAAACGTATCCTTTTTTTTACACATTTTTATATATATTTATATGAATTTATTTTCTCTCATATATAATTTATTAATTAATCCTTAATGGTATAACAATTCAGTTGGATTGACTGGTACAAAGCTTGGCTGTGCAGAAGGAGGCTGCGGAGCCTGTACAGTCATGGTCTCTAGATTTGATCGCGACTCTAACAAAGTTGTGTATCCTTTAATTATCAATAATGACAATAATAATAATAATAACAAGAGTTATATGATACATGCATTGTACGAAGTAGGATTGTATTTCATAAATAATTAATTTTCTTAATACATTCTTATACAAATGTGCAAACAGTCACATGGCCGTGAATGCATGCTTGACACCGGTATGCGCTATGCACGGTCTAGCTGTAACTACTGTAGAAGGCATTGGTAGCACGAGAACTAAGTTGCATCCAGTACAAGAACGTATAGCCAAAGCACACGGATCGCAATGTGGATTTTGCACACCTGGTATAGTCATGTCTATGTATGCTTTACTGCGAAGTATACCGAAACCAACAATGGAGAATTTAGAAGTTGCATTTCAAGGTAAGTGCATATTGAAAATAATAAAGTAATAGCGCTATGATACACAAAATTACTTGTTTATCTGTTGAATTGTGTAATTTTTTCTTCTAGGAAACTTGTGCAGATGTACAGGATATAGACCAATTATAGAGGGGTTCAAGACTTTTACGGAAGATTGGGAACAATCACAATTAATGGCTAATGTTCTAAAAGAAGATGAGAAAAATGATACAAAACTGTGCTCGATGGGTGACGCTTGCTGCAAGCGAGCTTTTACATCTGAACCAACTGAGATTTTTAATTCTAAAGAATTCTGTCCGTATGATTCTACGCAGGAACCAATATTCCCGCCAAAATTAAAGGTAAATTATTTTGTGTGTGTATATATATATATTAAGCAGTCTCTTGTATCAAACTCACATAAACAGAAAGAGTGAAAATAATATCGCAATTTTTATTACACACACAGGTTGAAACAACACTAGATGATCAATATTTAATAATTAATGGAAAAAACGTCAGCTGGTATAGACCAACAAATTTGGAAACTTTGCTTGCCCTCAAAGAAAAGCACCCGAATGCTAAACTCGTCATTGGCAATACGGAGATTGGTTCGGTTATTTCTCTCAATTTTTTACATATTATTACAGTTTTATGCGTCATTAGTTATATTATTTATATATTATAGGAGTCGAAGTGAAGTTCAAACACTTGGTATATCCAGTAATGATACAACCTACGCGGATAAAAAAAATGCGTGAGATTGTTGAAACGCAACAAACGTTAAAAGTGGGAGCGAGCGTGACTTTGGTCGAACTCGAAGAAACACTAAAACATTATATTGAAACAAAACCTGGTAATTTACTAGAATTACATCTATTCTATATTCTTTTTCTCTATGTTGTTTGTAAACATTTTGTATTTGTTTTTTTTTTTTTTTGACAGAATACAGTACCAGGATTTTTATCGAAATCGTTAATATGTTACATTGGTTTGCTGGAAAACAAATAAGAAATGTTGCCGTGAGTATATTTTTTCAATGTGTTATAATATGATAACAATTGTTTTTTTTTTTTTTTAATCGAATAAAAATTTCTCTCTCTTTTTCAATTAATTAGTCTGTGGGTGGCAATATAATGACTGGTAGTCCAATATCAGATCTAAATCCAATCTTTATGGCTGCTGGTGTTAAATTAAATTTATGCAGTTTAAAACACGGAAATAGAACGATACCAATGGATCATACGTTTTTCGTTGGATATCGACGTAATGTAATTTTATCCGAAGAAGTATTAGTTTCTATTGACATACCTTTCACAAAACAGGTATGTATGTATGTGTGTGTGTAACAAACAGTTATTAAAAAAACACGACTGCGTAATACATCAATAATTAGTCATCTTCATTATTTCTTATATTTTTATAGAATCAATATTTTGTTGCTTATAAGCAAGCAAAAAGAAGAGATGATGATATTGCAATAGTCAATATGGCTTTAAATGTATATTTTGTTGGCGATATAGTTCAAGAGGCGCATATCGCATTTGGTGGAATGGCTCCTACTACTATTTTAGCAAAGCAGACATGTCAGAAAATGATTAAAAAGTAGTATTATAAAATAAATTATTATAATCATCAAATAATTATGAATTGAAGATATTAAAACAAAAACTTCTCGAACATTAACTTGGCAAAAATAATTTATTAAGTGCTCAAATTATTGTGATATTTTTTTTTTAATTAAAAATCAAAGTAAAATTTATTTTATTTTTTAATGAGAAATATACCGCATGTATTTTATAGAAAGAAAAATATCAAAATAGACCGTGTATAATAATTTTAGAAAATGGAATACATCTATCTTGGAAGAAGTTTATAATGCCTTACTCGAGGAATTGCCATTAGCAGACAATGCACCAGGAGGAATGATCAAATATCGCAGGTCTCTCACGCTCAGGTATATAATATTAAACTGTTTCTCTCTATTTCCTCCCTCTATCTTCCTTCTCTCTCTTTCAGTTTTGATTAAAAAATATGTACATATTGTTATACATACATATATATACATGTGTGTGTTGTGCGTTATATATTTTACAGTTTATTCTTTAAAGGATTTGTTCACATCCTTAAAAAGTTATCGAAAAATATTTCGGATATAGAATGTTTGCCGGAGACATTACAAAGTGCTTCAGATTGTTTTCATTATGAAGTACCACAGAGTTCACAGTACTATCAAGTGGTAACGTTTCACATCAAGTATTTGTAAATTGTTATTTAAACATGAAAGTGAAATTACAGTACTTTCTTACTTTTAATAGGTACCTAAAGATCAAGAGTCACATGATTTAATAGGACGTCCCATTGTCCACTCTAGTGCATTTAAACAAGCAACAGGAGAAGCAATATATTGCGATGATATACCCAAATTTAAGGAAGAATTATATTTGGCATTAGTTATTTCAACTCGATCACATGCAAAGATTCTGAAAATCGATTCTACAAAGGCATTGTCTATGGAGGGAGTTGTGTCGTTTTTCTCTTCAAAAGATATAACAGAAGATAAGAGATGGATAGGCCCCGTTTTTCACGATGAAGAAATATTTGTATCGGAAAAGGTACTTTTTTATATAAGTAAATTTGTTTATATGGCTTCTGCACAAACCGTCAAACTTGGAATGTTGTAAATGTGTTTGCGCTGTTGTTTTATTATTATTGATATCAATTTTTTTCTTTAGGTTACCAGTCAAGGCCAGGTACTTGGTGCGATTGTCGCTACTGATCAATTAATCGCTCAAGCCGCAGCGAGAACAGTCGAAATAGAATATGAAGATATAAAACCTATTATTGTATCTATAGAGGTATATACTATATACTTGCGAAATCGTGTTACAGTGAACATTTGTAAGCGCATTAATTTATGTGTTTTTTTTTGTTTTTTGTTTTACAGGATGCTATTAAGTATAAATCCTTTTATCCTGGTTTTCCTAAGCGTATTGTGAAAGGTGATGCTGACAAAGCTCTTGCGGAAGTAGATCATGTTTTAGAAGGCGAAGTACGCATAGGTGGCCAGGAACACTTTTATTTGGAAACAAATGTTACTATTGCCATACCTCGTGAAGATACATTAGAAGTATTTTGTTCTACACAGCATCCCACCGAGATACAAAAACTTATCGCTCACGTTTTGAATATACACATCAATAGAGTTAATGTTCGCGTGAAACGTATAGGTGGTGGATTCGGTGGAAAAGAGTCTCGCACGTTATTACTGGCGATACCGGTAGCATTTGCAGCATACAAGTACGCATAAAAAACCGTATATAATTTTTTATACGCATAATTTTATATTTATTTGTGTGTATGTGTGTGTGTATGTATATATCTTATTTGGCAAATACGTGAATTATATAGGTTGGGCAAACCAGTACGTTGTATGTTGGACAGAGACGAAGATATGATGATAAGTGGGACGCGACATCCATTTTTATTTAAGTATAAAGTTGGATTTAACAGTGACGGTCTTATTAAAGTGGCAAAAGTGAACATATACAATAACGCAGGCTATTCTCATGATTTATCAGTAGCGGTAGGTAATGGCATGTGCACTAAAAGTCGAAAGTAGTAATAGGAAAAAAAAGAGTAACAAGCGTTGAAGATATATAACATACAAGTATATGATATTGAACTCTTTCTCTACGTCAAAATGAAAACTTGTGCATTAATAATTTCATATTAATAATTTTATTTCACATCTTCCAGGTGTTGGAACGTGCAATGTTCCATTTTGAAAATGCATATAGAATCCCAGTGTCAGAAATATATGGATACACGTGTAAAACAAACTTACCATCGAATACAGCTTTTCGAGGTTTTGGCGGACCGCAAGGAATGTTTTTAGCTGAAAATATCATTCGACACGTCGCCGATTATTTGGAACTAGATGTCCTCAAGGTAATATATGACATTACTTGGAAAAACACACAAATAAAAAATTCTGTAACTATAAAGATTTAGTAATAGAAAAAACTCTCATTTTTTTGACAGGTGTCCGAATTAAATTTGTATAAAGAAGGTGATGTAACACATTACAATCAAGAACTTGTCAATTGCACCTTGGATCGTTGCTGGAACGAATGTTTAGTATTTTCTCGTTATAACGAAAGAATAATCGAAGTCGAACGTTATAACAGGCAAGTTGTAATATATAAAATAAACACACATTTTCCGTATTATAAGTGCCAACAATAATTAAAAAAGTAACATGTGCATGTTTTGTAGAAAAAATCGATTTAGAAAGAAAGGTCTTGCAATTGTGCCTACAAAATTCGGTATAGCATTTACTGTGTTAGTATTGAATCAATCGGGTGCACTGGTGCATATTTATATTGATGGTTCGGTACTAATTAGTCACGGTGGCGTTGAGATGGGACAAGGTTTACATACGAAAATGATTCAGGTATATGTGTGTTACTATAAACCGCGGATGTTTATACATTATAAGTATGCAAAATACATAATTCCATAACGTTCATTAGAAGTCTATTGCGTCATTCTATCTTTGTTTTATATGCGCTTCCTGAACGCAGCCCATCACCTTTCTTTATACATTATATGTATATATTTCGTGTATTACAGGTTGCTAGCAGAGTATTAAAAGTAAATCCGGACAAGATACATATCGTTGAGACAGCTACCGATAAAGTCCCAAATACATCCGCTACCGCAGCAAGTTCCGGATCTGATCTCAATGGCATGGCTGTTATGGTAATAATAATAAAATAATATATAACGTGTTAAATAACATCATATGTGCACAAAACTTCTACGCGTACAAAAATCAAAAAGTTACGATGTTAATTTTGCAGAATGCATGCGAAGAAATAATGAAAAGATTGCAACCGATAATAGATAGCAATCCGGAAGACACTTGGGAAAATTGGATAAAAACGGCATATTCAGAAAGGATAAGTCTGTCCGCCACGGGTTTTTACAAAACTCCCGATATCGGATATTCTTTTGAAACTAATACGGGAAAAGCGTTTAATTACTTTACTTACGGTGTTGCCTGTACGGAAGTTGAAATTGATTGTCTTACTGGTGATCATAAGGTAATATATGTCTTTCTATATTTTGCACAAGTGAAGATTTATCGAAATACGTACAGTATGTGACGAGTGTAAAGGAAGATCAAGTGTTTTGAAACTAATACAGGTTTTACGTACGGATATTGTTATGGACTTGGGAGAAAGTTTAAATCCAGCCATCGATATAGGTCAGATCGAAGGTGCCTTCATTCAAGGATACGGTTTGTTTACATTGGAGGAAATGATTTACTCGCCAACGGGAACTTTATTTAGTAGAGGACCCGGGACATACAAGTTACCAGGTTTTACCGACATACCTCAAGAATTTAATGTTTCGCTTTTAAAAGGAGCTTCCAATCCACGAGCTGTATACTCTTCCAAGGTAATGGCAAAACCTTACCTTTCGATATTTATAGAAAAATATCTTTGTTATATACTTTTATTAAATTTTATAGGCTGTTGGGGAACCACCGCTATTTTTAGCGTCATCTGTATTCTTCGCTATTAAAGAGGCAATTAGAGCTGCGCGCAAAGATATGAATATTCATGGCTATTTTAGACTTGATGCTCCCGCAACTGCTGCACGTATACGTACGGCATGCGTAGATAATATAACAATGAAGGTAACTTATATATTTTGTATATATATACAAAACTTTAGGTGACATTTATACTTTTTAAAAAATAAGAAACCTGTATCAAACAGATTCTTTATGGATTTTACATCCTCTGTAACTAGCTTCCCGATTAAAACATTATTTTTATCTTTGCAGATCAGAGAACCTGATTTACAACAACAATGGAATATGGTACCATAATATATCAAATTTTTAATATGATACAGTTATTTTCTTTTTCATAATTTTTCTATTCAAGTTATATTCAAGAAAATAATCTATTTTATAATTAATATACATCTTAGTGTCCTCAATAAAAATACTCATTTAATTCATTTTTGAGTATAGAAAAAAACTGAAAAGTACAAATTATACGAAGAAAAAAATATGAATCAAATCTTTTAGGTAGAAAATCTGAATTGTATAATTATGAGATAATAAAATTTATATATAAAACAATAAGAACAGTGGAAACATTGCTATTTTATTATTTTTTAGTCTTATATTTTAAATTTGTTAACATTCATATATATACACACACACACACACACACCCACTTGTATATATTATACATTAAACATTGCTTATTCCAGATTTTTCAACTGTTTCCAACAATGTTTGTAGATTAGTTTCAAATAATTCACATCGAATAGGCATTTCCAATGCATAAAATGGATTTTTTAATGCATAATCTGCATACAAATCATATACTCTCTTTAATAAGATTTCCATGCCTTGTTGCGACGGCTCTGCTACTATCATAAACTTAATGCCTGTTAACGTTTGGAAACAATATAAACGAAATGTATCAGCTTCAAGAACTTCAATTCCAGAACTTCGTGGTTCTGGACTTAATTGGCTCGCTATGGCAAATAATGGATAAAACATCGAAGCTAGGAATATCTTTTCATTTGTTGTCATTTTTGCTCGACTGAATTTCAATGTTAGAGGAAAATTTCCTGATTGCTCCAACATTTCCAAAACATCTTTCCCATTCTCAAGTTCACGTCCAGTGACTGCAACTCCATTTACAGATGTCAATACATGTCCCACTAGAAATTTAAAATATTTTCTTCGATCTTTTTTAAGATTTTCATTAAAATTACATATACACACACACACATACACAACGCAATTACACAAAACGTATAACATGTGTTTTTACCATTTATTCCATCTCTTTGTCCAAAAGCTACCACCACTTTCTTGTTTTCATAACTTAATTTAATATCGAGTGGAAAGTTAAAAGACTTTTCGATTTCAATTTTTGGAACATTGTGATCGTGATTAAAAATTAAACCACCAGATTTTGATACAATGTAAACACCATATATCACCATTGTTGTCTTTTTTACAACCTCTCTTGCAGTACACACATTGACCAGCCGGAGATACTTATGGTATATTCTACTTGGTGGCGGTTTCGCAACGAACGTATGCCGTGTTTACAACATCCAATTGCAGTGATCAATTTGATAAATCGCCCAATGCGATAGAATATTGTAGACTCAACCTAAAATCACGATTGCTGTGCGAGCGTCAAATGGAACCTACCCACGCTTGCACACGCTTCAACATTTGACAGTTTGACGCTGTTTGATACTGAAGTGTTTTATTGAGTTTTATCAAAAATGGTCATTTTTTGAATTTTGCATCGATAGCAAGCAATAGTTGGCTTTAATCTCGCGTGTACATAGGTAATAGCACTGAACTGATCAATACTTAAAAAAATGCAGGAAAAGGACACGCAAGAAGAGAACACAGAGTTTCTGCATAATGTGTACAAGAATGACCCAATCCTATTTGTTAATTATGTTGGAAAGGAGGTCAAGATAATCACGAAAGATGAAAATATTCACTCTGGCATTGTATACACAATCGACCCAGTATCGGACAGGTGTGTATTGAAAAAAAAAAAAAAACAATTTTATTCTAGTTAATCGATTATAAACAAATGACTATTCAACATATTCTATCAAAACAATACACTTTTAATACATGTTTTAACATTAATTATATATACACAAACTATTTATAATATAGTATATATATATAACACTATATATATACATATATAATGCTATTATTTTGCAGTATTGTGCTCTTGCATACGACAAAATCCACAAAATATAGCTTGAAAATTATATTTGGTCATGCTGTCAAAAATATAAATGTAATAGCAGAAACAACAACAATCATACCAGAGTTATTTCTGCAGAACTTGCCATGCAAAGAACTTTCACAAGAACTAATTGCTAAGAGAAAAGATATTGTTGTGAAAGTATTATCAGACAGTCGATTTCCAGTTTCAGAAAAAAATAACACCCTATTAATTGAAGATATCATGGTAATAGAACCTCCATATTATCCTGAAAATTGTAAATGTAACAATAGCATTGTTCTTAGTAGAATACAGAATATTTTAAGGAATATTACTTTATAGTATTATTAATTAGTATATATATATATATATGTATATATATATATATAAAGAAATAATTAAAATTAAATAATGATTAATTCCTAAATGAAATAATGATCAATTTCCAAATGAAATATAACAGTATATTTTTAAGGACATTTAAAATTCAACAATTTTAAATGACGAATATATGATTTATTTAAATCTTAGTAATACAACATGCAACTAGTAAAATTAAAAAGACAATTGTACATTACATATACAACAAATATTTAATATAATAAAGTTTTTGATTCTCTATCATAAATTTGTCCATTTGTCTATATCAATTTTTTTCTTTTAAATATACGACGGTAAAAAAATATACGTATATGTTTTCTATAAATCTTGTTTTTCTTACACTTTGTTATATTATTTGATCATGTATATACATAATATGTACATACACTGAGTTCAAATTGAGAAAAGAATCCTGTTGCACATATAAAGGAAGAAAAGCGGGAAAAGTAGGAATAGCGTTGCGTGCGGAATTGGCGGGACACTCGCTGACAGCCAATGACTTTGGTGTGAGGGTGCTTTCCAGGAGGAAAAATGCGCAACACAGGCGCGCGCTACGCGCACGCTATTGTTATTTTTATTTAACGTGTTGTCAGAATGTCGGAACACAACCTGTCACCGCAATGACAGATAGTATATACGTCTTATAAACCATATAATACACATATGAGAAATGTCAGAAATAACGCATGAAAATTAAACTCAAAAAATAGTGAGAGAGAGAAGTGGAAAAACAACACGTGACTAAAGTCACGTAACAAGGAAAAGAGTAAAAAAGAGAATATTACATATATTATATGTAATATTCTATATCTATATATAATACACACACATACGCATATATGTATATATATATACCGTAATCACGTGACCGAAGTCAGTAACACCGCCGAGGTCAGTGACTTCACCGCAGTCGCGCGACCGAGGTCAGTGACCCCGCCAAAGTCGCGCGGCGGAGGTCAGTGACATTACTGTAGTATGTATATAATACATATAATACAATATAAAGTATAATATTATAAATATATAATTAATTATATATGTAAAATACGTATTATTTAATGTTATATATAATATAAATTACAGTCACGTTATTTTCACGTGTTGTTTTTCTACTTGGTACACATGCCTTGGTAGAAATGCCGAATTGAACTTGTACAAATAAAAAATTGACAAAGACTGAAAAAAAAATAACAACACAAAGAGAATCGCAAGAGGAGAGTGTAATAAAAAAACTACAGAAGAGAATTTAGAATATATTGCTATATACACACTTTAATAACCAAAAACAAACATTACAATATAATAATATTGTTATTGTGATATTATTGTTATTAATATAATAATAGAATTATTTTTCATCGTAGTGAAAACACTAAAAACCTCGCTTCTTTTCTTATACGAAAGAACAGTGCGTTTGGTTTGCTTCTCTTTTTCTTATTTATAATTTTATTAATTCACATGATGTTTGGCACCCAACTGATCGCACTCACGCATACTTTTGTACGTGGTTTAATAAGTTTAATAAATTTCTACTAGAAATTTGCCAAAACTTATCAAACCACCTACATAGATTAAAAAAAAAAAAAAAAAAACAATGAGAGCCTATTATACTTGTCCTGCATAGTAATCCGAATCGCTATAACTTTGAGAGCGCAATCGATCTGCGAACCTATCATATCTTGTTATCTTAGAATAATAAATACAGTGTAATATATCTAAAAAATCTGTCTTTTTATGCAACGTATATATGCAAATACAAATATATTCGGAAAATGTACAATGTCTTATTGCCTTTACAAACGTTAAGGAAAATCGCAACTGCCAAATTGTCACATAATATCAAGTGTATATTTAACCAGACAACAATCGAATTTTTTTCTTTTTAAATCTCTCTGCCATTCTTAAAATTCCATTCTTTAATTTCCTCTACTGATGGAACTGACACAAGCAAAAAGTTACAGAAAAATACTTTCGCTTAAATTTTTTGTGCCTAATATTATACTAATAATCAAAAAATTGCAAAATTGCCGTATTTGTAAATAACAATTTAGTAATTACGAATTTTTAATCTTAATACAAAAAATCTTAATACAAAATATATATCTTAAAACGACAATATATATTCGCGATTCCTTTATCATTCTCTCTTTTGTTCATTCATTCTCTCTCTCTCTCTCTCTCTCTCTCTCTCTCTCTCTCTCTCTCTCTCTCTCTCTCTCTCTTTGCTTTCTTCTCTTTTCTCTTATATTTTTCTTCTCAAACTGTTTTTCTCGCGTTTGATCTTAATCTCTTAATTACTAAAAACATATTGTATTCACAAGATTAGTATGAGATACACACCACTTAAAAGTTGAATAAAGTCTAATCTGTATTTCAGCTGAGCAGTTTTTGTTTATATAAATTGATAAAATGAGTAATCTAAAAACGAAATATTTTACATATTATAGCTATTTTTATATTAACTCTTTCTCTCTCTCTCTCTCTCTCTCTCTTTTTTTTCTCTCTCTCTCTCTCTCTCTTGAATAACGTACAAAATATTTTCTCGAGATATCATGTTCACATAATATACTCCTGTGTATTTCATCTTTACACTTATATTCTGTCAGATTGCACAGAGAAACTGATTGAGTAGTATACAGCATTATTCTTTATTCCTCAGTGTCCGATTTCGAATTATTTTTGCATAAACAATATATTATAAACAATATATTACATAGCAATATAAAAAAGACATGACGTTATTCTCAAATACCCAAAGTTTTGAAGATCAAGGTTCTTTCTTCTCAATGTAGTTCGTTCAGTAATTTGCGTTATTGAAAAACAATTTGTTCTAGGGTGCTTAAAAAGAGAGCGTAAAACACTAAAATTCAGGAACGGTATATATTAATTACGATATATATATATACATTTGAAATATTAAAATATTAAATAAAAATACTAAATGACTTCGTTAACACGTTGAACACCTAGCAAAAATCGAATGTTTTTTACGCAATTCCAAATTACCAGTTTTATGCAACATATATTAAATTGTTAGCGTTAAATAATCTAGCACGTACTAAATTTTCCGTAAGATTTGTTTCACTTAGATAAATCGTTTTTTTTTACAAAGGGATGATTAATGAAAAACTTATCCGTCATCCAAAGATAGATGATATGTGACCTTCAACGTGTTAAAGTATCAAGAGGAAAAAACATACGGTACATGTGATTTATACTCCTTTAAGATTTGTCGCACGTGTTCACGTGATTATTTTATTATCCCCTTCGTCATCGCACGCATAAACATCCAGTTTCAACGTCTTTACAAAAGCAATAAATACCGAAATGTCAGACAATTCGAATTTGACACTATACATTGCACGCAAGTACAAACCTAATGTCTGCTTTTCTATTTTTGCTCTCTTCTACAAAAATAGTTAAAATTCGTACGTTTACCTTATACGTTTGTGTGAATATGGATTTAAGTTTATGATATATGGTCCCCTTAGAATCTTATTAATTTTACTTTAAGTGCTCCTTTTCATCAACCTCATGATTATATTACTTTATGCTCTCTTTTTTCAGACACCTTAGATTGTTAGATATAGAGAATATTTTTTTCTTTTTTTTTTTTGAACAAATTTATATACACAACTAAACGATAAAAGAGGAGAGTGTGCCTCATTGTTCATTAAATAAATATATATATAAACGCTAGCACAAATAATTTTATATATATAAACAAACGACGAATGCGACACATTTGTGTGACAGATGTGACGATGCGATGAAAAAATGTACTCGAATGCGCGTTGAAGATGCATGACGACGATAATAAAATGACGAAAATGAAAATAACAAAAGTTATATAACTATCGAAATTGTTGTAATATCCTCGAAGTTGACAGCATCGACGATGTGATCGCGTGATTTGTTTACGTATTTTTACAATCTTCTCTACAAAGGTGTCTTTTTTGCTATACGCGTCTCTCTTTCAATTTATGCTCTTCTACAAAAAGAGTATGTCACTGAGAGAAAATCATAAATCGATTGCACTTTTTGACATACATCATATCAGATCGCGATAAAAAGAAACGTGCACGCATTTTTATCTTCTCATAAGGCAAATATATTTCGATCTTTTCATCAAATTGGCTATTGATCCGTGTCTTTTTGTAATGGCAATAATTCTTGACAAAGGTAAGAATTTTATTAAAAATGGATTATACTTTCATTTTGCAGCAATAATCTTTATTTCTTCTTGTTTTGTTTTATTTTTTTATTTTTTTTTTTTACAAAAAACACTACTTGGCACAGCTAATAGTTTATATTATTAAATATTTTTGCATATATACGAGAACAATCGATATTGTGATAACGAGCACGATTGTCACTCTTCTACAGCAGAATGTTCCTCACATTCGAACTAATTGCAAATTATTCATTTATCTCTTAATTAAGGCAACTTCAGCATAATTAAAACTTTTTTTCTCTCAGTGCGTATGTAATCGAGCGCCGAAAATGACTACAATGCAACAGTATGGAAGTAATAATAAATCGTGAGTGTATTAATGTGTGTGTGTGTATTTGTGTGTTTACGTGTATGTAGGTATAAGCTATATTTTGTAATAACAATTGTGTGTCGTACGTGTCGCGGTGCGTCAAATGTCTCTCGCGGAAGAAGACTTAGAGGCACAATTTTCTTTCTGCAACGCGCTTCGAAGAAACTTCCGTTTCCGAAAGACATTAACGCATTTATGGAGTACGTTTTGTGTATACAAAACTGAGAAATCTCGAAAAACGAAATGAAAACACTCACGCAGCAAACGATCTCTTCTTCTTACGAAGGAATTCGGTTGGTTTTCTTGTGACGCGCGTTATTTAATCAATCCAACAACAACAACGGGGGGCATGTTGCATTTTGTGTTCTATGAAGAGGTGATATAACAATATAGCAG